CTTTTATGCAATCATATTCGCAGAGAAATATATATTTCACAAATGTCATTGAACTAAAGCGGACAAAATAACTCACACTATTTCCTTATTTGTTGTTCCTGGCCAATCGATACAGATCTCGTTTTATATTCTGTTATCATAACATACAAAATGTATAAGATTTAATATAGTACTAGATCTGAATCTAAGTCTATTATTAGGAGTGGAATGAATTGTTAGTACTGAGGAATAGTGGCTCCATTGCTACCAATGTACCACGTCACACCGACCTCCATGCGGTCCCCGCTGACACTGCTATAGTTAATTCTTGGTGTATTCGCCGCAATAGCCTAATTGACTTGACATGCTCATCATATTAGTATTCACTGGTACCCCGCCAGCCTCTATAGTTAGAGCACCATTCCATTCTTCATCATTCATCTTTATAAGAAAAGTTTATAATTTTAATAGTTTGTCACATAATCCAGATTAAATGAATTAATTACTTACCACAGTATTTAAATAATACTATAGTTAGGTAGATGACCTACCTAACTATAGTATTATTTAACAAATACGTGATTACAAATATTATCAATAGTAAGCTCTTCATTATTTAGATTTCTTTACCTATTTTTCGCCATTTGCTTTATGCTTCAGTAACTACAAATATTTGATTACATATTGAATTTCCCTGTTAATTTATGTATAGTCTATTTAGGAACAAAGTTTCTCAAAAATTTCAATCCACATAATATTTTATATAACATATTTTGTGATAATCATGTTACCTCAGGTGACCAGTCGCATGTCATTTTATAAAAGTTTATATGTCATTTCCAGGTCCCCCAGCCGGAGAGTGTAGTACTAAATCCACCCAGACTTTCAACGATTCTAGACCGTTTGCTGGGGTTGGCCAGCGCTACAAAGAACGCAATAAAAATCAAATCAGGCGCAGTCGGAGATCTGCTCGCATCCTTGTTACCGACCAGGACACTCGTTAAGCCTCCACCAGCTCTATACTATGGGTAAGTCAAAGTTGTATTTTAAATATTATCTAATCTAAATAAACATTTATTAAATGTTTACACCGACACTTCTACATTATTTTTTTAATGGAGGATTGGCGCCATCAAGTCCCGGTATAAGCAAAACTTGTATTATAGGCACTAGGCAACTGATGTATAAATACTTAGATATGATTTTTTTGGGTGAGTATGGTGAGTCTATTATGTATGTATTTTTGTAAATACATACATAATAGACTCACCATACTCATGAATACAAATGTTTGTACTGTGCGAGGAATTGAACCCGTGGCCATCAGAAGTAAAGCGGTGTCCCAGGTTAAGATATCGCTTGATAACGATGATGACGTCCTCCAGTCAACTAATGCGCAAACTCTAATTGTTTTCAGGATCATACCACCACCGCCACCAAAGATATACCCAGTACCTGTGATCGAGACCTTCAAAAAAAAGTAAATAGTGAATACGAAAATGATTATAAATTAAAAAGAAATATTAATAACAGATTATATAAATTTAAAATAAATACTAAATAAAAATAATATAATTTAAATATTGTATCATTTCATTGGCACTTTGTTTTTGTATTTACATTTTTTTACGTATATACTCCTAATACTGATATTTGAATTCTTAATTGGTACCTATATTAATAAATCAATCAACTTTGTGATTAATTATTAAATAGCGAACATCCGGAAGAATCATGCAGTTTCCGAGATGATGCAACATCCTAAGGAAATATATAAATAATAATAAGAAACGAACCCGTAACGATCGAAAGTAAGGCGATGCGCTAAACCGGTAAACCACCGAGGCCATTATTTTTATAATATTCTTTTTAAGCTTTGAAGAGATAAAGACGACAAATTTTGTACTTTTTTCTGAGAGAGTATTTAATCTAATTTCTGCACTTGCTGCTTTGAAAGCTGTGCTGAGATCAATGGCAAGAAGGCCAAGCCAAACAATTTTTGAACTGTTGGTTAATAATTATAATACAACAATATATGCATAGATTTACATTCTGATTAATATTATTCAATCAGGTCTACGAAATTATTACCCGTAGAAGGTATAAATATGTACTATTTGTAAATGAACTCACAAAATTATTAGTAATAAATTATACAAATAATAATTAATGGATGTACTGTGTTTAATCGATTACTCAACAAATGAATAACAATGACACGCAACGAAGACTGATTCACGTTTTTGTTACCAACATAAAAAAATATTCTAGTCCAGTACGTAATGTTACTGCAGTAAAGACGTTTGATTTGCAGATTTTGGACAAAAAAGCGGTCGAGTAACTAATTGCATAAACTGAGTTGAGTTAAAGTTTAATCATGGTATATGTAGAGCACATAATCAAATATATTTGTTTATATAATGGAATGGCATACAAAATCTCCACATGATGAAATGTGACAACCGTCCCGCCGCCTATACAACACTAACAATATCATGTCATTATGGGACGAACAAAATCAAATTAAATTAAAAAGTATTTCTTCATATGCGACATTTCAGAGTTTCATGTACGTCATAATTTTTCTATCCTTATCCCTACCATCCAATTCGGCTAGTTTCTTTAGTTGAGAAGAACTGACAAAAAACTCAACTGCTACATTTCTTTATGTCATTATATTAATTTTACTGATTTCAATCTTTAGATACTAAAACTACGTAAAAAGAATCGTAATTACACAAAAATAACAAAGAAAACTTTTAAAATAAGAATCTTTTTCTCTCGGCAGTTGTTTAAAAACATATGCAATGTCATTATTTTGTAAGATATATACATAGAGGTACATTATAGAGTAACAATGTTCAACCGACAAAAAATATTAATAGACGTGCGAATAACAATTATTTAGATACATGCAAATTTGATTATTCAAATGGAACATCCTAGTAATCTGTGAAACTTGCAAATTGCTATTACATACGTGTTGAATGGTCATGACCAAAATTTGTGTATATGTACTATGCTAAATACTCACATAAATACATTTTATTCCGAAAGCACAGCTATAACGCACGAGAATTTCCGCAGGCGTTACAGTACCGAACATATTATGACGGCATCGGTGGTTTAATAGTTTAGCACACCGTTTTGCTTCGGATGGTTACAAGTTTGATTTCTCGGACGGGACAAACATTTGTATTCTATGATCGTTTGTATCGTTCTAGGTGTTGTATATGTATACTATGTACGAGAAAAAAATCTAACTAAGTATTTACATTGGAACTAGACTAGATATCATTATATGTACATGTATAAAACTTAATACCTGCGTATAATGTCGAATCTATTGGCAGTTCATTAAAAATTGGTATTTTTTAAATAGACTCAAAATAAACGTAATAAAGCTCCATCTTACCCTGTTCCTACTACATATTAGGATCACTATTATACAGATAGTTTAGTATAAGATTTTATTTAAAGTCATTATTTTCTTTATGACATACGCATTCGTCAAGAAGTCGTCTATGGTTGATCCACAAATATAGTTAGTTCCTCATATATCAAAATGATCGGTGAACTTCATAGATATATTGAAATTTAACAAAACATAGATAACCTTTGCTGTCGGGTGGATAATATTTATTTTATTATCTCTTTGATTTCATTTTTTTATTATTATTTGATCATGAACGTAAATAATAGATGCCTCTAGTTATAGATCCACCTACATTAGATTGTACATAACAACTTCATTTTCGTCTTTATAACTTGTAGATATATAAGTAAATATATTAGCATACATAGGATAAAAACTTTTCTTTGTAGAATGCTTGAATGGTGATAATTTCAAGCAAAAAGTACCGAATGGAATTAAATAAAATTTAGTAAATACACATATACATATGTATATATTTAATGAATTATTATTAGTTTGTAATCTTGTTACGTTATTGTCAAATTTTTATATTAACTTTGTTAGTAGAGGACAGTTTTGAACTCAAATGCTGTCGTCATCGTTGACATCGTTGGACTCACTGTTTGAGTTGTAAGACCATTTTGTCTATAGAGACAAAATGGTCTTACAACTCAATGGTATTATTACTTCTAAATTTTGATATAAGCAGCAATTGTAATAGTTTATTATTTAAGACAATTAAAGATAATGATTATTATTCTTTATATAATAGATATCTAGATGAACACCTAGGTAAGATATTTTATACCCGATTTCAACTAAATATTGTAGCGGGTTAAATATGCAACAATTTATTGGAGAACTCATTACAGATATTTTTATGGTGTAATTTTTATGTCTATCTGAGATTATACAGATAAATCTATGTACAATATTTGTAAACACTCTGAATTACTTAGTGTTTTTGAATATGTGTTGATAAACCACCTAAAAGCTGTAAAGAAAAGGGGATATGAAAGATAAGCAGTAGCTTTTCATTTTAAAGGTAACAACTGTTACTCAAAAACAATACAATCTAGCTTTTAGAATCTTGATTGAACCACAAATTACATATCAGATGCAATAACGTTGTCTTATCGACTATCTATATATGTCTATATACCTAATTAGCTGTTCCTAGTGTGCCTGGATTTTTCGTGGATAAATTCCTACTAACACTTTTAAAAAAACTTTGATTGCATTACCAAATACAATATATTACTGAAAATAAAACATGTTTCTTTTAAACAAATTTTGCTTCACTATTTGCAGTCGTTTTTCTTTCGTCTTTAGGGCATTTTTCGATTGATTTAGCATTTACTTTAAATTGGTACCTAGGCATCCCAGCATAATTATTAATCTAAGTTGGTAATGATTTCATTAGGTACTATTGCAATCCGTGGCCGTCTATTAGTTTTTGCATGAATACCCTAATGATATTCAAATAGGGCGGCGGGGTGCATCTGTTTAGCATTGTAATTACGATGTTAATAATTTTCGGTGCAAGTATATAAGTGCGTGTATTTTTGCAACATGATATAATTGCACTACACGATTATAACTCCACTGGTCGTATCGTAGCACCAAATTAAACTTAACAATGTCTCGTCTTACGGTAAGATGTCCTGTAGATAATATTATGAGTTAGCTCAAAAAATTAATATCATCTTAAATTGTTTTTCTCTAATCTTCTCTTGTAAATGTTTTAATCTTTGATAATGGTCTAAAGCTAATTAAAGTAATGTAAAAATTTTCAATTATTGTCATTTACATGTATTGTCTTTATATTATATGTTGTAAGTTACTCGTGAAAGAATATGTTTTGGACTTATAAAGTAATGAATATAGCCTAAGTAGAGAACATAGATAAAAAATCGGATGTTATGAGAACGCCACTTTAAAAATATGATATTTGTCCTAACATTAGATATCATTTACATACTTCATTGTTTACGTAATTGGTTCTTTCTGAATGTTACAGATTTTCTTCGTCATCGCATTGGCATGTGAAGTATTTGGCGAAGGTAAATAAAAATTTGCATTTAATATTAAGAGTGCGATTGGATACAAATTTGATAAACAAATGGAAACTCTGTTATCAATTTAGATATTGCGCCCTGCTAATATTTGTTCCTGCAATACATTTACATTCATATTCGTAGATGAAGTGTCAAACATAAAGTAGTACCATTAACCTAAATAGTAAAAAATTTTTTGCTCCACTAACAACAATAATGGTTAGTTGCTAAAACATTGACAATCATACGAAATTAATATATTTTTTACGCACAGGTGCAGAGAAAGACTCTCGCCCGGCCCAATCGGGCATCATTGGTGTGGGTGCCGCCCCATTGCTTTCTGGTCTTGGAGGAATTGGTCTGGGTGGAGCAGGTATCGTCGCCGGCCCCGCACTCGCTGGTCCAGCAGTCGTCGCTGGCCCATCACTTGCCGGTCCCGCTATCATCGGTGGCCCTACTATCGGAAGTGGAGCAGCACTCAACAACGCCGCTGCCGTCGGTGCCGCACAACTCAGCGCCATCCAAAACGCTCAAGCAGTCCAAGCTGCACAGATCGCAAACTCCGCTGCTGCCGCCATCCAAGGTGCTCGAGTAACCGAAGCTGCTGCGAGAGCCGGCCAAGTAAACGCTATTAACAACGCCCAAGCCTTAGACGCAGCGCGTATCGCCAACATACAAAGAGCTCAAGCTGCAGCATACGAGAACGCCAGAGCAGCGGAAGCCGCGAGACGCGCTGCCGCCGCTAGTGCTTTAGAACTCGGACGTGCTGCTGAAGCTGAACGTTTAGCCAATGCAGCTCGAGTACAGGCGATCGCTATTGCAAACACTCGTGCCGTTGAAGCATCTCGTATTGCGAATGCTGCCAGAGCTCAAGCTGCAGCTGTTGCCTCCACAGCCGCCCAAGCCCAGGCTGTCGCGGATTCCGTAGCTAGAACCGCTAACGATGGTGCTTTGTTGCTGGGTGGTGGTGGACTGGTAGGCAGTGGTCTCGTCGCTGCCGGCCCCGCAGTTGTCGCCGCTGGACCTGCAGTAGCTGCTGGTGTACCAGTAGCCGTCGGAGGTCTCGGCCTTGGAGGATACGGTCTGAGTGGATTAGGCTTAGGAGCTGGCAAAATCATCCACTAATTTGGCGATGTGTTTGAAGATTACCAGTGATGAATTTCTTACAATAAATAGCAACCAGATTTCTACATCCATTTCATTATACTTCCATAGAAATGGCTAGCGGCAGGCCTCAGTAGTATACTGGTCATGTAAATAGAATCTTATTTACTTTCGATTCATTATGTAATAGTAAACGAATTGCACAAACGGAGTATTTTCTATTTTCTTTATAATTCCTAGAATCCAATAAACAGTTTAGGTTTATACCTACACTGTACCTAATGCTTTCCTAGATAACCGAGCAGATAGTCTACAAAAGTTACGTGAATTTATACATTAGTATCTACCTAATTGTAGAATTAATTAATACTTAGATTGTAGTAATATTGATATCTATAATCATCATTATTATTATTATTATATAGTATAAAACAAAGTCGCTGTTACTGTCATGTATGCTTAAATCTTAAAACTACGCAACGGATTTTGATGCAGTCAGTTTTTTAATAGATAGAGTGATTCAAGAAGAAGGTTTCTATTTATAATACATGTACACCCGTCCGAAGCCGCGGTGGGTAGTCTGAGATAAAAGGGAAAAACGCTGACGAGAAAAATAGATAGAATTTACTATTTATACAGTTTATATTGAACTTAGATATGAAAACCATTAAACTATACCTACCTATTACTGAACACAAGGGTTAGCAATACCTAATCATATTTTTAAAAATATATTAAACGCAATTTATATATAAATTACTTCATAGTAAAGTAATGTGCAAATTAATACAATATAGATTTTCCTGTTTGTTCAAGATATTCAGAGGTGTTTGTCTGAAATTACTAATTATGAAATATTTTAATTATTTATGGCGCCTGACATCATTCATACATTTAACGTTTTTAAATAAACCACTGCGTTATCACTGAAAACATTATATAATAGGCCTCAGTTTCCCATTGTAAAATCATTGGGTTCTACTGGTGGCATAGGAAGTGGACTCGGAGTACAAAATGTCTCTACATGTAAGTGTACATTATTTTATACACAATATTCCACATACAACATATACCCGATTACTTTTTTACCATGTGAAAAAACTACCTACATATTAACACACTTTTTTAAATTTTAAAGTCTCGTTTATGTTTTTTTTATTTATGTTTTCTCACATTCGTAGTAATAAAGGCAATTTTTCTCTTTTAAGGTGTACTGCTGTATGCTAGCGTTGCTGCTTGCAGAATGCTATGGTAAATATCTATTAAATATATTATTTAGCTGACAATCCTATAATTAACAATTTCTCTAAAAATATACCTAATTAATATAGTATTCAATTATACTTTCTTCTAATTCTGAATAACTTTTTAATTCACGTCACTATTGCGATAAAAACACAGTTTGAACTCATACTATACGCTGTAGACTATTTATATATTATATATATATATATATATATATATATATAAACATGTCCCAACTAACCCAATTAGCCTCGATAGAGTATTCATTTCATTAACACCACTAAAGCTACCGGATCAATAGGATGAATTATTGTAACACTTTAAAATAACGGAATAGTAGCTAGTGAATGAAAGTTGGTTTGATACAAATATACCCAGAATAAATTGGGCATATCAAGTGCTGCATTCACTATAACATTGGCGGTTAACTTCATTGCTTTGGCTTGCCTCCTTGGATAGTCCCATTCATTACATCTTCACAATTTATTTTATTATTATTTTTTATTACAGCTCGTCCAGCTACAGTCGAGTCTAATCTAGGAGGCAGTGTTCAATCTGGCTGGAATATGGGCGGCCATGTAGGGTACTACGACGAGGACTCGGCAGATAGTGGTTTTGATGTCGCTGCTGGTGCAAACGGAATGTGGGGCGCTGCAGCAGCCACTGGTTGGGGCCTGCAGGTCGGTCGGAACGGTGAACATGGAGGAAGAGGTCTCGCATTGGCTGCCAAAGCTGGGGCCAGAACTGCAGGTAAAACTGGAGCTGGCATCAATGGACGCCTGGGAAAGAAACACATGGATGCTAGTGGTCAAATAGGTGGTCAAGTTGGCGCAAACGTTGGGGCCAACAAAGGTATATACTTGTCCCCGCCGACTGGAGAAGATGACCCTTGGAGGTCGCTTGGTAATTGGGGTGCACCAATCAGTAATCCCTCATATAGATACACCTATCACAGACCAAGCCAGTATTATGATGCATAATTTTTACAGAGAAGCATTGACGACTTCATTATTTGTGTGATTATCGTAACAGTTCAGTTATAACATAATACAAAATTATTTTTTTAAAGTCTAAATTAAAATACACATTATAAGGTTAAAAATGTATAAGAAAACTACCTCATGAACAGTTTAACCGCATAAGTTTCAGTTCAGTAATTAGTATAAGCTATTTTGTTTGTTGTTTAATTTTGTATAACTACTTTACTTAGGTACCTATACTTAAAACATAACAATTGTATTTTGTTTACTGAAAATAGTACTTTGTAATTAATTTACGAATGCCTAAAATAAAAGTTGTAATAAATAATTTTCATAGCAAATTATTGTATTTTTTATATCTGTACTTTATATCATTGGAGAAAAAATATTCTTACGACGTATAAAAAATAATAAATATCATATTGATACGATGATGTAATAGTGATAAAATGAAATAGTATAATTATATTCCACAAGTAGGTACATTTTCCTAACACACAAATTAGGATTAGCAAACAATTAGTTTTTATTTTTCAGTAGGATATATGTTGTCTTCTGCTAGGAATATAAACACAAAATTAAACACGAAATAAAAGGTACTCCGTTAATTACAAACATATATTTTTCAATATAAGCATTAAAAAGAACAGGATACCCGCATTACTGAAAAGGCGGCCGGAGGATAGAAACAATTTCACAACTTGCCACCACACTCGTGTTATAAGTCATTATTTGTCTACATTGTCATCTTTTTCATGTTATTGAAATGGCAGGCTACTGACGATACGCCTGGTGGTAAGCAGTAACCATTGCCTATATACTTGAACTGGACTACGGACGTCAACTTATTTCGTGGCACTTGTGATACCCTGTCATGCGTTGCTACTCCAGAGAACTAAGATATCATACATCTCATTCTGTATTTCACTACTAAACAGACCCTACATCCGAAACACAGTTTACAAGTAATTTTACGAAGACCTTGACCCTTGCCATTAAACAAATAGCCAAGTACAATGGTGTTGAAATAAATTTGATTCCCGTCTTGTGAAATATGGTTTTGTTATGTACTAATGATGTTTACAAAACACTTCAGTAAACATACACGACACGTTCTAAAATATAATTATAATATGAACTTCCTCCGGGTTATCAGATACTCCCAAATTCAAGATAACGATACATATATAAACACAAGCACAGATTTCTCCGGCATAATTCAATAGGTCAATAAGTTTTCTTCGGATCGACTGCAGAAATGGCATATAAAGTAAGTTTCATGTGTGATAAAGTGAATATTAGATGTAACGGTCTAGGTTTCCCTTTGTTTTGTTGTCATATTATAAATTTCGGTCCTTACGCCTAGTACCACAGGAGAGTGTAAATAAAACTGTGTTTTACTCGAAATCTTCAGTAATCTTTCAATGATTTGTTTGAATGTTAATACCGTAGTGGTCTCATTATATTTTTCTTTATTTTGTAATTTCTACGCAAGTATTCAAATATAACAAAAACAATCGATCTATCATAATGTTACTTATACATTTATTGTGATTTTGCTTGGTAGCACAAAAAAAGGAGCCACTTAAGTTTCTATAAATAATTATTCTATTCAGATATAGTAAAACAGTAACCATTTATATTCGTATATTCTCTATTTCAATTTAAAATACAATTTTTAAGCATGTACATAGAACAATATTATTAGCAAAGGAGGACTTGTTTCTTATATGTAGAATTACGAAACATCGCGGGATTTTACCACGTTTTATTTATTTAGGTAATAATATTAACTTTAGCTAAATTATTTCTATTAACTAGGTAAAATATTCAAGTTATTTAATCTCTATCTACCTAATATTTCAGATTGCGTGCATGTTATTGGCGCTGGCTGTAGCTAGCTACGGTATGTATTTCACTCACTTGATGAATTTTAGGTAAAAATCATAGTTTCTGTTTCTACCATCTCTTATGACTTCACGTCCTTAGTAGTATAGCGGTTAAGCTCGCCGCATTTCTTCTTTAATGGTCGTGGCATCGAATTTTGCTCTATTACGGTAACATAAAGAATAAAATAGAATAGAATTAATCTTTATTCAAATGAACTTAATACAAGCACTTTTGAATAGTCACATTTTTTTTATTCTATTCTCTCTCTACTCAAAACGCAGATCGTTCACAATAAGAAAGAGCAAGAAACGTGTTTTAATGAAATGTAAATCTAACATTAACAAGGATTGGGCATGCGACTATCAACATAGAAACGGCTACGCACTCAATCTTTGTTAATTCATAGAACATTCGCGTTATGAATTTTAAGTTAATTTTTTTCTATCATTTTAAAAAAATGTACTATAAGTAAACAACTTAATAATTATACTGAATACACTTTTAGCCTTACCTCGAGGTAATTACGAAGGTTATGGTGGCCATAGCGGGCATGGGCACGGATATGGTGGTGGTCATGGAGGAATTGCTAATGACCAAGGATTCGGAGGAGCGGATCACGGCGGTTTCGGTACAGGTCAAGGAGGCTATGGACAAGGCGGTTACGAGCAAGGCCAAGGTGGACACGGCGGTTTTGTGCCAGGCCAGGGTAGTCACGGCGGTTTTGGGTCAGGCCAGAGTGGACCCGGAAATTTTGAGTTCGGCCATAACGGAGGCAATGACGGCGACCATGGCTTCGGTGGTTCAGGCGGTCATGGACATCATGGTGGCTACCAACAACATGGATATTAAATATATAAATAAAAATTAAAAACGATATTTTGTTGTTTTAATTTTATAGCATAATTTGACTTTTGATGCTATGAACAAAGTGATATGTATTCATAAAAAAACCGACTCTCTGTCCATCAGTATTCTAACCGCACCACAACTTCGCTAACTTTAGTTTTCAAAAACAAATATTACCTGTTGATAGCTCTGACACACGACCTGTTAACAGGTAGAATTCTGCCAGTACTTACCTATACGGTACGACAATAATAATGATAATAATAATTCCGGACAAGTCAAATATCAACATCTAGTACCAAACTAAGCAGAACTTCTATTACATGCGGTACTTAATCATAAATACAAATACGTGCGTCATATTTATAGTGTCAATAGCACAGGCCCTTCTAGCGTGAACCATTTTATTTTCCTGGCCAGATTATATACCTACACACAAAAACGGATATACTTCGAGTTATAATAAATACCTACATAAATTCTCACAAAAAAATATACCTTTATATACCTACTTATTTTACAACTGACACACGCAACTTCATCTCCGTCACATTTCCCGTTTTATATACAACAAATTATATATAATATCAGCTACCCACCTTACGCTCACACAGTTGAATGCACACACACACACACATGATGTTATATACACCAATGCTCAATTTTTCGATTAAATGTTTATTCTATATACACACAAGTATCATAATAATAAACATTTGTCAAAATCGGATCATACTAATGATATGTAATCAAAAACATTATTACAAAATCTCATTAGTACAAACTTTACCGCTAACAGACTCTTATGATATGTCAAAATCTACCGTCAGTTCGGAGTGCATTCGAGCTAACAAGAAATTCAGCTCTTAATCTTTTCAAATGACCTTGTCAACGACAATACAGATTCATTTTTAAATTCAAATTAGGGAGAATAGTGTGACCACCAACATATGCTATTACAATTTTGTCAAAAGGAAATCAGTGTCCGTAACCAGAACTTTATAATTTATAATATTAGTATCGGTTATAGTAGTTGGAATCAAACTATTGCAACTTGTAAACATAGAAAATGACGACTGTCCCTTGTTTGTTTAGATGACCCACCAGCAGTTATAGCGATAGTGATTAAAATAATTCCAGTAGGTACCTGATATAAAATGATGTTAAGAGTCAAGGTCTTAGATTATTTATCATATACAAAACAAGCTCACAACCGAAGCAAGACAAGTACAGATTAAGTAAATTGTTTTGTTCATTGCTCTTAATTCTTATCATGTCGTTATACGTATGTACCAGTCATTAACCATTGGAGATCGTCGGCTACTGCATTATGCAACACAATTCTCAATTGCTCCAGATTAAAGTCAATCATTTGGCGATTTTGTATGATCTATATAAAAGCAGTTACAAGGTAAGTTATGGGTACGCTTCGCAAGGGCAACTCTGATATAGAATTTATTACAACAAGATTTGATAATATCCAAGGATTTCTTATTGCCGAATATGCACCTTATCAAATATTCTATACTTCAATTTTAGTATTACATATACGATAGTTGTCAAACTGTCTGTGTGTTTGTCTTTTCAAGGATATGAACTGAAAATCGAACGAATTTGAACGGAACTTAGTATGTATAATGACTATACTGAGAAATGTATATCTGTTACTCATAGCACATTTAACATAACTCATAGGAACCACAGTGGTAAAATCCTGGTAAATTCGCCAATAAAATATGTAATAACAGAGAGCCGCCGTGATGCATCAATTAACAAGCTAGTCGATAGCACACTGGTATATTAAGGTCCCCTCTGATCGATCCCCCAATCCAATTCAAACGGGGAACGAAATTACGACGCATTGAGCCGAGGTACGAATCACTAGCGGTGGCCTCAGACTAAAGTCGTATCTGTCAGGCCTTCAGCCGCTCCATAAGTGCTTTCGCAGATTTGGAGTCTATCTGCACTCGGCCTCTATCGCCCCGTGAAACTGTAAAGGCCAACTGCGGCCAACAGCATTAGTATAGTCCGTAAAAAAACTGGTATTTTAAATAAATAACCGCTCAATGGAGATCGCAGCCCCGCCATAACCATCATACATAACATTGACCTAAATTAATTATCTTCCATTGGTGCCCCGTCCATACTATTAGTGCAGATTGGTATACCATACCATTATCAAAAAAAATCATATCTTCGCTGTAGATCTTTCTGGAACAGGAATATATATTGTAATAATAAAACATCATCATTTGAAAAACAATAAGTATTATTTATTCTTGTAATTTTAGTAGATACACAATTTGTCTATTTGTGTTTCCATTTTTAACTGTATAATTAATCTCCAAGTCTTGTCCATTCAATGAAAGGCAACTCAATGCGAAGCAAATTGTTATACAAGGTATGAGAAAATCTACTTTCCTGTATTATAGAAAAATACACGTCCTTAGTGCTTTGACTGTCTATATCTATGACTGCTAATTCTTTTATTTATAAATATTGATGTAGATACTATTTATTACACTGTGTATATTTATCTTTGTAAACTGTGACAATAAATTACATTATAATGTTAACAAATGCAGGGTGCATTTGTTGTGATGTTATATATATATATACCCATTGACTATTTAACGCTATGATTTTTAAAACCTTATTATTTCGACATATATAAATCACACTGCGTTCTAAATCAATATATATTATATCTACTATTTACATTAACTAACAATTATATACACAGATCAATAATTTAATAAAAACAAAATAAAATAAAAGCATTATCTATTTTCAACTAACATTAAAGCATCTCAGAAGGCGAACAAACGAACACTATTATTATGATAAATATAATTTCGAGATAATTTCAACTCTGTGCCATATACGTTTAAAGTTAACACAATAAATAGTTATCGCTCCAATATCTTGTATCTTATATATTTTACGTTACCCTGTAGCAAAGCGATTGTTAGAAATGAAATAAATAATTGCCATAAAATAATATATTGTTATATGACTTAATTTATATTGGTTTTTGATAAGCAACCTGACCTAATCCAACAGATAGCACAATTTCTCACAAATCTATTTGCTAGATAAATACAAATTCAACCACAAAGAGAGAAGAGAGGAAAAAAAATAATAGAACATGTAATTAATCACTGTATACCCTCAAGAATAATAAGAAATATATCCCGATAAATTAAATGAGTTCAGTAAGTAAACAACAAAATAGTAGATTTTATATGTATATGTGTTAAAATGATATGACATATGTTATGTACCTTATCTGTTAGATTTCAGTCAGATAATTTATCTGGCACTAAGAAATGGTAGTGTTCCCAGATCAACATATACACCACCAGATTACACTTTCTTTTGATACTGTTAACATTTGTCTTTTGGCGGATTACACTTATAGTAGGTCTACAATTTAGCATAAATCTCTTAATTTGTCGACTAGCTATAAACGATCAATTTTGACTTTGTATAATTAAATTATTAAGTTACCTTCACGAACAACCGTGAAAGTAAATTCATAAGTTATTAACCCCAGATTGAGTTACAAAGTTGCGTTTCGCAACGCTCGACATGCCTGCATTTTGATGGGTATGTTTAATCTATCGAATTAATTATGACATTAAGTTTAAAGTCGATAAGTCACCCGTAAACGGGCCATACAACTTTAAAGTAACAGCATTACATTGAAATTTGAATAACGCTTAGTATTAATATCTAACGCAGGGTTAACCCTACTTAAAAGGTTGAAAAATATTAGATTGAATTCTCTATATCAGGTCATTTTTACTATCAGGTACGAGTACACGAAGCTTTATGTCATTGGGCACTTTTATATTAAAAGACACGATTCCGTAAGATTTAAAAGAAATTAAATAAATTGTATGCAGTTGTTATAAAAATATGCCATGCCTCATTGGCGGAAATGATGAACCTACACGGAACTTTAAGACATTCTACATAAATTAAAAGTAACAAGTAAGAATGAAAACAAAGATACGGATTTAACAGGTTAACCAAACCTACCACCATATAAACCACTATTATAATACTTCACAGTGTATGACGTCACACATGAAATCAGTGTGTTCATAAATTCTAACATTAACATGAGCAAATTTAACATTTATATGTAACAAAGAATATAAAACAATCGACATTTTCAATAGAATTAACAATATTATAATTTACTGCGAGCGATGCAGCAATGCACATTTTGCTATAAAGATTTGTATGGACTTATAATACATATATATTATAAGCAGGAATATATTTTTTTATATTGGCTTTACCCACTTACGTCATAGGTTTTGGTCCTACTCAGGATATTTATTATTTCAACATACATAATTATTTGTATAAAAAAAATTTGTTCACAATGGATCAAATTGGCAATTAAATTAGAGGTAACTTGTACAAAACAAAAGAACGTAAAACATAAGAAAAATTATTTGAAATATAATTTGTGCATTAGAAAGAAAATTATATCGAATTATAAATAAAATTATATATAAATTTCTTAAAAAATCAATCGATATTCTGCTAGTCAATTTTAGGCGTAATCGAATCGAGACGACAGATACTGAAGAACATTTTCAACACACACTTTTTATATTATTTGTCATTTACAGAATTTTCATATCTTATTTATTTCATTTCGATTCAATCGAGTCCACTTGTCGAGTACCAATTACACTCGCTTCATTAATTGCCAAGTCGACTTGCTGAGAACTAGTTATTTGTGTTACATCGTGTACGCTTGCAAATTAATAAATCATTATGAAGAGTCACGCTCTGGTGACGTTAGACTAAGAGAACGCAAGAATCAGACAAACGACGTTGTTCCTGCATTAAGTCAATAAATAAATGCACTTGAAATGCTGTATCACGTACGAAGAAAATTTATAAGAGTAGGCACACCGGAATTCGCTCAAGTGGTCTAACTGCATTTTAATACCAATTCAATCAAAAATACATATAATTTGTTAGACGCATTTGAAAATACAAGATGCACTTTTAATTCTATACATTTTGCACAATTTAATGATACTAATAAGGTAATGAGGATTTTTCATTATATGCATAGCTCTAGGGTATCTTTGTAAGGTTCTCTATTAAATAAAGAAACCAGCTTAAAATAAACAATACAGGGTTACTCTGTGCGTTAGTAAATGTACCTGTCATTGTATCCCCGTCACCAATTAAACGCAATATACAAATCTGATTATATCTGGTTGCACAATGCATACCATAACTAAAATGTAGTAAATTCGTTAGTGGAACATAAACAGATTACCATTTGGGTACTATAATAAAAATTATAAACTTAATAATGTTAATTACTATAATTTATAAGATCGTGGTTTAATTAATATATAATACAAAATAATTTAACACTGCTGCCCTTTATAAGATGGATGGTCTCGACTTTATTCTATTAATATTTAATAACTAACATATACAGTCTAGTAATTAAGTTTACAATAGTAGCACATCCCTTTACAGATTATTATACTTTACCTAACTTTGTGCAAAGATATTTAAAACAAAATGATTAGACATAACTTGGCAACCCGATTATTGAAACTCTCCGATCATAAGAACGTGGGCGGCTCTACCACAAACGCTCACCGTTATATTCTATACTCAAACACCGCTGCCTCTACCAGCGAAGTCATCAATATGCCACATTGGATCCGTAGGTATCCACTCTGAAGTATAATCTTAATATCGGTTTCGATCCAATCTAGTTTTGTATTGTCCTTTTAAAATATAATCAAGACAACACCGAATTAATTGATAAAATGTCAATAATTTCGTTGACCACAAAATTTGGTATTAATGCTTTGTTAATGCATAATTGAATAGAATAAGTATGAAACGGGGTAATCCAATGTTATTGGATCGAAATTAGTTTCCAGAATAGACCAGCAGGTGTTATATAAGAAGGCCAATACATTAACTATTAAACTGTAATTATTAATATTTTCAGTATCATTACATTTGACGCGCTATACTAACCACCATCAATACAGACTTAGTGACAACTGGTTGGTCCATACACAGAAATAAACAAAGTAATTCTATCCCCGGCCCAGAGCATAGCGTCAAAGGTTAGAACACATTAGAAGATATTTCAACACACATTTGAACACATGTTGGCACAAATAAGTGGAGCTGCCAGTACCAATTAAGTACTGTACTTTGCACTCGCTTTTACTGTACAAAACACGTCACTCACTTGAACTTTAACGCCTAGATGTGTGTTAAAAAATCGACACAGGACGGGACAATGATAATATTTGCACTTTGAAACTACATCTGAGGCCGGCTTAATTCAATAGTTAACATAATTATTCAAGCGTGGTAACAGTGGTCGAGGCAAGTAACGCAGGAGTTACAAACTCAGGCGTGGTGACGATTGACGAATCGCTGATAAGAGGCGATACAAGCGGCCTATATGTAGGTGGGACAGTGGTCGAGACTCGTGCCGCAGGCGTCGCAAAGCCGCGCGTCGCGGCGGTTGACGAGCGTGCAGGCGGGGCACTCACGTCCTCCCGAAGTTAACGGCTGGATCTCAGGGCCTCGACGCGACTTACCGCACATCTCGCAGGCGCCTAGCGCGCCGCGGTTCAGATAAGTGCATGTCGTGCACTCCCACCGCTCGTCGCTTCGCTCGGGACGCACAGACGAGCGACTGGCGGGCCGCGCGGTATCCGGCTCGTCTAGCGATACTATTAGCTGCGCTTTTAACTCATTATTTGGTTGTGTGGAAATTGAACCTGAAAGAGAATTTATAATTTAATAATAGACGTTGTTTTATTATTTATGTAATTAAAATTCTACTATGTCAATTGAATTTTAAATTTTTCTAGGATTATTTTCCAAATGTAGATTTAGTTCGAGACAGAAGATATAAATATATTGAGATGTCGCTACTTTGTTTGATACGTATTTTATTCATAATACATATAAATCCTGGACATATTTATTACTTTCTAAATTAATTTCGTTACTAGACTATTGCTATTGAGTAGAAACAAAATATGCATCATGACAAGGGCCCGCACTGGACACTGCAACTTGAATAAACACATGGCAAATTTAAGCCTGTGTTCAGCAAAAATCTGCATATTAAGTCAAGCTAAAGAGGAAACGCCACTACACATATTATGTGGTCTTACCCCGCTCATGCATAAACGAAATATTTGCTTTGGAAAGTATTCAATCTATCCTGGCCAATCATCACTCCTCTTAGAAATGAAGGATTTAATTAAAGGATATTATTTAATCCTTCAATTGTTGTCCCTGACGGGTCTAGGTCCGAAATTTGAAAAAGGGCGAGCACAATAGATTTACGTAAATTGCAGTGCTACAGGTCAACATTAGTATATAATAAATAAAATAAGATAATGTAGCCGTTAAATATAACAAAATATTTATACAGTTCTTCTATAGAGTTACTAAATAAATCTACATACCTGTATTACTCTTGGAACTGTGTGGCACATTATTTATTCCATTTTCTACAGGTTTGCTCTTGCTCGGCTTTTCAACTTCTATGGCCACATTTTTCGTGGGCTTTTTTACTTTTTTCACTTCTGCCGTACTCGACATTGTACCATTTATAGAATTTTGCTGCTTGATTACTTCCTTCCTGTCTTTTATATCTTTCTTTGTCAATAACTTCACTTTATCCGGTGCAACTTTCGTCGGGATTAAGGCGTCAGCCTTAGGATTACCGATGGGTTCAAGTTTCCGTATCCTCTTTTCTTCCGCTTGTTTCTTTGCTAATTGCTTAGCGCGTTTTAACTCTTGCTCGTGTTTCATCTTCATTAAATTCTCGTTCACTTTAGCCGTTCGATAAACTTCGTCGTCGTATGACCGGTCGAGATTCATCGCTTGTAGACCATCTTCTAAGTCAAGTGTTGTAGGTTGATATTTCGCTCTACGTTCTTCCCTGTCCAATCTGTCAAGCGTCCTCGAATCCCTATCGAGAGACGGTGAGTATCGACTCCGGCCGTCACCGTCTTGATCTTTGCTAGACAAATTTCTAAATACATAATCCCAGCTTTCGTATGTCCCCATACCATCCTCTCTGGCTTTACTCAAAACAGGTTGAGTGTCTGATCGAGGTAAACTCGGTAAAGTAATATCACTGAAATTTGATTTCGACGTGCTATTCCGCCTCGAGTTTTCAAGTTGTCTATTCTTTTTGTGACCACGATCCTCATCTCTGTGCCTGTCAAACTTGCCATTCTCATAGATAGATGGCGAATCCAATTCTATTAATTGAGCTGTTGGGACTGTTGGATACCTATATTGTGGTATAGGTGGATAACCATTGATAGGAACATTGTTAGCATGTTTTATAGGTGCGTATACAGGAGTAGGTATCATGTACGGCGACTGAACGGGATAGTAATAAGGTACCCCATAAGGAGTCATCATTGGTACATTGGTAACTGTTACAGGTACGTCCGGGTGCATATGCTGATGTGGAATAGGGTACATCATCTGAGGAGGTATGGCATTTGGGGCCATCATATAGGAAGGATGCATCATCGGCACAATGGGCTCATCCAATGAGGTTTCTTCTGGACATATTCGGTTGCATGTAGTTAGGGGATGGTACCTGTTCCGTGACGGAAGTTCTGTTACTGTTACTGGCACATTGGAGTATATTTCTGGACCTGAAATTTTAAAAAAACGTGTATATGTAGCTAATTACCTAAGCGTAAAGTTGAACTGATTGAGATTGGGACAGAGTTTATTTTTAATCTTAATATTATAAAAAAAAATGTTATTGATACAGAAAATAACTTACATAATTATAGAAAACCGAATCCCATAAACCACACCCAATCAATACAAATACAATAATTATACATTAAAAATATTCAGATTATTTTAACAAGAACAATTTAATTTCACTGTACAGGTTGCAAATGAATTCAAGAAGCTGCATCACAGATTTCCATTTCATAACAAAATTCACACATTCACACACTAGGACTTGTGATAGCCTTACCGTCGACATATGACAGATCAATATGGCGAGCATCCCGCAGGGGCGGTAGTTGTTGTAGATGCGGATGTGGATGTTGGTGCGGATGTGAGTGCGGGGCGGCGAGGCGCGCGGCGGCTGCGGCGGCGGATGCGGCGTGCGACACGCGCTCGCGGGCCACATCCGCCCACGACACGCGCGCGCCGCTACTCCACACCGCCTCCCAAATCTGAGACATTATCTGAAAAAAAGGCGAACATTCTCGTTATCATTCAGATCTACATTTGAATTATTAAAACCGACTCTAATATCGAGTAGCACGGTGTACATTTCCAAGCAGTAAGGCTTTTTAACATAGACAATACACAATTAAAGACTTTTTAAGGGCTTGCATTTTTTTCTGTTGGAATAGTTTTTTTATAGTAGATACTGATGAATATATTAGCAGCAAATTTCAACACAATGTACATTGTTACTAAATTTCTGGAATAAATAAGTAACTGTGGAAACAGTGTAAAAAATAAGTGACAAATAAAAATTTGTCGTAGTCTAGTGTAACTACGACAAATTTTTATTCTTGCAACCTGCATTGCAAACTGCATTCTTGAACAATGTAATCAATTATATCTTTATGGTTATTCGATCCAGAATTTAATCTGTACTTAAAGAAATTATAAATAATACATTAGAAATCTGTAGCATGCAATTACCTGACATTCACACTGGGCAATGAGCGCATCTCTGGAAACAGCTGCGACCATATCAGGGCAAATTGGTGCATCAAGAGCCATGCGGCCGGAGCCCACTGACTTATATCCCATTGCATGCAGCAGTATCTCCGCGCCTACCATGTTCGCCTCTACCTCATGTTTATAGTAACCACAATATAACTGGAAAGAAAATAAAATATAAAAAACTTTTAAACAACCGCAAGACTACCGAGGCCGTCGAATATTGAGGCCAAGAAGTATTTCAATAAAAAAATATATATTCAGTACAAACTCCACACACGTATTTAAACATGTATATTTTCTAATGTCTGATTTACTTACCCTTATGACCTTATATTCCTTCCGCCATGGTTGTGCGAGAAGATTGGCAGCGTACCGCGCTAGCGCCGCCCAACCGAGGCCGGCACGGTACGCGCTGAATTCTGACAACTCATTGATAGTCCGCTGGAACACCTTGCCAGTCTCTGCTAGCCCAAACTTGCACTCATGTGGCACTAGTGACAGGTACTCGATAATGTAATCTGTTAAATTAAGTTAAGATAGTTGTGATTTTAGATATTATGATATAATAAATATACCCTAATCATCAATGGGTATGAAAATAGTTGTTGGCTGATTTAATCAATTAGGATGTAAATTATGCTATCTCTGCCATACTAAATTGGTTCACATGTAATAATCTATTATTGAACTCCAACAAAACTAAGTGCATTAAATTCACGCTGCCTAATGTAAAACAAGTAAATACGCAGCTATTGCTTAATGATGAAATAGTAAATTTTGTTAATGATACAGTTTTTTTAGGAATAACAGTGGACCCGAAGTTACAATGGGGGCCCCATATTTCAAAATTAGCCAGTAGACTTAGTTCTGCTGCTTATGCAATTAGAAGGATAAGGCTCAGACCTATCCGACATGCACACAAAATTTTATAATAATCAGTGAAGCCATTTTAGAGAAATATGGTAACTAACATTGTGATATAAGAATTTTATATATAAGATGTAGACAAACCAATTTAATTTTATTTATATGTGTATATAACACAAAAATTTCGATATTTACTAAATAGTTCAATGAGTAACCTTCTAATTTCTCTTTCTGCTGCAACTTCTCTGGGCTGTCGTCAGTTTCGAGGTAGCTATAGTGTGTGTCCTCGATACGCCTCCACAGCGCCGGCAGACGCTCGCGCAGCAGCGCGTCGCCCATGCCTGTCGCGCACGTCATTACCATCACACACGCTCTTCACACCTCACCTGCCGCCAACATAGCTCAATTCAGCACATATCATAATCATCTTCTTACCTTTATCCCAAAATAGTGGGTCGGCCCAATATAATATCTCAGGACAGTTCACATAGCGCCATCAAGTACCAAGTTAATCAGAGATCGCGTGATGGGTACTAGACATCTATATATACAATATAATAATACATAGATACAATAAGATATAAATACATAGATACATTATTTGGTAAATACATACATACATACTATAGAAAGGAAACACTGTCACACACTGACAAGTGACTGAAACACTGACATTTTATCTGTCTGGGTGTTCAATTCATTGAAGGTATGTCAAAACAAGTTAGGTAGATAGCACGCTACAACAGATATTGAGCCAAACCACAATTCAGGATATAAGAGGATAAGAGCTTGTAGCTCCACAAGATGGTCTGCCGAAATTTGTTCATCATAAGATACATGTACCATGACAATTTCCATTATGCAAAAAATCAACACACATAGAGAATAACCAAAACAGGAACCAATCTGTGAGTCAGTCACAAACCTCAATAATGAAGATAATCACTTGACAAGTGTATGTTATAATTGGGCTAAGCCTATACTACATTAGATGATTGACTTTGCCATTAACACAACCCTTATTGTAGTACTGCCTAACCTATTATTAATACATTCATTTCATTTGAATAATTATATTAATCAAAATAAACATTCTAAATCAATGCTGATTGCATACATTACAATCAATCAAATGATAAAAGCTAATAAAATTAGATATTTAAAATGTTGATAAGTACAATGTGAAGATATGATAATATAACTTCACATTGTACCTAACAATTACAGCTACAATAATACAATAAATGAGTCATAAAAGTTGATTTCATTACTAACCATTAGTGCTAATGTCTGTTTTCTCTTCATATTTTACAGTAATGAGATGAATAAATAAAGACTATGTAAAATAAATATTCACTATTTACTGGTCTATATTCACTATTTACTACTATGTGGTCTGGCAGTGTATTATGCCAACTTATATCCGATGTAGCAGGTTTAATTGCTCACAATTTGTTAATATTAATGAAATATGATATACAATATTATTAAAGATGAAGATATGTGCATCTTATCAGGCCATACTTTATCTTGAAAAATAAAGCAGATGTAGCTGTAATAGCAAGTGAGTTATAACAAATAGTATCGAATACAAAAATTGGCACCAAATTGTTTATATTACTAAGTGATATTTAATTAATGATACAGTAACCAAGTGAACATAAACAAGAAATCTAGGTTGGCAGAAAAAAGTTGATATAAGAAATTAAAAAAAATGTAAACACAGGTGGCATGGTTAGTTCCAGAGAAGTATGGAGGTGCTTTTACCCATGAGGGTTAAAAAGCAGAATAATATAATGTACATAGTTATGTGGAATACCAACTCTATCATAATAATAAAATATAATAGACAAATACATTTCTGCATTTAAAATATGTGTCTCAGTTTAACAATATAAACAAAAATAGAAACAAAACAGTCATGCTGTTTATCAGTTTATGTCTATACTATTAAACAAGATTTCATTATTAGTAATTTCACAAAATATTAAAAAATACTACACATCTAACAATAATTGATAACATTTACTTCATGAGTAATCTGAGGAAAATACTATATTTATAGAAACAATCAATTCATTGACATTCAGATTTCACAAAACATTATAAATGGCAATTCTACGTATACAATATTTTGTCATAACAATACAAAATAATTATGTTATCAAAATACTATAAAATTATGAATCTATATTTTATAATCACCCAAAGCGTTTGTGTATATATTAATAAGTAATTGTTCTATTGATTTTTTGTGGAAATCGTTTATAATGTATATATCCTCATACTTTGTAAAACCCGTCATGAGCTATGTACATATGTTATGGTACAAGCTTATGTGCATATATATATTTATATGCATATACAATACACATATCAGAAAATAAATATTAATGTAATATATCAACAGTGCACAGAAATGAGTATGAACAGAGCACAAGTAGTCATATAATGAAAATTATTATGATACGGAATGTACACGAACGTAATGCTGAGCAAAAAATATGATAATGACCATCACTCCCACGCGACATTATTCTATAAGTAATTTGTAATCCCATTTCACCAAAGTTTTAGTTGGTTATTACATGTAATAACAACGGGAGACCTATTAAACTTACCACGCACGAAGAACATTCTTTTCCTGGATGTCAAAATTATTTCAATGCACCGAATGTAGAGCGGACAAAAATAGTACACCAAAAATAACAAAGGGTTGGCTGTTAACTTAATGTTGACGACATGATTAAATTGTTTATGCACCTTATCTGTTTAGAACCTTGTTTTTAAACTGCAGAAAACATTTATTAAGAAAAAATACCAATAAAATGAAAATAGTATGTAAAACAAAATTTTATTAACCTTGTTTTGACGTTTGATTATGAGAGGTGGCTGGTCTGATGGCCTATTCTGACACTGACAGTAGAAGTCAACAACTGTCTTCTAAGTATCGCAGAGCAACATCAGTTATTTAGGCTGTATGTTCTTGTACCAAAAATGTAGTTGTAAAATACCAACACGAGATATTGAGAGGGTTTATAGTCGTATTTTTAATTAGACGTGACGTTTCCTGCCTATCCATTTGTAGTGTTGTGACAAAGTGAGAAAAACTCCTGAATTAATGGAATTGTCAAAATACCAACACGAGATATTGAGAGGGTTCAGTTACATCTTCTTCTTATTCCTCTTATCGCTCTGTCCAAAACTTGTTTTTATTCATTAAAAAAATCATTGTTGCTTTCAGTCATTAATTATAAATCTGTCTGCTCTCCTAATTTTTCGGCGCCATAACTAAAAAATTATACATGTTTAATATAACGGCTATGAATCAAAATTAATATATTTTTACGTATAATTAGTAAAAATCTCTTACCACGTTTTATACTTATATATTTGCTGAGTTCCCGATATTTCGGCTTCAACCACCGTGTTTCACCGCTTCATCAACAGTGTTTCAACCACCATGATCACGGGTAAACTGTGTGTCAGTTTACAACATGGTAAGATCCCGTGATTTCTACTAATTATACGTATAAATAATGACCGCGTCTAATTTAAAACAGTATATAATATATTTTTGTATCAATTGGAGTTTGTAATTTTGTACGATCACAAATGCAATTTTAATCGCAGAAGTCGTTTGCGTACCCACGCAAACGACTCTGCGATTAGAATTGCATTCCTCAGCTTACCTATTTCAGTCGCCAAGCAACTTACTTTGTAAGCTGTATTTCGGTTGTAGGGTACAATTATAGGGAATAGAGACGTTTTGTCCGTTCATAAAATAAAAACAACATAATTATTTCAAATTCAGTATTCAGTTTACAATTATTTCATTTTCAGTGTATATCATAGTTTCCCGTTATACCACGTGAAATATATTACTTTCAACTACGGAGTGCACATCTCGCTCGCTACGTGGGCGTTTCAATAAGTCTGCTTGCAAAGCATTTATTTTATTTAATTTAGTGCCAAATTTAAACTTTGAGTATTTCTCGTTTAAATTTTTCTATAAACTAAATAAAGATGTTTAGACCTCACGTAAAATGTTGTGTAAATCGTAAATTTCATGATAGTTAATTACTATATGTTAATGATTTCATGTTAGTAGATACTTGGCGTTTACCTGTATTGTTTATTAAATGGATCATGAACGCATATCCAATGTAACCACGTGGGACTCAGAAAACTAAATCCACATCCACACATCCACATAAATAAAAACCTTTTCGACCATTTCATTAGATAATAAAAATAAATGCATATTTTATCTGTGGTGATAAGTATTTAATCCATTACAATCGCCGGCGCCGTCTAAAATGGGTAACACAATTATGTGTGGTGATATTGTACAACAATAAACTGTTGTTAACGTAGTTCTGTAGTATTTATATGGTCTGTGAATTATTGAAGATTGGCGGTAATTTCAAAATATTGCATATCGTCACACACACAAATAGTCGTATCTAAACTAATAATATAAAGAGGTAAAGTTTGAGTTTGTAATGTGGTAGAGGTGATCAGATTAATATAAAGGTAAATTTAATATTGGATAGCCCATTTATAGTGGAAGGCTATATAATATGCAACGCTCAATAATAGCGGAGCTGCAGTAAAAAGTATAACAAAAACGGGATAAATGTGACGAAAACGAAGTTGCTCGGGTCAGCTAGTGAAATTATAAGGTGACTAGCATTATTGATTACATTAAAAAAAACTATGATTTGTATAATATACATATTATACTATACATCACAGTCCATCTTCTGCGTGTTTTTTTTTCTTTTTTATATGTATAATATTCGATTATGTATAATTATTTGATGTATATTATATTATATATGTATTCATATGTAAATTTGTGTCATTTCTGTGTACGTTCGCTGATATCTACTATATTTTATTTACATAAGTGTATATAATAACATATTTCCACTAATGCGCCACCTACTCTATTTTTTGTAAATACTCTCTTTCCAAAGGTTGTCTGTAAGAGATTGCATTAGCGATAAGACCGCTTTTTGTACTTAGTTTTATTTTTTATGTTTTTAATTTTGTTCTTGTCCTTTATATGATGGTGCAATAAAGTGTTATAAATAAATAAATCACAGTCCATTTTATACGTACTTACTTTTATTTCATCTTTTGCTGTTTTTTATTGCAAAACTGTCATTCATAGACTATCGCGTTGGTCTAGCAGTTTAGCATACCGCTTTACTTCCGATATAATATTATCTTATATGTGCTTCCGATGGTAACCAACTATACGTCGCGGGTTTGATTCCGCGTGTGAGGAGTACGGGGCATCGTGCAATCATGCAAACTAAATATGATGAGTTTGTGATTGGTTGGTCTAGCTGTTTTGTATGTATATATTTAAAACTAAAATGTATTTAATTATTTCTATCAATTGTTTAATACCCCAAGCCAAGCTTCTGCTTAGCTTGGGGCTAAATGATGCTGTATGAATTGTCTAAAGGTTCTTATTATTATTGCATATTACTGAAAAAACCTTCATATACCTAAGATTCGACTAAAAAATATAAAAAAAAACACTGGCACGTAAGAATGGGACGCAGGAGACATTAGAGATAATCGCGTTTGGACTGTGTGCGGAAATGTCTCAATATTGAGTTAAGAATGGTTACTAAAATATAATATATATATATATATATATAGTTATAAAATATAATTAGTTAATAAAATTATTAAATCAATCGTAGCACAAAATCTTCGTTAATTTAATCGATTTATTTTTTATAAGATTCAAAATTTATATATATTTATTATAAAATGGACATCTTATTTGTAGATAATGGCAGACAAGGTGAAATTGATACATTTTATGAGGTAACATATTCTAAAGCTTCTAAACTTCTATAAAAAAATGTGGTAGGTACTGTTGGTATCATTTAATGTGTAAGTAATTAAATATGGAATGATGTACCCGCCTGTGGTAACGTTGGAAAACTTAACCTTGAATCTTGAACAGTGCTCTTCAAATGTTGCTGGTGTATCAAATAAATGCAGACGTAGCAGTATATATCACTAACGAATAGTCTTAACCAAATTACACCCTATACGCTAGCTAATGCACAATATCACACAGTTTAAATGGTTCACAATATTTATAACATCTACGAGTTTTTCATTTTATAATTACCGACAGTCCACAACTATTGCTAGGCACACACCGCGTTATAGTCTTTGACATATCATATAGGTTCTAACTATTCATCGCAGGGATCGTAGATTTAGGATGAAGTGAGATCAATTAGCACATCGTAATAAATACTTAATTATTTTATTAGTATAGTTTAAACGGGTAGGGTGAGTATCGCCGATAGATAGAGTATCAGTACGGTATTTAGTGAATGTTTAACGATGCATCCATCCAGTTGCATCCAGTTGGCGCGCGAGTGCTCCGATTATTCATACCCAAAACAAAAAAGTTGGCCTAATCACTAGCCGTGTATCTTTATTTTTCCTCAAATAAGCTGAGAGGGCACCTGGTGGTATGTCATAAACTTGATTGCCTATACCTATATCTACATGAACAGCGCCACCACAACGTCATCATATAACATCCGTGATACCACGCATGCATTAATATTCCGGAGGACTAACCTGTAAATTTATTGTTATATCTCACTCTTTAACTAAAACACATCACACACACTCAGTAGTACATATTACAAGCAAATTGCTTGTAATATGTACTACTGAGGGTTTTCACTCTGATTTGTCTACCTCAGTATTTACTAGAGTACCTACACGAACTATAATCATATTTTGTGCTTACCAGGCTTGTCAACGACATAGGGATTATTACAGAGGATATGCAAAGGCAAACCATGCTTTACTTTACTTCAAAGATCAAGAATATCTATGGCAGAGTCCGGCAGGAATGACCGCGTAAGTTTTGAAGATTAAAAAAATCTAAGTTGTCCGTACGAACTGTACTTAGATTTTTCTTGCTGAAAGTAAGAGGCGATTGATTTGGATGTTTTATCTAAATAAGAGAAACAAGCCGACGGTCCACCTGATGGTAAGTGGTAACTGTTTATTATGGTATTCCTGAAAAACACCACAGATATGTAGTTATCATGTAACGCCCAGAACACTACACTTACGTTGCCATTTCGGAGGAAGTCAGAAGTCAGATGATATTATGACTGTATTTCTAAATCTAAAGGCTCAAAACTAAATCGCTTGACAACTGAAATAGGTGAGATTACTACATTTTACGAGACCTCTGGAAACATCCAGGTGCTGTTTTGTATACAATTCGGAATTTAAAGTTCTAAATTAATATTGTACTTTTAAGCGAATGTGGAACTGATTAACGCTTAAAAATAAAATACAAAGAATAAATAGTAACACCGCTTTCAATTTCTTGTCTACATTTCCAGATTATATAGATAGTCTTGCTGGAAACCATTTTTAAATTAGGTAGATATTTATTATATTTATGCGAATGTTGAGATGGATGTTTGATGTGACAAGAATGGATAAGATAAAGAATGAATACATTAGAGGAAGTATGAAAGCGGCGTCTGTTGTGGTATGGGCATGTAATGCGTAGGAATGAAGATAATGTTTTAAGGAAGGTGTTACATATGAATGTGGATGGTTATAAGGGCAAAGAAAGTCCGAAACAGAGATGGATGGACTGTGTGTATGTATGATGGATAGATGGTAAGGTAGAATATGTTTACGCCCTGTAAATAACGAGATCACTGGGATCAGGATAAATGGAAGAGAAAAACAAATGCCCCGACCCCTAATAAATGGGATAAGGATGAAGCAGATGATGTATTTATTATATTTATGGTTTTAGAACTTATCTCGGTTTCCCGATGTACTTCGTCAAATACAAACAGCCTCTGGTCCTACCTAGTACGGGCCGAACTAGCGGACTCCCAGCGTTGCCAGACCGCACACTCGCTGGCCGTTTCAATAAAACTGCTTGCAAGGCGTTCGTGCGATAAATCATCCTGCATACAATTTGTATCTACAATTTTAAATATTATGTGGCAGCATTCCTCTGAGTACAAATAAAATTATCTAGGAGCACGGGTTGATGGATTAAAATAAATAAAAGCTTTATCATTACATTTTATTAAAATTGTGTTTTTATTAACCATTTGTAATTAGGCTGCCGAGATATGGATAATTAAGTTAATTGTGTGTCTAAAATTTTATTACATTGCATACATTTTACAAAAATAACTTTATTATAGTCTAAAATAAAAAGTTGACTTAAACTCAGGCAATCTTGATAGCACGAATTCGAATTCTTGTAGATTGATATTTCCGCATTTATTAAATTTTATTTCGTTCATAACCTGCGGAGTAAAAAAAAGAGCATAAATTACCTACACAAACATAACGCTATGATTGTTATTCCCAATGAGGTTGTCAGAAGTATTATCAGTTATCTACGTCATGGGTAAACGCAACACTTTCCCTGGTAAAGTTTTGAATCTGAAATCCTATTTGAAATAGGTACCTACCTCATTGCGTGAGATTTAATGTTATCGTATATTTAATATTTATTCCTAATAAATTAGTGCTCTTTGGTAGTTTGTTTGGTAGGTAACATTACATTTTTATGTCGAAATGTGTGCATTTCGACTTAAAAATTTAACAATGTCGTTCTGCTTCCGATAAAACGGCTTTCCGAATGAGAGGTAGATAAAAAGAAGGATAAGTGTAAATATTCTAAAGTGCTTAAATTAAGTTTATTTGAATAAAGCATTTTCAATTCTCCTCCGCTGTCGGAGTCGGATATAAAAAATAAATCCGTAACATCACCACATTTAATTTAGCACCACCATCTTAAACACAAAATTCCATATGGAGTAGGATTAGTCAAGTAAATGTCACTTTGTTAAACTGATGTCCCTAAATATGTAGGTATATCAAATATTATATAGCTATTACGAGCTACTTCGTCCATGTGGAATTTAACTTATATTTTGTTAAAATTAATAAATCATCTAAAATAAAAGTAGCCTAAGTTATTCTTTATAACATTAGCTATCGTTATATATTTGTATATATTAATTTCTATGCTAAACCTAAGTAAAAAAACAGGTATCCCTATGCAATTTGTCAAAACTTTACTGTAGTCGTTTTTTCAATAAAATATTTTAACGCACCTTACTACTGAATATTGACAAATATTAAAAAATGTATGTTCTCTGTGTACAATCTCAATATTTGGTACTTAATGTGTTTTTTATTTTAATATCTACAGAGATATGTCAACTTCAACCGTTCTCTTCCAGTTATAACCCGCAACTCTATAAATGTCTTCGCTCCACCTAGCTGCGGGGTGTCCTACACTACGTTTGCCAATTCGCGGTCTCCACTCTAGAACACGTCTATAGCTACAATTAATCAATGTTAATGAATAGGGAATATATAAGTTGTTTATCTCTCTACAGCAACAATTCATCATCATCAGCCCACTGCAGTCCACTGCTGGACATAGGCCTCCCCCAAGGCACACCACTGGGCCCGATCTTCAACCGTTCTCTTCCAGTTATAACCCGCAACTCTATGAATGTAAATCCACTTAGTATAGATGTAATATTATCTTAAATGTGGTACAAACAAACCGATATATAAGTCGGTCAGTAAGTTCTCACTAAACTGAGTAAAAATCTGTACAAATTCGGGAAATAACGAAAAGAAATCTCACCGAGTTTGTATTTAAATATCAATAGATACTTACAATTTTAGCAATTTCTTCCTTGGACTGTTTGTCGATGAAGTTATCAGGATTCTGACAGCCGGATGTTAACAGATCTATGATGTTTATGATGTCCCCAGCCGAAATTTTCTTGTCGTTATCAATATCTTAAAATAATCTAAATTACTAACAAGTTCTCTCACTCTCTGGTCTGCCTGCGCTAACAGCATACGCTAGCGGGGCACCAGTTAAAGATGACAAGAGGAGCAGAAAGTCAGTTGAGTTCGCACGTCGTGATAAATTCACTCCTTCCATGTCAACCTGTCATAGTACATTAGTAGTAATAAGGCCACTAGTCCCCATTACTATGTTGTAATATTATAAATTTATAATATTATCTGTGTCATTACTAACAATCCTATTCACCCGTCGGCTGAAGGGTGATAATATGAGGCAGTGAGTTTTAACAGGATACAGAGACTTGATGTCCTAGTCAATCGAAATGGCAACAAATGGATACCACGGCCAACAAATGACACCTACAAGTAAGCAAAAGTTGACACTTACTTTTCATCAGGCTGTTCCTCAGTTTCAGTCCCCTCTTCCCCACTGGGCACAATGGGCACATGCTCAGGGCCCCGCGATGGTCGCGATAGTCTAATCCCTACTCCATTGCCAACGGTTACCGATAGCTACTCTACTCTTGCTTTAAAATCAGTCTTAACAAATGCTTACTGACTATGGTCCATTTGTTCGTCTTTGTTATTTTTTTATAAATGTGTAGCAAGAACTTGAGCCCCTCATTACATAACAACATTTTAAAATTATTTTTGCCTGGTTAGATTTGAAGGTAGGGCATCCTCATATACATCTCTAAAGAGTCATGTTCAAAAATGTCTATTCTGTCTATTCTAACAAAATAGTGCTTTATTACTATGGTCATAGGGGCCACATTATCCTAATGCTCCCAAGGCCTCTATTAGGCAAAAGACAGCCCTGGTCAGCTTGTTTGTCATTCAAGTAGCATTAAACGTATCTACTCAGGTAGCAGTTCGAAAACTGCTGGTTACTTACCGAATATTTGGAAAGCCCATACTGCTTTCACTTTAGCTGGACACTCTAAACTCATCACTGAACATAAGTCGAGTAAATCCTCGAAAGAAAAACAACCGTCTTTCTTTGATGAAAATACATGGAATATGCGTTCGCGAAACGGATTATTCTGGAAACATTACAGGTAGGTATTAAAATTTAATAAGTCCGGTAATTATAGGAAATTTTAATGAAATAGATATCTAATTCTGAAGTATCTAAACGTATTTATTATTTACAAAGTTTTATTTACAGAGTTTTATTGTCGAACGTAAAATACCCTAATTTTACGTTCGACAGTATAGTAATCTAAGAATATACTACTCAAGAGTCAGTAATAATGATGTCAAACTTCCACAGATACAAATATTATCTAAATATAGTAAAAAATATTATCTAAATACTTCAAGCTCTAGTGCTTCGGTTACACTCGCCTACTTATACTATTATATGAGTACAGTAATAATTCGACATTAATTATTGATTTATGTAAAAAAATTGCATTATCTAATCATCATTTTATAAGATGGTCGATTTTTAATGTAATTGGAATGGCAAAACAGCTGACGATGTTTTATTTGGTGGTAAGTGGTAACCATGGCCTAGGTATAAACATGAACAGCGCTAGGATTATCATATTATCATGAGATTATTCCGATCATGTCATTCCGGAGTACTAAGATGTCATGCCTCTTATCCTCTAATTTCACTTCATTAATTAATTTGTCACAAACTGCACATAGCAAAGTTATGATACTATACATATTATAGTTACCATAAATCAACTTGAGTGGTACTTACCACTTCATGCTGTACCTAGGCTAAAGCAGTAATTATAGGCACAAATAAATTTAATAATTCACTAAAGACAAGACATCTATCATAGCCACGCTTCATGACTCAACGGTTAAGCTACAAGATATTGTATATTTATCAAAATATTAGTGGCTTCTCCAGCAAAGGATTAAAATTAAGTCTCTTCTTAGAATCTAAGAAAGAAACAATATGAAATGATATGTCCTTTTGAACATTATAATATCGGAATTATTAGGTTTTTTGCTAGGAACAATGCCATTTATGGCAGTTCAATTATGGTTTTAAAAAAATATGTAGAATTCAAAAACCGTCAAGACATTATAAATATTTCCATTGAACAAACAATTGAACTATCTTGCGTATAATTAGTTACTTGTATAATAATTTGCGTTTATCGTCCGCTATCGACTTGTTTTGATTCTTTTGAACTGGCTATGGAGGAATCATTGTGACGTCTCGTAGGTACGGAGGAATAAAACATTATCTGTATGTGGCGATTTTAATGTGGTTTCGTATCGGGATGCTCAATAAGCCTAAGATTGATTCACTTATTTAAATCATTTGATTTTCACAATCTTTTTCTAGATCCCGGTCTCAATCGAACCGGGTCGCAGGAAATTCATTAAATGCATTACAAGTAAAAATTCTCAAAGAACTGCATCTATATATGTACATCGGGACTGCCCGACTAGTGGTAGGAACATGTTTGTACTAGTTTGTAGTCTATACATACCTACTGGTTAATTCTTATTTTTTGTAATATTCTGCTGAAACGTATACTTCAAACTAAACCGAATAAAACATTTATTATGACATTAATACGTCGCTAGGGTAGAAAAGGGTGCAAAATGGCGCCATCCACTGTAATTGAGTACGAAATGAGTTTCTAGAATAGTCTGACATTACCTCCACTGTCTTTATGTATACCACTCAAGAACTAGGTACATAGTTTGACACTTAAGTTTCTATAAGTTTTGTAGGCATTAGGCTATTTTACTGTATTATATACATAGTTCAAAGGACTATTTCTGTGTTCTGTGATTATAACTAACGACTTACCTTTAAAATATCAAATTTCCCGATAATTTCTTCCTGTCCAAATCTATGATCAAAATTTTCCAACACTTTATTGGCATCAATCGATTGAAACTTATTCATTAAACTGAAATGAAATGAGGTATACTTATTGTACCTTATATGTTAGTAACTCTCATATCTCAATCTCCGTCACATTTCATGCCATCAAATAGCCACTACCAGAAAAATACAAGCAAGTCTAGCTAACTTGTATTTTTCAAAACTCTTTTCAAGTTAATAGTGTTAATATTAATAGGATTCTTTTCACTAGAATAACACTATTTATTTGAACCACATATCTACATAATTACTCGTATACGACACTACTCGTACGATAAAACAATTGAAAAATATTTTAATAATTTTTGAGTTGTGCCACTATTTAAGTGTTTCCAATAACTTACTATAATATTTCTTCCTTACTTAAATATGTTAAGACACTGTATTCTTCCAAACGTTCTTCAGTAAGTTCAGGATGACTCGAATTGCTACCCATGATTTATTATAAATGCAATATGGTTGCTTTTTTTGCGAAAAGTATTCTACTCATTAACTCAACACACACACGTATCCTACAAGTGAGAGAACGCAATAATACTATATTGAGGTATAATTCTCTACTTAAGTAGTATGCGACTGTGATATCACAATGCAAATGTCTGTGTTTGCGTATGGTGAGTGTCCCGTTTGTCGACCACCGGTGGTTGTCAGTCACTTAACACAAGAGATATAGTGAAAATATCTAAAAACACGTCAAGTCTAGTCAATTAGTGAGCACGTCTGTAACGTAACATTATACGGACAGACATGTTGATATTGAATAATTTTTAGCTTTTAGATAAATTTTAAATACTCATATATTTTTTTTTATACTACTATGGTGGCAAGCAAGCATATGGTCCATCTGATGGTAAACGGTTACCGTAGCTTATGAACGCTTGAAACACCAGGGGTGTCACGTGCGCGTTGCCGATCCCAAATTTAATTAATTTATACTATATCGGTAACAAATATGAGTAACTTCAATGTTTTTTATTGATTAAACCAGACTAATAATACAAATGAAAATGTGTGAATTTGAAAAAAAAAAACATATTTTTTTATAATATATCCTGAACCTGTTTTTTGTCTTTAATATGACAATCATAATAATAGATTAGAAAATGTTATTAAATGCATAATAACTGGTCATCAACCGGCACCATCACCCTATTATATCTAATCTGTACAATGACCATATTCGTGTAAATTTGATAATATGTATTATAGTTATCGCAATTATATGTATATAAGAATAAAACATTTAGTCACAAAATTTTGCATTTAGAATTAAAGATAATAACGCAGTAGGTTTATTTTTATCACTTTTGCGTTTAATAAAAATGGAGCGTGCATGATGGATAGATCTCTGCATATTTACTGTTTGCGTTCCAAATATGTATATTTAATTACCGGGGAGGAGATAGTAATTTGGGGATTAGCGGCTGTATTGCTAGCAATGTTATTAAAAGGTTGACACCCTACTCCTTTGATATCGTCGTAGTTAATTTCTGGTAAAATCCACGATGGTCTAATCCTATCATCCTCATCTGGTGCTCCGCCAACCTTATATCTTTAGCACGTAAAACTGATACAAACTGGTGTTGATTACGTTGATAGTACAGATGTAAATTACACAACAGAGGCCGAATTTTACTCATTGATTAATTTATAAAATTAACAGTTTTATTTTTATTAATACCAGTCGTGACCCAGTAATTATTGAGCGCCCAAAACATCCTTGTCTGGACAGTTCGACGTAATAATTAAAATTAATTCTATTATAACTAATATTACTTCAGTATTCTTTAAGTTCGGTTAAACAGGAAAATGTTTATCATTGTTATATATATATATATATATACATATACGTCAATTTTATTTATCAATGCCATTGTCTTCATACAAAAAGAGGTATAAATATGGGGTTTTTTCTTAGCATTGTAATTGAAATAAAACAAGTTTATGTGACATCCAAAATAATTTATTAAAACCTGAGATCAAGCTCAGCAATAGTAACACATTACGTACTCCAATACATAAAGTCAAATTAATATTATGAACCGTATGCCAGCAATAGATTGACGTGAATATTCTCACGGTAAAAAACTCTAAGATTATTAAGATAGTTACATTATGAAGCCTAGTGTAGATCAGTTGCGATTCCAAGAATAGGTTGAGGAGCTGACTGACTGACTGATTTTTTATATCTTTACAAGAACACTCTTGCAAAGATATAAAAAATCAGTAATTTCCTTCTGGTTCAAATTGATATCAAATCATAGTTAAAGTTATATATTTAAGATCAAAAATAGTCATATGGCTGTGGTGTGGTAGATTGTTAGTGTACAGCACGAATGTGCAAAATAAAATAAACACTAGGCTTCTAAACATAACTATTTTAACTACTGTTTCTGACCATGACGAAATAATTGACGAAATTAGCCTCTGGCTCGCGGGCTATTAGAGATGATAAATATATATAAAAACATCAATGTCTTGCATCATGAAATCGATAAAAAAAAACAAGAACCAAAGTTTTCTAAAATCGATATACACCATACACCATATAGATCAAAGTCGTCATTGATGTCTCTAATTCTAATTGATCATCCCCAATTAATATTATACTCAGTGCTTGTTACATAAATACTATAGGACAATGTACACTGCACCTTATTGTAATAATATGTATTGTTAAACAAAAGCGAACATTTATGAACTACTAGAAAAGTAAATCATGCATGGTAACAAAATAAAACTTTAAAAAAAAACAATGTACTATTGAAAAGAGCATTAAGGGCTAATAAACGAGCTAGCTATATCGAATGGACAACAATTACCTATCACTACCTAACCTACAGTTGTTTATTTTCATTTAAGAATTTCCTTTCAATATATCAATTACCACTAATAAAATTATATTAATTTATAAGTCAGAAGTCACAACAAATAAAAAAAAGTAATTCGTTAACATAAGTTATTCGTAAAGTTAAATATTTTTTTCATTTATTCTCAAATAAATAGTCAGTACGTGTACTAATATTTACATCACATTATGTCATTTAGTGAAATGCCAATTCATGGAAGCCACGCAATGAAAGTACTAAGTGAAAATTTAAAAACATTAAGTAAATAAGTTATAGTTCTTATGTGAAATAGCAGTACAAAATTATGAAATTTATGGATAACAAAATGGGTACAAGTAATAACATTATATTAAACATTGACATCCTTAAAAAAAGTATAATGCGATAAGTGAGGTCGAAATAAAAGATACAATCTCCTTACAAATAAGCCAAGTTCTCCGGTTGTCGTTATAAAGTATATTTACTACAGGTACTTGCGGAACCGTTCCACTTATATCAAGAAATAAAGTTGAAACCTGATAATAGTTTTATTAACTTTTTAGGTAATTATTTTTTTATTATTTATATTTCCGCTTTCTTTCTTACGCGGTCCAATTTCATGAGTATTCAACCTAACTTCCTGTTTAGTTCATTTATTGTATGTATCCTGTATACATAGTGTAAGTACTATGTACATGCTTTTTATTGATTATTGGTATCGCTTACTCTATAAGCATTCTGACGCCGAGAACAGCGGCAGTACAAAATAAATTATTTTATTAAGGGAATTTTATCTTCAATCTACTGTCGATTGATAGAGCAAGATGCCTTAATGATGTTTTGATAATTCAATTTTAGATAGTACTACATAAATATATTATTTCTATTATACTAGAAGATACGTGATAACAAATATAAAGCTTCATGTTTTATTTAATAATGCCAACTATTATATATTAGAAACTATGTAGATTTATTTTAAAATGATCCCTATTCATATAGTGCGGGATTCTTACCTTGCCGTATCACAGTTATTTCACTAGTACGGTAGGTAACGAGTTTTATCAAAAATATTTTATACAGTTTATATATGGTTAATGTTTTTGGAGAAGATAAATATAATATTAAAAATAAATTATAAACCCCACATGGGTTGTTTGGATCAACTCTTTATTGGACATAGGTCTATCATGTTAAATCTCAGAACAGAGAAGTGTGTAGACATAGCTTCCTAAGAAATTACTTAGGACACCACTTACACTACTAAAGTCTCCAATACACACACGTAAGTTATTCTATCATATTTTTCAACACAATAACATTGAACTATTAAATTTGCAAGACATACAATATCAACTAAAATATAATGACTGTTAAATATCATATATCATGTATGTAAACTCTCTTTTTCTTTCACTCTTTTTATGTGGAAAAACTTTCCACATAAAAAAGAGAGCTTTACTGTAGAACTTCAATAATTGTTTTCTATTTTTTTTTATTCTGTTTGTAATATTCTTTCGACTTACATCTGTTCTTTCGATCTACATAGTATCAAACTTGTTAATGTTGTCATTATTGAATAAGAGATGAGGGTAAGTATATATTTCTGAGTCGTATCTTAGACCATACTGTCGTCGAGTAACACCAGTATGAAATTTACACTAACAAAACATTCTACACATATTGCATCTCACTCCAACTTTTACAATTCTCTGCCATGCTTTAATACGAACATTTTCAGTGTCTATATGTTCATAGCCGCTAAAAATAAACAAAAATAGTTCGACGTCATTCATTTTCAAAATGTCTTAAAAAGCCTCACTTGTTTTATTCAGAGCTTAACAAAATCGGACATTAACACTTCACACACATCACCGCTTCGGAAAGTCGGTATTATCAAAACTAATTTGTCTCCTAGCTCTCATTTTAGCTGCCTCTTCAAATGATGGCATTGAATTTGACTTAAATAGACCTACACTTGTTTTATCTAACATACTGAGACCACTGCTACTACTGTTTGAGTTTGCATCAATATTTACTAACTTGTCTTGTAAGATGTTTTTCGAAGTGCTCCTGGGTTGTTCTAATTTCGTAGAACTGTCGCTGCAAGTGTTCTCTTTAATTTGTGAAGTGGAGGAACTGGTAGAAGGCTGCCTCGATTTTAGCTGCTGGTAAGCAGTCGCCGATATATAGCCGGTGACTTTGCTGCTAGCTTCGTTGTTGACCTTCACTTGTTCTTCTTCGTAACAATCATCGACTGATCGTCCTTGTATGATTGAGAACACATACCGGCGGGCGAGTCTGTGAAATATAACATGATTATGCTTTTTAGCATTCATTTAGCATAACATTATATAAAAATAATAGCTGAGGCCACTACTTTGTAACCACTATGGGTAAAAAGTAGCAGTTTCGAAATAAGAATAGTCTTAGTGACTGAAAATCAGCCCTCTGAAGCGTGCGGGTAAACGTTACACTTACAACATCAGCTAAATCAGCCCCTTTGGCCAGAATATATACTGTGAGGTATTACTGTTTCTGTTAATTTATACATAATTTTAAAAGGTTCATTTCTTTTGTTTTTTAAGTAAACAGTGTATATATTCAATTCTATGTTTATGTGTCTTTTTTCTGGCAATAAATGAATATTATTAAACTATAAAAAAACAAATACAAAATTTTAAGTGAAGCTTACTACATGAATGGAAATCGTACAAAAATTTAATCAGCAGGTAATGAAACAGACAAAAACTCTAACAATTATTGTTTGAAGATCAATCATGTCTATTATATATTGTGACATCTCTACAATTGCAATATTCACATTTGCATCCTCTGGCTGTGACCTTCGTATTTCATTCATAAAATACCCCAACTATAGTATTTCTCATATAAATGTTTTTTAAATAACTATAATATGTTTTTTATTATTATATGCCTTAATACTTACTTAAGCATAGTGTCAGAAGTAGATAGATGGGGGGAAGCTAGTCTGGCGGCGTGAGGCGTCAGCGTCAGTAGTTTACGAGTCAGCCGCGCCAGAGCTGATGCTTTCTCACGGAAGCCCGGCGACGACATTGACCATCCGTGTGGACGCAACGCTTCAGACACAGCCCACAGAAGTTTCTAAAAATAAATTATAATTTAATAATACGACGCCTCGGTTGTATAGCGGTTTATTAGTCCACCGCGTTACTTCCAATGGTCGCGGGTTCGATTCCTCCCGCGGTGCATACATTTGTATTCGTATTTCGTTCGTATTGTAAATATTGTTTGTTTAGGTGTTAGGCTAGATGTTTTCTATCTATATTATGTATGTATTTACAAAAAAATATATACATATCTAAACATTTATATGATATAAATAAATATAATGCAATATAAACTCATATAATGTAAAAAATATAATATAAAAATAAAAAGTAAAGTCGTGGTCTTTGAGGCCAGAGGCAATAATACAGATGTTTTTCCCAAAGTCAAACTCAATGGCATAGCGCTGGAAAGGGTGTATAAATTCAAATACTTGGGACATCTATTGAACTCTGACCTTAGAGATGACAACGATATTGAACGAGAAAGGAGAGCGCTGGCGGTGAGGGCGATTATGATAGCGCACAGATTTGCGCCGCGCTCTAGGGATGTCAAAATCACTCTGTTCTTCTTACATACACATCCTTTTACACCTGTAATCTGTGGGCTGCATACGCCCGAAAGTCCTACAGCGGGCTTCGCGTTTAGTATAACAACGCAATCAGGGTGTTGATGGGGCTGTCGCGATTCTGCAGTGCATCAGGAATGTTCGCGGAGTACCGTGTGGATTGTTTTTATACTACAATGCGGAAAAGATGCGCATCCCTGGTGCGGAGAGTACGTGCCAGTACCAACTAATCAATCCTGAGCATGATTGCGGGCAGGCTGGACTGTGCGTATGTTAATCACTGCTGTACTATTTCCAATGGAATGGTACAGCGGTGATTTTTATATTGATTTTTTATATTTATATGTGAATGTATTTTAATTTATATTTTATTTTAATTTAATTTAATATTAATTTTTGATATTATTTGTATTTTATTTTTGTGTGTGTATTTTGTGTCTGTATGTACTAACATTAATTATAAGAAATCTGTAATACTAACTAAGTGGGCAAGTAAGCCTGATAATAAATACATTATTATTATTATTATTATATCACAAGCTCTGCTTACCGTGGTACTAACCCTGGACAATTCATGTGCTCTTATATATCGTGAAAGTTCTAAAGTACTAATATAAAGTAATACTGCTAAATCTATAGTTTCTTTTACATGAAGAAACTTTTCTTCATACATGAAGTATGTAGAAATACTTCGCTTGTTATTCAGGTATAATGCAGAATTCTACCATAACTATGTTGATAGAATTATTTAACTGCCCGTCCTCTTTCGTCATTTAAAATGAAGTCATACGCATGATAACCATGCAGGCAGGTCAGTGTTATGGAAACAATCAACTAAAATGGCATACAACACAAACTAATAATAGTTTGTAAAATTGAAGAAATTTTAAGAAGAAGAAACACATTTTACCTTTTTATGATTCTCGTTCAGCTGAGCGGTAACAGCAGTCTTAGACACGAACATTTCAGATGCTCGACGACTGAACGAATGCAACTTTGTGTTACCTATTGAATCGCCACCGAACGATAAACTCTTCGCTATTTTACTCCTACTCTCATTTAGCTCATCATCTAACATGTCGCGTTTCCGCTTTAGAAATTGATCACTTAACGACCCGTCTGAACTCTTCGTTTGCGCTAGATCTGGAGACCCGAATAGAGCTCTTTTGGACCTCATAGCTTGAAGTGGTACTGATGTGCAAGGAGCTGATGGAACAGTCTTTCGGTTCTCTGGACTTACAAATAATGCCCTTTTTAATGTTTCTCGGGTTGGTTGAGATCGCGTCAAATTCTCTGGATCCATGAGGAGTCTCCTCATAGCTTTCTTCCGGCTGGAGCCACCACTACGCGTTTTAGGAGTTTTGGCAGGTGTCTTCTTTCCAGGGGTTTTACGCCCGGGAGTCTTCTTACCCGGAGTGCGCTTGAGTCGAGGACTTTTCCTTTCAGATGTGTTAATCAGCTTTCTGTGCGGGAAGAAACTTGAAAAGATTCCTTTGTCAGTTTTTTGCGAATTAATAATTTCGCAATGCAATATATAAAAGCAGAAATATATATTTTTGACATTAACTATAATATAGTCATTCAAATAAAAATAAATTCATCAAACCTAAGAACATTTTTTTTAAGTTTATTACCGATTTTTTATATCCAGAGCACATTGAGACTAGTATCTAACAAGACAAACTTCTAGTATGTGGTATACTAGAAGTTTGTCTTGTTAGATACTGGTCACCAACCTACAAGTAACCAAACTTGGAACAGCATTACTTACTTCTTATCAATTAGCACCATTCTTGAATTGGTGGCTTGTGCTTTTTCGTTGATTGTTGCCGCACTACAGAATGCCTGCCGACGTCGAGCCAAATGTGACAAACGTCTACCAGGAGACTTAGCTTGTGCCATCCTATGATGATAAAATATAGACTTATTAGAAACAAGATGTTTACGACAATTAAATAATGGTCTTAATCATTTATAAAAATAAACATACTTGAGTCTGAGAGCTTTCCGCTTGCTAGCACTGCTGGGTGACTGCAATCCTCCAGAGTGAATACTAACACTGGTATCCGTCTCTGCTCCAACAAATCTCTCACCATAGCGTAGTGCTAACAACTCAAATTTCTCAGAATATTTTGTGATGTTATAACTGAAATAACAATTCATAAAGCAATTTGTTAAATAAATACTATATTATAATGAAAAATACACAGTATTTTTATATATTATACATTCTTCAAGATAAATTGATAATATAAGTAAAACAATATAGTAAAGTATAGATTAAGTAAAATAAAATCATCAAAATTGTTTCAGTATATAATAAATAAGCACAAAACAGTTTATTTACGAACATCTATTTAAAGTTTAAGGTTAAGAATAGGTCGTAAAAAAGAATATATAAAGTTTCATTAAATATATCTTCTTTTGAAATTTAAGAATATGTTGTTAGAAAATGTTGTATGTAATATTGTATTATGTAATTTAATAATATAACAAACATAGTTATAATATTGTAGATACTCACTAAACATCATGACATCTATACTTTAACACATCAGGCCACAACATTTCAGCAGCTTCAATTTGTGTACACATTTTTATATCAATACTTTTGTCATTTGTACTAGTATCAAGTTCTAGATCAGACTTAGTACTCTCTTTCGATTTCTCAGTTTCAGAAGTACTGCATTTTGATGGCATATTGTCATGTGATGATCCTGTTGATTCAGGTTCTGTTGGTATTTGTATGAAGGAAACTCTTTTTGTAGGGGTCACTGAATTGACTTCTATAGCATTGTTTTTGGGAACTTCAGTAAAAGCTGGCAGGAAACAGTAGTACTTCTTGAGCATTTCTGTTACATCTGTTTTCAAGACTGTGACTGAGGGTGGAGGAAGTACGCCTTGTAGGGTTTTCTGTGAGAATTAGAACATTTTGTAAATTAGTCACTTGAATTTATAAAGACAACAAATAGTATTTTTTTATTGGTGTGGTTTGGACTATTGTCAGGTGTTTGGATGTGTAGCAATCAACCTACAACAATAGATCTACTATTTTGCTCACTCTTTTTAGTGTTCGCTTTAGACCCGTCAAGCTATCTACATTAAAACAGTATATAGGCTCACAAGTTGTTGTTGTAATAGTTATAAAAAGCAGTATATATTTACATATTGTGTTGTGTATAAAATCTATATATTGTACCTACTTACTCTGCTATGTAATTGGCAAAAATTAGTAAATTTCTACATTATAATATTAGTAATATGAGCAAAAAAAATACAATTATTAAAAAATAAAAATAATACTCAATTCATACCAACCTCAATTTTCCTCACTTTCTTTTTGTCATAAGCTTCAAAATTCTTAAGAAAACTCCAAAACGGTTCAGATTCTGGTATAGGTTCCTCTTCACCATCATCTGAAAATATGTCTGGGGATCGTACACCACTGTCAAAAGATGCTTCCAGTGATGAATAACTGTGATCTAAATTCCATTTCATACTGTTTCCTTCCTCATTCCCTTGACAGTCTTTCTTCAAATTAAACTCCTCATATTGGGAATCTCCAGAACTTTCTGCAGTCTTTTCTGTATTGTTCTTATCACAGCTACTATGACTGTCTGTTAAACTCCTTGCTTTAAGATCGCTATTGTCAGTTTGCTCTTTAATTGATTCACAATTATCGCTACCACTCTGATATGAGTCCAGACAGTGGTCAATGGTTTTTTCATCTAAATTAACTAATCCATTGTTTGATGTTAATGCTGTTATTGGATCTACAATAGGTTTTAATTTTTTTACATGCTTTATAGTACCATTGAAAGACAATTCACTGATGGGTAATTTGAAAATACTCTCAGGATTTCGTATATGACAAAACATTGGTACACTATCAACAGCATTATTGCTGTTTTCCATAGTTGAGGTTATGAATACTGGGTGCTTAAACAAACCAGATTTTGAATCGTCCGAAGACACAGGGACTTCAACAGGATCGGATTTATCGCTATGCAAACAATTGACGGTGCCGGACGAATTATCGAGTAACGAAGCCGCAAGAGATGTGCAGGGAGACTCTGGTTTTGTTGCCAGGTCACTGTGCAAAGGAGACCTTCTGTCGACGTTATCACAAGGTGCAATAATCAACGACTTACATTCAGGCTCACCTGGCTCACAATGCTTGTTCTTGACATTATTTTGTGTAACAACGGCCAAGTCAATGTTGCCTACACTGTTGGAACTGTCGTAATAGCAATTACTCGCAGAGACCAGCTCATTAGGATCGGGATGATTGTTGTCGTCCTTGAAGTTATCCACAATATTGAAACTTCTCATATAACGCTCGTATAAAGAAAAACTATCGCTCATTGAGTGACAATTTGATTCTTCGAGCGATTCCATTACCGAAACATTGTTCACAAGTAAAAAGCAATTGTTTCTTTATATTTATATAAAGCTTTCTGTGTACTTTAAATTTGTATAGAAATTGTTTAATATGCACATTTGTTTAAAATAAATATAGTAAATTTGGTGTTAATGTTTCTTAAACATATAAAAATAAGTAATAATAAATCAACGCCATTAAATGTACAATAGCTTTAGGCTTTAGAAATAATACAGATCACAGACAAATATAGAATATAACAGGATCAAGAGCATAGATCAATTCACAAATTGGCCATTGTAACGTCAGACTCAATAACGTCATATCATCAAATGTCATATATTTCGTTGTGATACGTTATTGTCAGAGTAGTCAGCCAAGTAATCTATGTTTGCGGCGATACAGAAAAATATAGTGTTAAAAATCCACCGGTTAAGTGAAACACCATAATATACACACAATTCGACTTGATAATTTTTGTTAAAATTCGAAAAAAAATTACTATCACCTCGTTTGTAATTATTTATATGCCGTCATTTTTGCATTACATAAAGAATAGCAGAGACATATCTGAATATTCTACCTGCAAACAAAATATATAAGTAAGTGACTTTTAGTATATTATGATTACGATTCATAACTTATTTTCTCCACTCTTTATTCTAATTAAAGTAATAATTAAATTTTATTAAATAACAATACGGAAATTTTAATTACTTATTTATTTAGAGGGTACATTATAAAATTATTAATAACATTTTTAGAATTATTTTTCTTAAACAATAGCTTAGAAGAATAATCAATTTCGCTTAATACTTTTGATGCTATCAGGAATTCTGTCACTGTCATATTATACCAATAAATCACATCATAGTATTATTTCACTTCTCATGACTAAAATTCTCTACCTACTACCTACTTGACATAAAAATATAAATCCTGTGATATATTTCCATAATGTAGCTACGAAATGGACTCCGATTTAATAACTGGGTATTTAAGAATTTGATCAATATTAATGTGTTTTCCCTTTGATATCATCTTTTATATAACGTATATAATTTTCAGACAATAAAAATCTTATTGGTGATCATTTTTTGTTTTACCCTCAAATATTTAGATATGTATTATTTATTGCTACTGTATGTACTTTATGTGTTGATACTTGCTCATTAATATTATATATTTAATTCCAACAAAAAATTAAGGTTTATAATTCATTATGAGATTGGTTATCATGATATTGCAAATAATATTTTAGTACTCGAGGATCTTGAATGTGTAACTAAACTATAATCTTTATTATCTTGTTTGGTTATAATTAAATTAAAAGGTATTAATTAAGACAAACAAATTTTGAGGGACAAAACAACACCCTTTCACCTAATTTGTTATAGACATTATCAGCAAATTATTACAATAAAAAACAATGAGGAGACCATTTAAGTTTTTATTCCTCTCCTGACAAAAGAGTATCTACAACACCATACACACCACTAACAAGGAGGTAATTTTGTTCTTTTTTATATAGTTACTCTATTTTGAACTCGCACATCAGAAGTGCAAATAAAAATCTTGTAAACCGGTGTTTGGTTCATATTTTTTTTATTATGAGCAGTATTTATGTAAATATAAAAAGGTATTTTACTGACAAGAAATAGATGGTCATAATTAATATCTTCAATAATGTCAAGGTCTGTGTTATGAAAGCCAATACAATTATTGAAATATTTGGCCCCCATTCTAAGCACTCAGCCAAACAATTAAAACAATTTTTTTTTCGTTTTCCGTTATGATTGGGTCTATCACATTTAAATTAATTCCAAAATAATATTATATAATTTCTGAACAGATGAGCAGCAGAACATTGTCAATAATAAGAGTTCTGTGTTACTTTATGATTGAAACCATATAACACATATTTTGGATGTTTAGTTGTTGGTGTTTATCTACTATATTTATTCCCTGACTCTGCCCCTATAAAATACAGTCTACTGGCTAACAATAAAAAAATAATTTATAAATTGGACAGGATTTTATTTTTAATTGATTATTGTATAATAAATAATGCTATTATGAATATCAATTTTTTAATTTGCCAAAAGAGTGTTGTTGTTGAATCTTTGATTTGCAATGCATTTACAACTATGTTATAATACAACTACTTTTACAAAAACTTTTATATTTAGTATAATAAAGGTTATTTATAAAATATTTTCATATTTTTACATGACCCTGAAACTGTTGAATCAAAGTACACTCATGCTAGTGGTTATTAAAGCAGTTAGGTGCTTTTAAGATATTATTTCTTAGAGTGTGGTTCACTAGTGGTTTACTACTTTCATGACTTCAAATCTGTCCTTCAACAAAGAACTTTGTACATCAATTTGTACGACAAACCACACAAATCTAAAAGATCGCTGAAAATGCTCGCCCCATTGGCTTCGGCCCCGCCCGCGTTCAAATATACCGACTGAAATGTGAACATGTCACATACTATGCAGACCGGACCATCCCATCTATTTATTTTCTATCTGAAATCTGAAATTTCCAATTCGCATATCATGACATAAATTTATTAATTCATAACCAACAACAGAGGTATTTAATGAACATATAAATGAAATCAACTAGATACTTTTGGTATTTGTGCCTCGGAGCCCCAGCATATCTGCCTATGATTGCACTGACCTCTGCTCCTTGCTGCTGTTTACTTTATCTATAAGGTATAAAGAAGTCAAAACGATGTTTATATCGGATACTGCATTCATTAGTGCGGTGCCTTATTAAAAAAATTTGATAACACATTAATTTTCGTGTAAGTGATACTGTTACACGCATCACCGGTATGTGTGATTGTGGAGACATATTAGCTTAAGTGTTTAGCAGTAATTGGATTGTATTGCATTAAGGTAATTTATTTATCGCTAATTATTCCAACCTGTGATGAACAAAATTATTAATAAGCTTTAATATAATTTCATGTCTATTTATATTTGTATTACATACCCATATATAATATGGTTTAATTGCAGAGAAATTCATTATCTGTTTTTACACCGCGTTTCTATTTTATATTAAAAGAAATATAATATTTTTACTAAATTTTATGTAATAAGTAAGTACTACTTAATTTTATGTAAGTAGTAAATTATGCCTTTAGTGACCCTTCTTTACTTGATCCGGATTAAACAACACTATAACAAAACGTTTATATCTCAATGCCCTTTAAATAAGTACATTAGTTACAGAGGTTACTTCGCATACACACGGACTCACAAAATTCGCTCATGTAAAATTGTTATATGCAGTATATTAGGCCGATTGTAGATTTTAACATGTAAAATATATTATACATACTTACATAAATATATTTTGTATTTATTTTTGAAAACTTCGTGTTATATCAAGAAATAACGACCAACAACCCTAAGCGTCATATTTAATTTTCTTCAGTCTCGTTATTCCCTTTATGTGGAGAGCAATCTCCGAAACTTCAGCATCTATTTGGAAAAATCATCCACTATTATAAATGTATATTTTTCCAAGAGCATGTCCATCTATAGCTATACTAAATTATACAGGGAAAAGAATTTTCGTTTTTATTATAATGGATAATTACTGATTTAAAGAAATAATTCTACTTATAGAGTAGAGTAGAGTACGATAGAGTTTAAATACATTTTTATCTCAAATTTGGCACTCCAGATTCTACTTTTGTAATCTTGTCGCGTTTCGGGGCGCTATTGTGACTAAAACATTTTATGACTTTTTTAAATTTTATTCAACTTGGATTAATTTTAATCATTTTTTAATAATATATTTTTTTAATCTACCCCTCATTTGGAATGCAGATTCAAACTCGCACGATACAAACATTTGTATCTATTAGTATGAATGTTCGTTTTAGTTTGGATATTTTCCATGTATATACATATACAATTTTTATATGTAATTTATGTATGTATTTATGTAATTTACAAAAAAATCTCAATCTGTTATTTTGTACCCATAACACAAGCTCTGCTTAGCTTGAGACTAGATGGCACTACGTGAATTTTCTAGTGTTATGATTATTATTATTAATATTCTGCTTGTCTTTGATATTAAATCAGAGACCTCACGCGTACAAGCAAAACAATTATTTCACCCGTGCACAATTTTCGGGATAGCAGTGCTACAATGTTATCTATGCAAGGCAGGGTTGCCAATTTTAAAACATTTATTATTGTTACGAAGAAATCGAAAATCTGGTAACATTTTATATATTAACTTAAAGTCCTTATCGTCGTCATCATATTTTGATAATCAATAACTTATACAAACTTGTACGAGGGTGAAAATGCCCTCAACCGAAAATATAGTACTTGTATGAGGATTCTCGTACGGTTGAGGCCATCCCTGATGCGAGATGTGTATAGTACAATAATTGGATACGTTATACAATCCGAGGCTCATTGAGGCCCGTTCCGGGGCGCTGAATCAATGTTCCCGTTGTATACATAGTTTAAAAAAAACCCTCACAAACAACAAATGCAATCTTACAATTTAAATGTTCGCTGTGTACTTAGATTAGTCTCAAATTACATAATTTCATTGTTGTCCTTACTAGGTCATTGTAATGGCATGTATGAACATTCAGTTACCTTATGTGAGTTAATAATGTATTGAGTACATAGTGGCACAAATATTAGATATCTACTGCATCTACAGATGCAGAACTTGTGTGTTTATATGTTTAGTTATTCAATTATATTGTGGACGGGCGAATTTGGATTTAAAAGTATAGAAAATTACTTTAATAAAAAGATACAACAGTATTGTTTTTTAATATTAAAGTAATTTTCTATACTTTAAAGTATGCAAACCAAACTATGGGGCTTCAGAAAGAATTTTCTACAGGCCCCGCACTAACTTATCCGGCACAGAGCTACGTAAATTTGTTGTGTATTTTCCCAAATTCGCCCGTCCACAATATAATTGAATAACTAAGCATATAAACACACAAGTTCTGCATCTGTAGATACAGTAGATATCTAATATTTGTGCCACTATGTACTCAGTACATTATTAAAACAATACTGTTGTATTTTTTAATGGATGACAATGGAATGGTGCTCCTGTCTCGCTAAAAATTTACGCTTATGGGTCACAAGTGGAGGATAATAAGATGAAAATAAGGTCAGATCAAGTAGTCCCTAGTGAAAAAATCACTTAGTTTCTAGGGGAACCGCGTAGAGGTCGACCTGACCATTACTACCAATCCCCGTCCCCCAATATTGTTGTATTTCCCAAATATACATAATTTAGTGAGTGCGCGGACCCAAAGGTTTTTGGTCAGGTTTATTCTAGTACAATTAATCAATCAGTTTTGTTAGTGTAACCATTATTTTTACGAAGTAAATTATCTACAGTATACGTTATTTGCAATTTCCTCTGCACAAAATGTCATTCCTCTTCCAGTTTATTTCGTGACATAGAAGGCTATTTCTATTCACGTGATATAATCTTGTTAATGATCCGTTTTGCCTTTAACTTGCGAACAGATATACATACTCTCGCATTTATAATACTTGGGTGTTTGTGTCTTTTTCAGATAAATATTATATTCTAGCTTATATTTGTCTTCATCATAGAATCTATCTTCATTTGATCCATGATCTAACTATCCACCTTTGATGCATTGTCATATATTAAGCAAAATCTTAAAATCTTGTCGTGTTTCTCTATTATTAACAAAAAATAATTGTTTGCTCTTTCCAATATTAGTGCACAAATAAAATGTACTTACACAAATACTCAGTACAGTCATGAAATACATATGTACCTATTTTGTAGTCTAAGTATGATGCTATTTTTTACATCCGGGTTCTTATTATTGTTATGGCTATACTTAGCGCATAAAGGTGCACACAGAACAGGCACTTGATAAACTGTCGAGTTATTAAATAAATATGCTATCATAATTTTAATACGTACGTAACTACCGAGTAGTTCAGTGGTTGTGCAGACTGCCTTACTATACTTCCGATGGTCGTGGGCACGATTCCTCGCACGGTACAAGCAGTTTGTATTGGGGAGGATGATTTTTTGGAATCACTCTGGGTATATATTTTTTTGCATGATAATGGAATGGTGCACCACCCGTGCTAACGGTTTCCGCTGGCGGGACACCAGTTGAAGATGATAACATGAGCATGAGGTTAGGTTTTCAGTTAGCCCATCGTGACAAGTTCCCAAGGAATTTATCGTTGTTTTTCATTAGTAGTCCACATTACTAACAATACCATACCCCCATTCCATATTAATGGATTTACAAAAAAATCTAAGTATTTATCATGTCTAATACCCATGGCACAAGCTTTGCTTAGCATGGGACTAGATGGCGCTGTGTGTGATTTGTCCTGAGACATATTGTAATTTCAATAGATATGGAGTTGGTCGTGTTTGCTAAAGAGTTGCTACAGAATGCCGCCGAGCACATGGCGGGCTATCGTCTGGGACAAGCCGTTTTACGTCACCTGGACCGCACACTATGGGTGGTGGAGAAGTGCGCTCGGTGGGCCGTACCGCCACCTTGTAAGTGTCGTGTTTTACATTTATTATTTAATTAGTTCTTACCTCTATATTTGTTTGCTTTTATGAAGATAAATGATAGGCACTGATGATACAATGTTCAGCCGTTTAGTCCTCAAAAGGTAAGTAACAGACAGATAGTCAGACAAGACAAGTGCGTATGTAACAAACTTTTATTATTTCACCTCATCCACTCTAGTTTTTTAGATAAACGATAAGTATGTGACCGTCCTTGCAATTTTTCTTGCATTTCAATGGTTACCTAAATATATTTACCCCGAAACTAGCGAATTTTATATGATAGTCGGTCACTTTGTTCAAGTCTTCCATCGTGTTATGTATTATAATGGAATGATGCACCCGCCTACGCTAACGGTTTACGCTGGCGGGGCACCAGTGGAGGATAATAACCTGAACATCATGAGGTCAGGTCAGGTAGCCAATCGTGACAAATTACCAGGAATTTATCATGATGGTTTCCAGGAGGTGGAGTTTCCGCTTGGAGGTCAACCTGACATGGTACATTGCTAGTCATGGGGCCATGAGGCCACATTACAAACAATCCCCTTTCCCCTCCTCTTGCATCGTGTAGCACGATGGGTACAAAGAGATGGGCGCTACAGGAGATAGGACATAGTTTGGGAATGGAGCTCCACAGTCGTAAGTCTCCGGGTCAGTGATACGCAACCCAACAAGGTTGTACTTGCAGCGGTCCAATATATTTCATGTCAACTTTCATTAAGATCCGTTCAGCTCTCGTTGATTCTGAAAAACCAAACCTATAGCCCTTATTTACAAAATTGGTAAAAATTTGTATTACAGTAGACCAAGACGAGCGTCCTCAGCCGGAACTACTACGCCCGCTGCCCTGGATTTTCTTCCTAACTCTTCTCGTAGTATTGCGAGTCACCAGAGAGTCAATATCGCTCATCAACTTGGTTATGGGCAAGCCTCCACTTAGATCCGCTGATGTGGTAAGAAATTTTAGATGAATACTTAATAAGTAGTATAGGAATAAGAGCGCCGCGCCTTAGTGGTTTACATAATCCCATTTATACCTAATGGTCATGACTTCGTATCTGATCGACATCAAACAACTGTGTATCTATTTATATATTTGACTCTGATGAAGAAAACACTGATGGCCAACCAATTTAATCCGAAAGACGACGGTAAGCTCACTCCCTGCAACTGTGGGTTCAAATATACGGAGCAAAATGTTGTTATGTTAAGTATTGTTCGCCACGAAGTAGTCAATGAGCCAGTGAATCAGTTGAGAATGACTAACTACCTCATCTTGGGTTTAATAGTCGTAAACCTATATTATTATTACTCAACAAACATAGACTACTTATCTCGCAGCGTTCATTTTCGCCGCATGACTGATATTGTAATCTATTTAGGTATTATTAACCTGAGATATATTCATTAATACACACAAACAGTAATGCGCATTTATAACACGATATCTATCGTCAGTTCGTGTTAATATTTGCGTAATAGATCTACAACTTGTCGCCGCTTTGTCAGAAATTATGTGACCTTGAATTTTGAATGATATTTCCCACTAGAGAAAGTTTAAAGTTCAATGTTGCTAGTTATAACAATACAGCGATACTGTATGTGCTATTTTGTATTGTAAACGGATTGTTTTGTCATTGATAATTTTGTATTTTATATACAATGAAGGTCAATACGCATAGCGAATTTTTGCCGCGTGAATTTTTCTCCATAGATTATAAGTATTATTTCTACTTCTATCCAAGATAGACTTTGTAAAAAGTCGTCTGCATGGGTACCTGAGTCTCACCTATTTCAGCCGCTAAGCAGCGTGCTTTGTGAACTTTTTTTTACAATTAATACAGCGCCATCTAGTCTCACGGTGAGCAGAATTTGTGTTATGGGTACTAGACAACTGAAATATATACTTGGATACATACCGAATAAATCTATTATTAAACTCCGACAAAACTAAGTGTATTAAATTCACGCTTCCTAATGTAAGACAAGTAAATACACAGGTATTGCTTAATGATGAAATAGTAAATTTTGTTAATGATACAGTTTTTTTAGGAATAACAGTGGACTCGAAGTTACAATGGGGGCCCCATATTTCAAAATTAGCCAGTAGACTTAGTTCTGCTGCTTATGCAATTAGAAGGATAAGGCAATTAACAGACGTGGCGACGGCATAACTTGTATATTTTAGTTATTTCCATAGCATTATGTCATATGGCATACTGCTGTGGAGTAAAGCTGCCGATGTAAATACTATATTTATTTTACAAAAGAGAGCCATACGTTCTATTTATGGTATGGGTTCTAGAGAGTCATTACGTCAATGCTTTAAACAATCAAATATCCTCACAGTTGCCTCACAGTACATTTATGAAAATATTATGTATACAAGGAAAAACTTAGATAGTTTCAAGAAACTTAAAGACTGTACAAGTAGAAACTTACGCAATAAAAATAAGTTAATTTTACCTAAATGCCGTCTACACAAAGTTAGTCATTCGTTTTATGGTAATTGCGTAAGATTCTATAATAAACTGCCAGAATCTATGCTAAATCTGACAGAGAGGCAATTCAAACTTTATATTAAACAAATGTTATGTAAAAAAGCCTATTATAGGATAGATGAATTTAAAGATGATAGCAATATATAGCAAGTATAAGTTTATTTGCGGACAACGTTATAATTTATTTTTCATACTGCTTTCTTGATATATGATAGCATAGCGGCTTTTGTATTGATTGCCGCATGCATCCTCATGTAAAGTGCGAATACTGCCATACTACCATATAGTAATTTTTGTAGCTGTAACGTGGTCGAGTGGAATGAGTAGTCATGCTCACTAAAATGTCCAGACATGTGGCGGCGTGGTGGGCCGGGTCATTGGGCTCCCTAAAATATGGTCGAGCGCAGTGATGGCTGGCACATCCGTCATACTCGTGAACGAGTGCTGCTTGTAGAGACTGGTCTGCTCTTATCACTACGACTGATTTAATCTTATTGTGTTTTTATATTTGAGCCTAAATAAATTAGTGCTGGTTGGTAGTTTGTATTCACACGTTTCGACTTGTAAAATGTGAACTTACAAGGATTGTTTAAAGGAGCAACACACAAGGTTCTTGCTTATTCTTTTTGTGATGAGACAGCTTTCCGAATAAACGGTAGATTTAAAAAATTGTTGACTATTCAAAAGTGCTTAAATTAAGTTTATTTGAATAAATGAATTTCTATTCTATTCTATTCTATTCTAATATAATATTATTATAATAGAAAACCCCCTGTCTGGGTGACATAAATACAAACTTTGTACTGTGCTAGGAAAAGTTAAGCGGTATGCTAAATCGCTAGACCACTCACGCAGTCACTGTTTTACAAAAATTTATTTTCTGTTGCAGGTGATGTATATACAAAGCAAAAGGCGCTACCTCCGCACACTGAAGTATACCGGATCACGTGCAATGCGCAACCGGGTGTCACAACCGCGGCCCTGGTACACGCAGCTGCAGTCGATGCTCGAGCTGACCATGTGCTTCCGCCGGCAGTCACACTACGGCAACAACAACACCACCAGCCACAGCAACAACGATGAAGTGCTGGTACGTCACAACAACAGAAAATATAACAATATTTACGTAACTCTTACTTATTGATGAAGTACTGGTACTTCATAACAACAAAAAAGATTAAGTCTTTAAATAATCCAAACTAATATGAAAGTGAGAAAGTGTGTTTGTCTGTTTGTTTGTATTCCTTTCTCTACTAGGCTGAACGGAGTACTTAGCATGGAATAAAATTATTAATAGCCTTTATTACATATTAAATTGAAATTGTTCACTTAAAAAACTTCAATAATAGGTTTCAGTAAGACACCACTAGGAAGTAAGAGTAAGTAACTAAATTTTGAGAACAAATAATGAAAATTTTTATTAATTATGCCACATAATTTTAATAAAGATACTTGTTTTGGAATTGCTTCCCTTAACAATCAAATTGTGGGGCGTGGGCCCACGGAACACTGTATTAAAGTGAATAAATATTATTATTAATTACATAAAAACCGTTTAACCGACTTCAAGGTGGTGAAGCGCAGTAAACGTGGACGCGAGACAACCAGCCCGACCGTCTCAGGTAACGAGACCACGATGGAGAGGCTCATAGAGAAAATGATGGTTGACCTCGATGTGGAATCGGATGATGATTCCAGTTACACTGTGAGTGTTAAAACTGACAAACCAAATTTAAATTGTAGTACATAAAAAGATACACTACAAAGCTATTGATTTATTCAATATAGTGTTTAATTTGGTTTTTTAAAGAAAATATATCAAAATTCACTTTAATAATCAAAATAAACGACAAAACCAATAAACCTCTAGATTTTATAAAGTATATATTAATATATTATTATTTGGAGGTAGTATCGCACTTGAATGTGATCATTTTCTCAAAATCGAATTTTATTTTTATTGACTTTATTCGCTTGTCTCCATCCATAGGTATATTCATATTCATGGAAAAAAACTATAATTCAAAATACCGTTTACACATTTATTTCAGTTAACTAACGCAACTAGCATCAAAAGCGATAACTCTGATACTAGTGTTGAATCTGACCAAGAGGTTGTGTATAAGAACGATTCAACTCTAACAAAACCAAACGAAGACGACGCTCCAATGGAAGAAACCGTAACGGGTGTCGACAGAGCACAATCTGATGAGAATAATTTTTCTCCAAATAAAATCGATATCGCTAGTTCTACGCCAGAAAAAGAGAAGAATGTAGACACCGCTGAGGAGGTGAAATTAGAAGAATATCCAGCGCCAGAAGATAAAATTCCGGCAGAAGAAAAAGCTCTGCCACCTCCCGATAAGCAAGAGATAGCATCGCCCAAAGCAGAATCAAAATCATTCATAGACAACGAGAACTCAATGCAAAATCAAACGTCACCAAAAAATGAACAGAAAATCGGTAGGAAAATGTTACACGTTATTAACAAGCTATTTAAACAGTCACAGACAAAAACAGGTACATTTTACGCTATTAAGGGAGACTTATAAAAATTTTATCCAAATTATTTTTGGCAATAGTTTTAAAAATAACATTAATGAAAAATGTACACATCTATTTTGCTAGTGAGAACGTTAAATATACAACATGAATGATAATATACAGAAAACGCTGAAACGTTACGATTACTTTGTTTATATTTTTCATTTGACATTAGCGTGTTACCGACCTTAAGTTCAATGGCCACACAGCTAAAGTTATAAATTTGTACATAAACATAAATAGTGATGTAATGGACTCTAATCTATTAGTACATAATTATATATAGTGGCTAGTTATTTCCACAAGTCTTTGCCTGGATAAGCTCGATATCCTATATCTTTTCGAATTTCGAGAGTTCTTTAATTCAAATTCACCTAAGTATTATGAGCATCGCATGATAACATGTCTGGTACCTAGATACAGATATAGTAATATAGTAGTAACTTGAACGAATTGTGGTGTACATTTATTGAATGTCATTGGACTTTGAAGAAATGTAACGCACTAATTTTTTTATTACACAATTCTGTACCTGTTATTCTGTAACTAGTTTCAACTATATATATTTCAAATCATGTTGTATATTATAATTAATTAGTATTTGAATTTCAGCTAATGGCCGAGTAATAAGCACCTACAAGAAAAAAAGAGGTATTCAAATATTTGAATTAGAACGGGACTTCAATAAATTAATATTCACGCATATTCATAATTTATATTGATAAATAATAAAGGGTTATTTATTAAGTTGCATTTATAGTAGGTTTCAACGCCATTATACAATAAGTGCTTTAAATTTACTTCGTCAAATAGCACCACATTTACGCAAAAGCATGAGGGTTTGCGAAAATTAGAGTTCCGCATTGGCTATTTAGGGTGTTTAATTAATTTTTAAACTACACCTTCTTACAGTTTATCAATTAATAAAAAATCCTGCCCTTATTCTTTCTAAAATACAGTAAGAAATATTGTCAAGTGTCGCCAATTTTGAATGTATCAACTTTTTGAAACATTATTTACGGTTATAAATTTTACATAGAATGTAAGGAGAATATTAATGCAGTTATGTAATGTGTAAAATTATATTATTAATGTTATATAATTATTATTATATTATAATTAAAATTATATATAAATAAAATAAATAAAGCCATTAATATTCTCGTGTCACTTGTTGGATGTTGTTGCATGTAAAATTCGTTGAGAATTTTGAAAATCTCATTATTACAATAAGTGTCCAGTTTTGGATTACTAGGCACCAGAGTAGATCTGCAGTTGCTTACAAGCAGTCTACTCTGGATTCTCCAATCATCGCAATATAAATTTGAATACAAACCATGTATGTACTGGTCTTTTAGACTCAACATAATATCGATAGTTCTTTCATTAAACACGATATATAGAATATATTGCTTTGGTATAATTCAAGGGTTAAAAGATAATATCCAGAGTTTACTGTATATATGCTTAAATCTAATGCTCATGCATTCCAAACCTAATATAGATATAGGGTTATAAATTCTTTAAAGTTTACATTTACATTTTACGTGCCTGTGGGGAAATGTGCAATAAAACCTACATTGCTTAGATACATATTCATCATAGGGTTTTTAATCCAGTTCTGCTAGTACTAAAATGTACATAAATATTATACGATGAAGTAACAGTCAATTTGTCATTGTAGGAGTGAAAAATGAGAGGCGAGATACGGATGCGTCTGTAACGAAGAAACCTGCAGACAGAACGTTCTAAGAAAGGAAGGTACTACATCAATTTATACATATATCTCCACGCCTCATAACTCACAGGCTAGATACTAGTCCCTGCAGTTATTTCTTTACGGAGCTATAATTTATAAGTACAATTTTTTAGTATTTAATTAGATTTTATTACAATAACACAATGTACATATTTTGCACCGACCAAAATAATTATATTTCAAATCATATATATTTAGCAGAGATGCCTCATCTAGATGAGGCACTTTGTTTTCTATATATGTTAATCCTTAAGATATATTTTTATATATAAAAAACAAAAAAACCGATTGCAAATTTGCACATTGTATTCAACTTGATCCAACTTGAAGGATAGGATAGCTTCACTCACTTATTTTCTTCATAACAAAATACGAATTTAATCTTTAGATATATATATCTTTAGTATACAAAATACATTTCATCCTTGAGATATATGTATATTCCACACAGACGTTGATTTAAGTTAGAATTACAGATCAGTAAGCATTTTCTTTTTTTGTTTCAGGAAATCTCCAGCAGTTGTAAGTTATCACGGAATACCCTAAATATATGGCTGATCCATAACGCGTTATCAACGTAACGCCGGCAACCACCTAGTTTCTACATGTCACGAATTATAAACTAGATCAATATGAAATTACCTTTATCGTATAATTTTAAATGTTACTTATAAACCAATATGTTTGATGTATTTAAAAATCAATTGCTATAGTCACGTTATGTGATCATATAACAACTCTCAGTTTAATTTTAATAGAATATTAATAGAAAACGTACTGGTATAAAATGCGTTGAATTTTTATTACTCTGCATACATCGTAAGTTGTACATAATTATCGAAGTATAAATACAACTAAACTTAAACAATAATGTCACTATTGTTTAAGCGTATGTAACGTAACTTAACGTTACATACGCTTACAATGTCAATATTTAAACCAGAACGTTCGACTATTTAAGTTTATAGTTTTAGCCTTCAGTTAATATTATAACGTTTTCCGTAATAATCCATCAATTTGTTGCAGTTAACATTAGAATTGGAAAGAAAAGGAAACCTTGGAAAAAGTTTCGAGTATGTAAATTTAACGATAATGAAAATAATGTGATCGGCTCATTATTAGTTTTACATTTTGTCATATTTTAATGTTATAGCAATAACGTTAAAATAGGCCATAATGTAAAACTATCTACAAGTAACATTTTCATTTAAATAACGTATGAATTTTAATATTTACTCTTTTTTTTTTATAAAATTTTATATAAAGATAAAAATTTTTAGTAGTTACTATATAAAATTAACGAATATAAAAATTGTTTTTAAATCTACCATAATATAAAGATACACATTTTTTAGTTGCTGCCTTAAATAACTAGCACGTTTTGCTATTTAAATATTAAGGTGGTTATAAAAAGACGCCATAATTTTTCTTAAGTAAAATTTGATATTAGAAGTTTCCTAATTATATTATAATGATAAGAATGAATGTAAATGATATATTCTATCACGCCGTAGACTTATAGAGCCATCTAACTTAGTATACCACTATCCTAAGTTATGGGATTCGAATTTTTTGTTTTGTTTATTTATCAACGAATTGTACTGTATACACTTTTATACGTTTTGTTACGCGTTAATGGATCAGTCTGGATCTTCTTCTTATTAGAGATGATATTGTCAAAGCAGTGTAAAAGAATTGGCACCAATGTTCGACGAATTCATACCTACACAAGACTGCTCTGTTTCAAATATGTTTATTATAAGTGTAGTATGTACAAGTTAAGGTTAAACTCTACGTCATGAGTTTATATAATAAGAAATATTGGAATATGGAAACATATATCGTAAAGGGATATATATCCAAATATATTAACATCAATAACGGATTGCTCAAGTTCACAAATAAATAATATTTATTATATGTAAGTGTATAATTATTTTTATAAATTATTTTTTTTTGCGTAATTACTCATAACAACACATACAAGGTCTTATATGATTAAAAAATGTGACACATATTCAAGAAACTATTTTTTATTTATTTCAAATTAAAAAAGATTATTTTTTTATTTATATACACTTATTTTTAGATAATGAAGAAACTTTATATAATATACCATGGGAACAATTCATAATTTAGAATTATATGTTATATCTTAATACTATGTGATAAATTTTCGTAATTAGGCATTATAATCAATCAATATCTTATTAGATTACAAACTTAGAAAACAGTTACATGAATTTAATGGTAAGGAAAATATAAACAAAGTGTAATTAGGTCAGTCATAATAACTAATAAGGGGTTATCAAAAGTGACAATTACAATATAATAATTTGCATTTAATACGCAAGGAATTGATATTAATTGGAATGATTTCTCGAATACTTCATTAATCTATACGTAATAAGTTATTTTATTTTATACGGTAACAAGTACTATATGATAGGATTTTTGCATTGTCATTTTTTACGTAGTGTGTAAGACATTATTTTTATGAATTCTCTAACATCGAAATTTAGTAGTGTGATAAATCTTTTTTGCTTAGGATATCAAATGTATGTTATTTTCAATTATTATCAAATTAATTTACATTAAATCAGCATTGTAACATAAATAGACGTACAACTGCACAAATAATTTTAATAGCACTATAATAGGATTATTATAAAATAGAAATTTCATTAAAAAGATATTATTACATTCTCAAATATATGGCATCACAGCTAGAACAGTTTATTAATTTATGATGGTGGCACACATAAATAATAAATTAATACACTTTACTAATTTTTTTTCAAATTTTAGTCACATGTTCATAGACAAGCTGTTTTTACTAATGATTTTCCGTATCGTCTAGTTTAGTCTAGCTTCAATTATATATTTGTTAATGTAATAATGTTATTGTATTTAAGGCTCATCTGTATTTAAAATTAGGTAGGTACGTCTTTAATTGTGGTGTGCAATTTAAATGAAAATATTATTATGAATAATAATTTGTAGAAAATTACTGCTCCAGTTCATGTAAAGATATCCAAACAAATACTTAATAGTATAATATAAATTCTATATAGAGTTGTGAGACCGTCGATCAAATACCGACTTGATATAAATAAGTACATTTAAGCCTTACCCTAATAAAAGGTTGTAGAAACGTATGTGGAGTCTTTTATATAAATAGTTTTAATGATATTGAATTTAATTGTATATTTGTATTTTATGTAGAGACGACTTATTGTTACACATAAGTGAAAATTATTATTTATTATTAAAGTCACAAAAAATACTAACCATATTTACATCTATTAAAATCATACTACAAATATATTCAGAAGTTATGAAATAATGTATTCTAAATGTGCACGGTACTGGTACGTATGAATTTTTCCTTTTCAGAAGCAAAATATATCTAATTTTTGAAACTTTGTTAATCAATACAATGTGGTATAGAATATGAACTATCTTTTATATTTATATGAATTACAGTTTTCATTTTGAAATATCCAAATGTATTCTCTGCAAATGTATTCTCTGTGGTAAAGATAATGTAATTTGCAGTACGACCATGATAAAGACGTTTAATATCTTCAGGAAAAATATTTCATAAATTCACTGATATTGTTTAATCGAAATTATATTTTTGTAAAATTTTGTGCCAAAGACTTGGCTGTTTGTAGGTTTTACTTTGAATAAACTTAAAGTAATTGTTTATCTCTAAGATTTTGTACGATTTATCTATTATAGAATTTTGTGAAGTTATTTATAAAACCTTGGTTGCTAAAAGTGAATCTCAAAAATTTTGACAATTATGTGAGACTGTATGGTATATAAATTAATTTCCAAAGATTTGGCTGTGTCCGGTTGCAAACTGAAGACTGATTGAAAATGTACTGTTCCTATATTTACTTTCCTATCTATCATAATTATGTTCAACACTATTTTGGAATGTTATATTAATTGCGTAAATTAATTGTTATTAATTTTTATGAAATAAATTATGAAATAATTTGTTATCGTTATTTTATTTTAAACATATTATCAATCTTTCACCCTTATCTTACTTGTGTGTTAGTTGAATAGACTTTTAGTTTAATGTATACCACAATTATACATTTAAACGTACCAATACAAGAAAAGCAGGTGTTAGTTGATGGCTACAGTTGTATTTTTAATCAAAATTCAACATTACAATTTCGGAATGAAACTGAGCTTAGATATTTTTATTCTGTTTTGGGTACATTATTATCCAGAAAAGAATATAATACGATTTTTCTATATTGTTATTTATATCCATATCAAATATTGGATTATTTGCATAAACTATTTGACTCGGTTATACATCCTGTTATTGAATATTAGTATTAAGTAATTAATATAAATTAAAATTTAAGCAAAGAAAAAGAATCGCAAAAAGTACTGTTTCCGCCCGGGATCGAACCGGGGGCCTTGTGCGTGTGAAGCACACGTGATAACCGCTACACTACGGAAACACGTTTTATTTATTTGAAATTAGGATACTGTATGTTACATATTGCCTACAATTATTTTAATTGATAAAAGAGTATAATGAAACATATAGTCGGAAACAATATATTAGTCACATCTCGACACTGGTCGCAGTTTTACAATCCACCAGCTTTTGACAAAAATAGTTATTGAATCCAGTCAATCAAGTTCAGTTCAATCAGCCTCAGTCTCGCGGCTACATCGCCCGCGAATAGTCGCGGACGCGTTGCCACCGTGTCACCGCTATTGTCGGTGTTTAGTTGTATCATAATTTGGGTTTAATAATCGCGAGGCCCACGACAATCCATCACCATGGATCCCGAATCATTCTTAGACCTGGCCAACCAGGTCATAAAGCTTAAAATGTATCCATATTTTGACGTAGCACATTCTTTACTATGCGCTCTTGCAGTGAGAGAAGATTTGGGAGCTGGTAAGTGAATTTATATTTCTGTACTATTTAAACTATGCCCGCCAATTTAACACCAAACTTCCGTTACCTCAATCCTATTTATTCAGCCAATTTTGGTGAGCTACTCCTGGAATGTACTAAAATAAAGATACCTAAACAGTTTAAAAATAGACTATAAGTTCCCTGCAGATCATAGTCGAACCAACTAAATGTTCTTACGTCTAATATTAATGGAAAACATCCTTTGATGAATATAAAATTACTACGCAGAGTTATTTTATATTTGAATATATGATATTGATAATATATTTCATAATATAAATTCAAAATTATTATGTGTACGCCTGAAAATAAAAAGTTATGTGATATTTAGGAGGTAAGAATCTACCTGACGATTAAATATATATTATCAGAGATATTAAATAAGAGATAATATACAGAAATATTTATATAACCACACTTACAACACGTTTCCATACCTGTGTGTAAAGGTTATTGTAATGGTGTGCTATTCTTCTATTGCTAGGAAAAGCATTAGAAAAACTAATTCAAATTAGCATATCTGTAAAAATAAGCACTGGATATAGGGAGACTTACTTTTCTCGACTGCTGATAGATGGCGTATATACAATATTTCGTAATCGCCTTTAAATAGAGGGGTATACCGATTAGATTTAAAAAGTTTTAAAAAAATAGATATAATGGTAGTTTATGGAAATCGAGTGGTAAAATTAGCTAGGGCTCGTCCGGGATTTGAACCCGGGACCTCTCGCACCCGAAGCGAGAATCATACCCCTAGACCAACGAGCCTCATTGCGACATATCGAAATTATACATTTGCTGCTGTGATTATTTACGTAAATAAAAAAAATATATATTATAATTATACCCTCAAAACAGTAATTATTATTTTTAGATTTTACATAGAACAAGGATATTGACGTTAGTACACAGTTGTAAAATTAAACAGGGAATTTCGACAATAAACATTTTGTAATTTACAAATTACAATACGTTGCTATTGTTTTGTAATTTGGAAAGATGAACTTGCTATTTTTTTCTTTAATTACTGGTTTTTCATCCAAGAACACGGACTTTCATTTAATAATTATTTATTTAAAAAAATACTCACGACTGTGGTACCAAATGGAGCGGTTGTTACGAACTGGGGTATTGTAATTGCAATATTTATAGACTGTTAAGTTTAAACTTTTGACTGTCACCTGTACCTCTTATAAACAAGACGTAAACTGACTGCTTTTGTGTTAAAATTTCACGTAAAATTATTGTAGCAATCAAGACAGTTGAGAAAAATATTCAAATGGTTGAAATATTATGTCTGTTAACATTTTCCAATATGTCATTTAATATTTATTTAATTAGGCAAAGTTCCGAAGATACTGGCAGCGTTCCTTCTTTGAATGGCTTTATTTAATTTATTTATTTACCTGCGACTTCGTCCTCGTAGAACAAACCTCTAACTTTATTTTAGATGCTCAACCCTTATTCTTGATACTCAAGAATAGCACCCATGAGCAGTACCGTGAGTGTCACATAATGACGAGATGTTCGTGGTAATAGGATTATAACTTACCATCAGGTGGGCCGCTTAGGAGCCATACAAATTACATAAAAAAAAAGATAGCGTCTGAAAATGTACACACGCCCGAAGCCAAGCCGGGAAGCAACCACGACCCGTATAATATATCAGAATCTTGAAAGAAAACAATACGTTACAGGTGCGCAATCCTTCTCCCGAAAACACCCCCTGTCGTGCTGGCTGTCGACAATGCTGGTGATATTCGCGGGCGGCATGGTGGTCAACGGTTTATTGGGGGAGCCAATTCTGGCACCGCTCAAGAACACACCGCAGCTGGTCATTGGAACTGTCACTTGGTAAGTGTTCCTATACATAAATAATAAATGGTGAAGAGTCGTTGGAACGTTTAAAAAACTTTTCGCTAGCTACATAGCGAACTGAAAATCAACAACATCTAACTTTTTTATATAATAATATTCTTACACGTACATATTTGTTTGTAATATTATAGATACGAAAATGAATTAATTTATATTTTTTTTAACTTTAAATATTTTCAGTCGACTTAAGTACGAAGGACGAAGACTTTTTTTTCCGTTTTTTTCTGTATTTTCTGGTACCTAAATTAATAATCAATAAACGGAAAAATACATAAACAACACTTTTTTAAAAGTAATGCGTAACTACACTATTTTACGGCAACTTAAATCAACTGAATTTTATACAACCACGATTAAATAGGACTAACTTGAATTCTAAAAACTGTTCTTCACAGGTACGTGGTATTTTACACTCCTTTCGACGTTAGTTATAAGGTAGCCAAGTTTCTACCAGTTAAAGTAGTAGCTTCAGCAATGAAAGAAATATACCGCGCCAAGAAAGTATACGACGGTGTCTCCCATGCTGCCAAGCTGTACCCGAACGCTTATGTCATTATGATTATTATTGGTGAGTAATTTTTTTTTTCACATCTACTGTAAAGGAATAGCTACTTTGCATATAATATATGTAAATGTTAATAGTATTTCTATCGTTAGTTGTTGCACTGTTTCTGACTAAATGCTATTGTACAAAATGTACTGTGTTACTATTATTTTCTTAAATTTTCTAAACCTTGCTAAACCTTACAGTTACTATTATTTATTTTATCGTTCTATTGTAATATTACAGGTACCCTAAAGGGTAATGGTGCTGGCTTCACAAAATTAGTGGAGCGACTTATCCGTGGAGCGTGGACTCCTACCGCCATGGAAACTATGCAACCCAGCTTGTAAGTTTAATTGAAACTCCTGTATGTGTGACGATGTGGTGTGTGTGAGGAGTCGGTAGGAGTCCCCATACCACGTTGGATTCAAAACATACCGAGCAAAAATTTGCGTTCACCACAACATCAACAGAATGGGGCATTCAGAGGCATTGTCATGCCTCATCATCAATGCCTCTGAATACCCCATTCTGGGATAATTGCTATCCGTGACGGTGTGTATGTGGGTGAACTCTGTGGTTGTGGCCAATGGCGTAGCGAGGGGAGCACAGACGGTGTAATATGGCGGGATCTTGAAAGGGGCAGAGGACTGCAAACAAAATTTGAAATAAAACCACGAAAAATAGGTACAAATCAATTAATTCAAAAAACTTAACAGGGAGCGGCGAATTTACGGTTAGACCCAAATTTTTTAGTTTGTTGTTTTGTGAATTTTGGTATAGATATGTGACCCTGCAGTAGATTATGGGACTTATGGACTATTGTGTATAATAGTGGTATGGTGCAACGGATTACACTATCGAGACACCAGTGGAAAATAGTGTGACAGACATGATATCAAGTCAGTTAACCGTGATGGCTTCTTGGAAACATGCAGGGAATATTGCTAACAACAGCGCCACCTCAACTACGGTAACATTTTATCATCAGATGGGCCGTATGCTTATTTGTCGTAATCGTAGTATAAAAAAAACAAACCCGAGGGCATGTCAATGTGTCATTATAGTGAGTTATGTGATGTAAGCGTTGTTTTAAATTTTCAGCTACACGAAAGCGTCTTTGGTTGCGTCCATTATCTTCGTGTTGGACAAAAAGACTGATCTCATTTCCGCACCCCACGCCCTCGTCTACTTCGGGATCGTCATCTTTTTCGTTTACTTTAAGGTAAGGATTTTTAATAGGTAACATTAGATTTAAAATATATAGTATCTGCATTTGTATCTTCTACTTACTCATAATAAAGTTTATTTTTATGTTCAGTGCAACGTTTGTCTAATTATATCGTGGATTACTGTTATTGGCTAAAAGTGTGTAAATTTCTAAATTGTAATATAGTAACAATAATATAAGCTGTTGTTATTCCAAATAAATAAATAACATATCAGCCATGGAAGTCCGTCTTCTTCATGTCTTGTTCATCTCTCTCTAACTCATCACCTTTAATGGGTGCAAGTCAAGAAAATGAGAGAGAGGAGATGCTCTTAAGTTTTAATTAGTAAATAACTAGGCTACGATGTTCCTCTTACAATGTACAATCATTTAATGTGTTTTCAGAGAAAAATCTAATCATTTATTATTGACTGTAAATCTAGTTTAACTACGTATAGTGTTCTATTTTATATATCGTGTATGCCCGTCTGTTCATAATTTTGGGTTTTGGAAAAAATAGTAATTTATTATAGATGCATGTAATGTAATGTTAACCTCACAAAATAGCAATGCATTGAAGTTTAACAAAAAGATCTTTGGCATTTTAATGAAATTGATATTGCTGTTTTCAAAATTTCGAATGTATAATACATAGATATCGATATTCATTTAAACAAATTCAACATTTCACATATCTACATTGTACAGAATATAGAATAGGCTACGCAATTTCATTTGCTATGATAAGAATACGCTGCAAAATATAAGTATTTATGTACCTACCAAATTTTTATCTATTACTCAATATTTGAAGTTGATTAGGCGACGCCGCTTATCAGTTAACAAATAGATAGGTATTATGTTCCAGATGAAAATAAGTAGTAACTGTAGATAATAACCTAAAATGGATTCGTTTGATAATAAACACAATTGTTTTTTATTGTATGTATATCAAATCATTACTTGAGCTCATCTTTATAATTGTAATGACTGTCTTATTCTGATATTTCTTTAATTTGTGCCATAATATAATGGTTGTATCTATATATATAATAGACTCTCCATGTCACACTATTCACATACACAGTTGAAATAATAACAATTCACACAGTGCCATCTAGTCCCAAGGTTAGCAGAGCTTGTGTTATGAGTACTAGACATCTAATATAAATACTTAGATATTTTTTAATACAAACATATTTAAAATAATACCTACATGGAATAGACCCAGGCTGATAAAAAAATACTCAGGATTATAAATGTTTATATCGTGCGAGAATTCGAACCAGGGACCAGCGATCTGAAGTAGGCGGTACTAAACCGCTAGACTAACGAGGCCGTCGCGAGTAATAAAAACTAAGTAAATAATCATGTGATAATTATCTTCAGCTGTCTTCGATTCTGCTTGGCATTCACGATCCCTTCGTGCCTTTTGAAAACCTATTCTGCGCTCTCTTTATGGGTGGCATCTGGGACTCGCTGGCCAAGCTGCTGGGAAAGGGCCAACCCAAAGATGAAACTAAAGACGCTAAGAAGACAAATTAGTGTTTATGATACGTAAGTATATTTATGTATCTATGTAGGTAAATTATAATTACTACAGTAAGAACAATATTAGTGCGAATGATACAGTAGGCTTTTATTTTTTATGGATGATAATAGAATGGTGCACCCGCGCGGTTTACGCTAGCGGGGCACCAGTGGAGGATACGGTCAGGTCAGATAGCCCATCGTGAAAAATTCACCAAGAATTTGTCACGATGGTTTCAAGTTGGAACCGCGTGGAGGTCAACCTGACATTGCTAGTAATAAAATCATCAATCCACATTACTAACAATCCCCCCCATACAGTAGGTTTAATTCGTTGTTTACGACATTGTAATCGTATTGTAGCGACTTGATTTTTTTTATGTAGGTAACTGTTAAGACAACGACCCCAAATAATGGGATAAAGGCAAGGCAATGATGAACAGTTAAGACAAAACAAGCTAGTAATGAATAGCACGACGGACATCACGTTATCATATGGCGCCCGTGATGCCTGTCATTCTTTGCCACATGCTCGTCCACCCTGTAATTCCACTGTCACATCTCACCCTTCTAATCGAAATACAGCGTAAGTACACAGCAAGCTACTTGGTGGCAGATATAGTTGAGTGACAGAGTTACCCATGCACATTAATTTGAACAAAGTTGGTAAAGTAAATCTGTATTATATTTGTGTGTGTTAAATTCACAGGTCAAAGTATCTACGCTACGTAATCAACTGACACCGACAATGCAAAAAGCGACGGCTATTCTTTAAGTAGGTACCTACCTAAATAAAATTAAGGAAAAAGAAATAAAAAAATAGTAAAACCTGTAAATCCTAAAAAAAATGGCACAACGACCAAAGTTTTTGATTTTATTTAAGTTAAGATTTGCTAGTCATAGAATTTTATATATCTTTTTGTATGTGCATGAATGAATATATCGCACCTAATACAAAGTATTGTAATACAGTAGGATTAACTTAATTTTACAAATTTTGAATAATCCACTCTAAAGTTGTAACTTTAAAGTCTATTTTTAAAAATATATAATTTTGTTAATCAAGTATTGTATTCGGTGTGCGATATATATTTATAATTATTTGTTACCTTCTCATGCTTGTGCCCTGTAAGTTCAATTTTATTTGCCCCTAGTATATAAGAACATAAGATAACTAGAAAATGTGTTTTTTTTTATTATTATATTGTACTAGTGAGTACGTTTTTTATTATAATTTAATATGTTTTGTCTGTTCCTAAATATTTGCCAAATGTTTTTAGACTATAGTAATTTTATTTTACTTCCATTTTAAACGTGTAAATAATCGCTTTTACTTGAGCACTAATTCCTATTGTTTCCTGAGTGTATAAAAATACGAGCATTGAAATTGTATTTAGTTAGGTTTTCGAAACGACAATCGACCTACGACTTCCTTTATGTATTTTTATAATTAATACCAATAAGTATTAATAAATTACATTAAGATTACACACTGTGGAGGGGTTGGAATGGTGGATTCAATTTTTTACGTTACAAAGGAGTTTAATTTATATATTCTCGTTCTTTATGGCATTTTTTATATTTATTAACAATTATCATTCTTTTAAACGCCAAAAACACCATTGTATTGCTAGTATGCTGTATGAATAATAATTCAAAATAAAATAATGTTCTAGCAGAAAATAGTAATGGCACCACGCCTACAGCTTGCTGTGTGTAACAACCTTTTTAGTCAACGCCGTCTTTAGCAATCTACTATATTATCTAAGAAATACCAATGTACTTAAATCCTAAAATATATCTTAACAGATATAACTAAGTCTTTTATATTTTACAATTTGATATTAAATGTAAAATAAGTTCCTCGAAAATTACTAATTATTCCGACTGCGTAACCTATCTTAAAGCGGAAAGTAGATAAAAAATAAGCGATTTGTGATTGTGAATACCAAAAAGCAATAAGTACCTACCGATAAGTTATTAAATCAATATGTTTGATTAAAATATAAAGTATTAATTGGTGTATAAGTTATAAGTAAATTAATACGAAAAGCCTGACCGATTCGCGGGGTGCAAGCGATGAGGAACACGCTTTTCGTTTAATAAATAAAACAATGTTATTTATTTTTAAAATTGTTATTAAAATATAATTGGACGTGCTAAAGGAAGTAATAAATTGTTTTTATTTAATCTCGTGTTTTACTTGATCTTAGCTTACGGCAATCAGAACACCAATCACTTTTGCAGACGGCCCACATGGTGGGCAACAACGACGACAAATTGGAAATGATTATATTCTAATTGAAAAGATACTGTTATTATTAATACGTCACCAGTATTGGCAACATTTTTTTTTTATTTTTTTTATTCGTGATAATGGAATGTTACTCCCGCCTGCGCTACCGTTTTGCGCTGGCGGGGGGGCACCAGTACAAATTAATATTAATAGAGAAAAGTGTATTTCACAAATATATGGTCTGTGTACAATTTACAAACTACAAAGTTTAAATAAAAGTTATATATTTATGTGATCCCCTTTGTACAACTCATGCGTAGTGCGTGTAATCCGGAAGCACCAGTTTTTAGAACATCCTGGAGGACTAAGATATTATGCTTCCGTAACCTGTAATTTAATGTCATATTGCTCCTGTAATTTTATTTCCTCAAACTAAAACAAAGCAATTGACATGCAGACGAATTTGTATAAAGTCATCGGTATAGGTTACACTACACACCGGTACCACCTATTTACAAACGAATATTAAAAAGTCACTTTTAATGTCTTGATTGAAAATAGGTTCAAAGTAGAAGGCTTTTTATATGAAATTTAATGTATTTATTTGCTTGAAATATTGAAATGACATATATCAATATTAACAAAATAGTCCGCATAAATAAATAAATAATACTAATTGTTATAGAAAAAAATATCTGTCAAAATTACACTACACTTATTTCACTTAGATGACAATCGTTAATATTTCAAGATGATACTACATATTAATTTTATTAATGAATACATAATTTAATGAATAAAAATAGTTATGTAATACCTTTTTCTGAATTTCAAAAAGACGCAAACATGGTCTATTAGTTTGCCATTCGCACGTTTAGAAAAATTAAGCTTTGTTTTTGCAAATTAACACTTAAATGTATTTATAAAGAAAATATACTCACGACCGTAATGCCAGATATGTTAGTAAGAGGACGATGGCCAATTGTCGCCGTTGGTATTCACATAGGTTTACTTTTGTATTTCTTATACAAAATATATTTTTTAATAACAAAAAAAAACTAAATTCTATAGAATAATAATCTACTAACAGACACTGTTATTATTATTCTATTCTGTAGATTATTATTCTATTGACTTTTGATACTTGGGGTTGCAAGTAAATATTATTGGACAAATAATTAACCATATCATCCATGTATCATACCTATATGTAATACAGCCTAAATTCAAACAACATATAATAATATTTGTTTTCTTGTTACATTTATTATCAACAATCTGTCGCATGAATACAATAGTTGTACGTCTTAATTGCATGCGGCTGGCTGATCCACTTCACTTTTTATATCAACTAGGTAATCTGCGAGATCAATCCGCAAAGATTCAGTGATAAAGTTTTCGTTAATATTGTATTCTTCGTATTTAGATATAAAGTAACCTACTTATCTATACACAATTCGTGTAAATCATATGAAATGTTACATAGATACATACATTATCAATTCTATTCTCCGAATTAAATGAGAAGGTACAAGTTTCGTTTTTGATCTAGGTCCTAAGTAGTAAAAGGTACCTATTAATGTTAGAAAAATGCATCTTTCTAAATTTCCAAATATTGAATTATGACACAGTTACGTCCCGCATCTAAGATCTAAGATTGATGGATTATACCTATAGGTATGTTTAGGCATGCGAGACGTGTTACGGTATTCTAGTGATTCCGGTGTTAGCATGTGGGACCGCTTAAGAGGTCACTGTCGGCTGGAGATGACGGCTGCCATAACACCGACGCGAACACGCAATACTCGTATAACATGAACGAACACAATTTTAGGAAATTGATATTCATTTCTCACAAATGTATATCGTATCTTGTTTTTTTTATCCGATAATTTTATGTACATCCAAAACTATAAAGGGATCGTTCGAGATAACTGTTATTTCTGTATATCGACTTGAAGAATTCGTTAACAGTGTAATCATTGAGTGAATATAAATGTAATTTACTCGAACATATCCAGAAGGTATGATGTTCTAGTCGGTTAAATTGAATATACCTAAGACATAAATGTATGTAAGCAAACATCACATGAGAACGGTGGCATCTATTTGGGTTTTTTTTGTATTTTAATTATAAGGACAAAGAGACAAAATTTTTGATTCGTAAAAAAAGATAGATTGCGTCATTTTCTCCTAATGGAGATATGTCCGAAGCCAGCTAGTTAATATACAGAAAAAAACATTTCCAAATTCAAGGATGGTTTACGAACTGTAACACTTTATTGTAAAACAAAAAGACACAATTGACTTAAAAAATAAATGCGAACAATGGCGGGCTTATCCCAAAAAAGGGATTTCTTCCAGTCAACCATTGATTGAATTGTTCTCATCTATTATAGTATGTGTAACATATAGCCACGGTCGCCCCTATGTGATTACAGCTCACCAGTTTTGCAAACTACACCAGTGACGTACACCATGTCCAAGACATCATTGACATCATGCGATGCCTGCGCCTGCGCACCGCCACAGATGCGCTGCAACTTATAAACAGTGCCGACGCGTCGGCTAGTGTCAAGTTTATTTATCGATTGAGTTAATATTGTTTATATATATTACGATCAGTACGTGTTGTGTATTATTTATTAAGCAACGATCGGTGAGTATGACTTTCGTCTAACGGTGCGGTGTGCTGTCAAGAAAGTGAGCGGTTTTCTATAAAAACAGTTATGTGTTTAGATTTGTTTGTGTTCTCTCACTTACGCATTGTATATGGTCTACACCATACCCAAGTATATCATAGAAAATTAAAAGTTTTAAGACAAATATAATTATTATCTATAATTATATAATTTATTTACAATAAAATTACAATGTAGTTATCCGGAAAAGATTTAATTAGAATTTTATATATTTTAATCAAAATATTTCGATTCCAATATATATTTATTTCGTATGTCATTGTTACTGTGACCGAAACTTAATAAAACTAGATTAGTTTTAAATATTCATTTAATAAAAGTATGAGAAATCTTACTAAATATTATTTTAGATAATAACTTAGTAATAAGATAATAAATAGTAGTAACTTTATCTGGTACATTCTTAAAACCGTCGAAATAAAACAATTTAAAATTGCGGTTGTTTGCTTCTCAATTTATTCAGTAGTGTAATCTGAATAAATTAAAATACCTACGTAGATATTTTTCCTATTTCCCAACTAGAGCAGTGTGGTTTAGTTAATTAAATTGTACAGATAGCTTTATTATCCAGTCTCAATATAATGCCACAATTGTCGTAATTGAAAAATGGTTTTACCTGCTTCAACTTGTCACGAAAACTTGAAGGAGGAAAATAATTTTTGTTTAGATGATGATGACCGGCTGTCTACTTTTAGTTATAAACTAGCAGAACACCAGTGCAGGAAAATTAGTCGAAATTCAAGGCAATTCGCCTGAAATTAATCACTAGATATAGTTTTTACGGCGGTCCGCGTGGAGACATTCTGAGAAGGATAAAAGGTTTAATAGTAACATAGGTCGTAGAGATTCTTTATTAGTGGATCAATACATAGGAGACAACCCTATAATCAAAGGTATATGACCCCAAAAGATTATTCAAATCAAGAAAAAAAAGGCTCGGTTTTGCAGGATAGAATGGAATCTGGTGGCAGTAAACTCATAAGCAATTATGTACAGCAGCAAAGCAAGTAACCGGCTGACTAATATGGGAATACCAAGAAACAAGCCTGTTCGGCATCGCATTATTAGCAACATACAATGTATATTATGAACGTTTTTAAAACAGAAGTTCTCATTGGATCACATTTTTTACGTTACTTTAACGAGAATTGATTTTAATAATTTGTAGATATATTTAATTTAAAGTCTCCTAAAGAGTATGTGTCTAAATTTCTCCTATTCTAAGATTCCGTGGACCTTAGGCATAACATCAGAGAAAACCCAATCAAAATCCGTTCAGTAGTTTTTAGGTGATACTTTCTCTCATTTGATTCCTTATTGATTACGTCTATATTATTAATTTTATTTTTAAAAAATTCCTTGTTTGAGAAGTTAATTTATTTTATTAACTAATCGAAGAAAACTGAATAGACGTGTGCGTGGGTACCTCAGTCTCATCTATTCCAGCCTTTATAAGATATTTCGATTGTAGGGTGAGATGAGACAATAAAATCTCTGGTATGGTAACGCATAATATTACGGGCGCAATATGACAAATGTTCGAACATCAAATTAATTGTCAACAAATACTAATTACATAAAAATTTAAAAATTGCTTTCGTAGATATAATAGATGTTTACATATATATTAACTAATCGGCAATAGCGATAGGAACAGATTTATTTTTTAATATTGTCTTATCAATATAAGCTACCTATATTAATTATTATCACTAATATTTTTCCTGTTCACACCTAAATCATAAAATTGGGATTTTGCGCCCTAATACATTAAATAACGTCTTGTAACGACTTGTTGACTGTTTTTATATTTATAACTAGCTGTACACACGACTTTGTCCGCGTGGAATTTAACTTAATTTTATAAAAAAAGGTAGCCTAAGTTACTCCTTATTACATCAGCTACCTGCCAATAAAAGTTCCGTGAAAATCGGTCCAGCCATTACAGAGATTAGCCAGAACAAACAGACAGACAAACAAAAATTGTAAAAAAAAAATCTTTTGGTGTATGTACCGTATTTATATTCATATGCATGTATTAAAAAACGGTTATTTCAATATTACAAACAGACACTCCAATTTTATTTATGTGTATAGAGTATAGATGTATAGATTGTTTTTTTATTATTTTTAATGTATTGCCCAAGCCAGAGGAATCTACTAAAAATCAACTGAATTAGATTTATGTCATAGAATTTTCAATTTTATGTGAAAATGAAATCTAATATATAAATATTATAACTAAATAGTGCGGTCTTTCTCCGTCCGTCACAGAATTATAGTAGATATAGTAGGTACAGGTATTTCAGAAACTACTAATGCTATCAATTTGAAAATATTTTGGATACCTTAGAAAATAAAATAAAAAATTCGTTACCTAATGCAACATTAGTACCTATCCGAAATCGACACTTATCTACAACAGCTTTATTTTTTTAGCTTTAGTGTTGTATCATATTAAAATGGTTTATTTGTAGGTATATCGACAGCGAAATAGCGATACAAGAAATATAACTAAATCGTTATACTTCTTGTGTCGCTTGGTTTTCTACTTTGTTGTATAATCTACAAATAAAATAACATCTCCCCCTCACTTGTCTATCTGCGATAATATGTTGGTATGTAGTTTATAATAACATAATATAGGTATTAAGGATGTTGTAGGCAACATTCCTGCAGTAGTGATTAAGTACATATAATATCAGATGTGATGTCATTATATTCAAGTGAAATCATGAATCTTACTAAAATTCCAAGGACTACGCCAACTAGGTATTTGTACAACAATCGTGACTTTTGAAAGGTTATACGTACACATATAAGTAAACGAAACTCCTCGAAAGTAATTCCTAATAATTTCCGGATTGGCTGGTACCATGGAAAATTTAAATTGTGAGTTTCATGAAAAACAGTTTTCATATATAGCGTCCCTCCAATCTTCATTATAATAATTTTATAGTGTTCAAGGTCGCACCAAAATGTAGGTTCCACCTAGGTTAAGTCTGCAGAAATCGGGATTAGAACGCTCATATTGTAAATATTTTTAAAATTAACAATAAATTTGAAGTTGCACAATCTTTTACTATTGCCGGACCAGTCGGTGGCTTAACCTACTTATTTTTACAAACTAATTTATTCACAACAATATAAAAAAATACCACTGTTCATAATTAAAATATCAATATACATACGTCTTTTACCTATGGTTTCAAATATCATTGAACCCTTTCCTATACAAGTAGGTACCCCATGTGATCTATGACATTAAAGAACCACTTAGCACTCTAATCAAATTTTGATGATCATTCGTCATTAAAGTTAAACACGATTATCATTAATTGATGGCTAGGAGTCGTGTTTTGCAATATACGTGACATCCCACGGCCACGAAACTTATAGCTAATGGCTTATTGTTTTTAGAGGGAATGGATATGTGCAGTTGAGCATAGTGAACTATTTGTAACTAATGAGTGGATTTATAAGCTCCTATCCTTATAAATACACACATTAATAAAGAGTCGAGGAAGAAAAAGGACGACACTTAAAGAAATTTCCGAAAGAAGCATAGCGGATGAGGTCGTTGTCATGCCGTATATAAAAGTATATGATGTGCATACATATACTTGTAAAAACATGTCTATTAAAATTGAGTCGGACTCTAAAAATCTCATAAAATTATTATTTGGGTGATTTTTTTGTACAGGCTTATTTATTGAAAACCCTGAACAATTCACACAGCGGCATCTAGTCTTAATCTGTACGTAGCTTGTACTATTGTACATAAATGGATTCTAAACAATTGATAGACACATGCCTATGAGCGTCACTGCCTGCTGGACTCATGGATCTGCCGGAATTACACCATTCTACCATGGCAGATAATGTAGAGTACAATAAATAATTACAAATTTATTTTTTTTAATTTCACAGATAATAAATGAAAAATATGCCGAGGTTCAAGACAATATTAGTGACTGGTGGTGCTGGCTATATCGGGAGTCATTGCGTGGTGGACTTGCTAAAAGCTGGCCATGAAGTGGTGGCCATTGATAACTTCGCAAATGCTGTGGGTGATGAGCAGGGATCTCCAGCTTTACAACGTGCTGAACAGATCACTGGCAAGAAAATAACTTTTTACAAAGCAGACTTACTGAATAAATCAGAGATTAGGGATATTTTCGACAAGGTATGGTTTTCTAAGATATCAACGAAACATTCGTTGACATTACTATTGTTAGCCTAAGTTTACTAATAGAGAATACGAGTATCTTTTTCTGCAGAAAAACTGATTACAATTTTAACGAAAATACTCAGATGAGTCTATTTATCATGGGAGTAAACTTATTGACTGCGAAAAGAATTAATACCGTTTATAATTTGGGAACATCATAATTAAAAAATCGTGTCTAATTAATATTTCTCTTAAAGGAACAAATGGAGAGTTAGAGAATGTAATTAATAATTTTTCTATCGTTAATATATGACCTAGGTGTGTACGTACCTACTACCTAGAATTGGATAAGATCGATACCTAGATAATAACTCAGAGAAATACAGTACAAAATAACGCCGCATGATTATAGAAAACCATGTTCGGTAGTAGCTCTTTAAAACATGTAGTAGTGAAATGGTTACATGAGGTTTTGTTAGATTTGCAAAACAAAAAATTATGAAAACTTATTTATTATACAATATTCGGCAGCATTTAGTCATCGCAGTTATATAACTGATAGGTAAACCTAAATAATATGTAGCCGCGGTCGTTCTTCATTTAGGCTTAGATAATGTCAATGCATATCTGTAGGTAATATTACAGACAAAACATAGGTAATATACTGTAAATCACAATAGATGCAGTTATAACACAATTTGAAATGAGATTTTTTTTTTTTTTTTATTCTTTATTGTACAAAAAACACGTGTACAAAAGGCGAGCTTAATGCCATATGGCATTCTCTACCAGCTAACCTTTAGGTACAAATAGAAAGCGTTGTAGGGCAGTAGTGGCGAAAAACTGTGACAATAAAAACTATATAGTAGATATATAAATATAATATACAACTAAAATATACATAAATAAATAAAAATACTATGTATGATATGGATACAAAAATTACATAAAATAAAATAATATATACACGATATAAATATAAATGTGATATATAATGTACATATATATAAATATATATATAGATATATGAATATAATACTCTTAATTCAACGCCAAACAGTTATAGCTCATTCTGGCGACTCAGTAGGTAGTTAAAAAGTTTCTTTTTAAAAATGGGTTTACTCTGTGTTCTGCGCAGGTCTACAGGTAACGCATTCCAAAGGTTAATTGCCGTGACTGTGAAAGAGTTGGACATAAAGGTTGAATGATGGGAAGGAGTAAAGAGAAGGAGGTTATGAGCTGAGCGAAGGTTACGGGGATGGGAGTCGCTGATGAACCGAAATCTATCTTTCAGATAAGTAGGAGAAGAAAGGTCGAAAATAATAGAGAAGAGTGTGCAAAGGATACGCAGGTCTCTGCGGTTACGAATTGACAACCATTTAAGTTGTGAGCGAAATTTAGAGACGTGGTCATACTTTCGCAGTCCAAAAATGAACCGGATACAGTTGTTAAGGAGACGGTCCAACTTATTCAACTGATCTTGGGAGAGGTTAGTAAGACACACGTCAGCATAATCAAAATGCGGAAGTATAAGTGATTGGACGAGGAGCAATTTAGTGGAAGGTGGGAGAAAGAATTTAAACCGATATAGAACACGGAGAATACCTGTGACCCTGCGAGATATCTCCGCTACCTGCAAATGCCATTGAAGTGTCGGGTCGATAAGAAGACCTAGGTTTTTTACGCTGGGACAGAAAGGGATGATATTATTCTCAAACCGTACATACAAATTTGCCGAGTTTAATTTTGGGAGAAGTTTTGAGCTCCCTATAATTATTGCTTGGCATTTGTTCGGATTAACCGATATGCCAAAACGATGGGACCAACGAGCTATGTTGTCGAGATCAGCATTGAGACGGTCTACGGCCGCAGAGATGTCATTAATGTCCGATTGTACATAAAGTTGCAAATCATCTGCATACAGGTGGTAAGAGCAACTGAGATGGGAGACAACTAGATTAATAAATAGAGAAAAAAGGAGGGGAGAAAGAATACCGCCTTGTGGAACACCGGCGACCAACTCACACCAGTCAGATAAGTCCTGCCCGGAGCGAACGGCCTGCTGGCGACCACGAAGATAAGAAGAGAACCAATCCAGTGCTGAAGACGAAAAGTTGAGTTGAGAAAGTAGGGTTAGGATTAAGTCATGATCAACACAGTTGAAGGCGTTGGAGAAGTCAATTAGAACTAGAATAGTAAGTCGAGTGTTCTCCATACCTTCACGGAAGTCTTCAGTTACATTAAGTAACGCAGTGGTAGTACTGTGACTAGCCCGAAAACCAGACTGGAAAGGAGTAAGGAAGTTACAATTATTTATAAAGTAAGATACTTGTTTATGTACCGTAATTTCAAGAACTTTCGATAGAAAAGGCAAAATAGAGATAGGTCTGAAATGATTGGGAAGAGTTGGATTGGAGACTTTGGCAAGAGGGATAACAAATGCTTTTAGCCACAATTTGGGAAAACTGCCTGAAGATAGAGAGAAATTGACGATATGAGTAAGGATAGGAAGGATTGTGTCTAATAAGAAAAGGACCATAGTTCTACTCACTTCGTCATAGCCTTTAGCATTTGATTTTATGGATAAAACTGCCTTACGTATGTCGTCCTCAGTTACTGGAGAAAACGTGAAAGAGTCGGAAGAAAGTGCAGACATGGATTTAATTTCCTGTAAGGTGGATTGTTTTGTGATTACATTGAATGGTATTATAGAGGAAAAGTGCTTATTGAGATCGTTTGCTGGAACAGTTGAATTGGAGATGATTGGGGCTTTTCCAAAACCAAGAGAATTGAGGAATTTCCATACGTCTGTTGAAGGAGAATTTAAAACGTTATTGTGGATATGTCGGCGTTTTGCAGCCCTTACCATCTGATTGCAGCGATTTCTAGCACATTTAAAGTGCTGGAAGTTTAAAGCATTTCTTTCCCTTTTAAAAGTGCGAAAAGCCCTATCTCTTTTTGCCATTGCTTTACGCACTTCGTCCGTAATCCATGGAGCAGGCGGACGTCGTAATTTCACGACATGAACTGGTGCATGCTTATCAAATAAACATAAGATTGCTGAGTTAAATAAGGAGATTTTAGTGTTTATGTCGGTAACATCTAACAGCGGCTTCCAGTCAATAATTGCGGCATCGCGTCTAAACAATGTGCCATTGATTCTGTTAAAATTACGAACACTGGTGATGATCGGCTTTGGCTTAGATGGTTTAATTTTGTATGAAAGAAACAAGAGATCATGACGAGAAAATGCTGGAGCCGAGATTTGACCATAATCAATAACGTTATCTATAAAGGAGGTACATATAAGGTCCAGCCAGGAATCGTCCGTGTCGGTGTTTTGATGGGTCGGTTTTAAAGATAAAATAGTCAGATCCGCAGAATTGAAGATGGACCTTAGCTTATTTGATTGCACCGAGTCATTCAGCAGGTTAGTATTAAAATCACCCATGATGATGACGTGATTATAAGATGTATTAATGATATCGATGGCGTCATCAAGGTCACTGAAATAATCTGTTAATGGTGGACAGTAGACAACTCCAACAGCAACCTTCGTCCCATTAAAGTCGATCTCTATAAACAAAAGCTCTGCCGAACCCCTGTATTCAGAAGGAGATGACAAAATTATTTTATAGGGAATGTGACTACGCAAATAAATCGCGACACCGCCTCCACCCTTACCCGTGCGGTCATTTCTGATTAGTATATAACCAGGAAGGGCGTATGTGGTAGATGGCAAAGCAGGTTTTAACCACGATTCGGATATGAGTATAGCTTGGAGATTAGGCTCAGAAAAAGAGTCGAGTAAATCGGTATGATGTGCCGGCACACTTTGCGCATTAATGTGGCATATGTTAAAGAAATTAGATTGTAACAATTTATCACATAATAAGTTTTTAATACTGATGTTATCATTGAAAGAAGAGTCAGCAGAACACAAAGATAAACTACTACTATCACATGCTGAATGAAATGAGTCGTCGTCTGAGGGCATTGAGTGTATATAATAATATATATATTAAATGTATAATTGTAAAAATAAAAATATGCAATATAAGTAAAATATTAAAGTAATACAAATATAAAAGCCAAAAACGCTTTGTAATTTATTTACCTGCCGGCTCGCTGTAACAAATATTATTTATAAAAACACGAGACTTAGCGCATATTATTTACATATACAGACTGGTGAAACAAAACGCAAACATTAATACATAAAAAAAGAAAATTATCACTGTCTCAACTTGCTATGGATGTTACGTCAAAGAGTTAGAAATTGAAATGTCAATCGGTATGACACTGACATACGACATGTGTCAAATTGACATATGTGACGACAACTATAAAAATATAAGTTTATAACATTACAAAATTAAAACGGTAATCAGAATATAAACAATATTAGAAGGTATTAAATATACATGCAATTATTGAAACATCTGAACGGTACTTTGGGAAATAAGTGTAGGTAATGAAGTATTAAGCTAAGAGAGAAGATAATGTTTACTACTATATCGATCGAGCAACAACAGCTGGTGTATAACAGATTAAGTGATGCAAGTTTGGGATCAGAATGAGAAAATGAAGAACAAAAGATACACACTTTAACATTACTAACGGCAGTTCATTTCTTAGTCGCTCTCGTAGACCGATGATACTTGGGGGCGGCAGATGTAGACCTACTACTAGAGGCTGCACTGTCCACAACCGGGGCTACAGAAGATTCCATTGGCTTCTGCATAGCGATCAGCTTTTCTAAATCCTCTAACATGAATATTTTAACCCGCGAATTATCAGGAAGCTTTACGCTTATGACACCATCCAAAGTCCAGACTTTATTGATCCCGAAATGCTTCCGAGCTTCAATAAACAGCGACTGCCTCATGCGTGTCAAATACTCGGACAATAAATACGAGCTGCCCTTAAATAGAGACTTTTTTGCCCAGATTGTTTGACGAAGTGATGGATCATTGAACTTAATGAGAATAGGGCGACAGCGACCCACTGAAGGAGCTCCCAGGCGATGACAGACTACAAGTTTGTCTGGTGTTAATTCTTGAATTCCAAGATGCTTGGTTATGACAGTGACTGTAGCTTCCCGAACACTCTCATTTGTCCTTTCATCTATACCACCCAAGAGCAGGAACTTTTTTCGGTGACGATTTTCAATGGCATCCATGCCTGCTATTAGATGACTTATTTGCTGCCGCAATAAACTTACAGAGGTATTGATTTGATCACGGAAACACCGGAACTCTTCATTCAGATGCTTCAGACTGACTTCGCCCGCTGGAGCTTTTAGTTGCGCCTCAAAGGTGTTAAGACGATCGTTAAGTGTCTTCTCCAGGATGGCTTGTGTTTTGAGTACATCCAGTATGCTTGCCATTGTATGAATGTTTTATATAGTATAGTAGTGAAAAGTGGTTCAGCGGCTTCTTGCAGGTAATTAAATTACAACTATCACAACATAAGTATGTCTATGTTAAATATAAAAATAATTTTGTAAAAAAAATAGAGTTTTACTATTTATAAATAAATAAAATTGGAGTGATAACAAAACTCAGCTGTTACTTTTTTAACCGCCTACCCGCGAAAGAGATTATGTATCAACTTAAAATACCTTTAGGTAATCAACAAGACTAACAAGAGAGTGAAGCCCGTTTATTAATAAAAAAATCATAATTTTTTTTCTGATATGTACTCACATTTCAGAAAATATGGGTGAAATGAAAGAATTATGCAAATGCAATCAAACAAATAAATAAAAATCTGTTTTTTTTTTTCAGCATAAAATAGACTGTGTAATCCATTTTGCCGCGTTAAAGGCCGTTGGTGAATCAATGCAGCAGCCATTGCTATACTATCAAAATAATCTTCTTGGAATGCTTAACTTATTGGAGGTTAGTCATTATCATATCATATAATAGGACAGACAGATTCTGCGAACACATGAAATATAGATAACCAAGTGTATCCTAAGTATATATTTTTCACTCATTATTCTTGGAGATAGTGTTAACGTAAATTGAAGTATTAGAATCGTTATGACCCGTACTCCTTTTATACTATCGTCAATGTCATACTTTACATTTTTCTGTGATTGTTAATTATTAATATGCCTGTAATATGTATGTAAATTAATTTTTATGTTGTATAATTTATTGCAACATTCCATACTTAATCGAATACTTGAATAAATTCTGTAAGTAGTGTTGGCAGTGTAAGTTAAACATTGTGCCGAATTCCGGAGAAATTTGACATACAGTAGTTTACTCCACTTTCTTCGATAGTTTCTTCCGGCAGCTATTTCTACCTGCTTTATACCTACATATGTATTTACTCTACTACAAATACATTATACTACACCCTCGATGGGTTAAACAATTTACTGACTTCTTCCCCATCATCATTAATTTAAAAAATAGTAGTTAAAGCATTCTCATATCCTTACAGATAATGCGTTCTCATAACTGCTATCAATTAGTGTTCTCGTCATCGTGCACGGTTTATGGTGAACCAGAAAGCCTGCCTATCACTGAAACGCATGCAACTGGTAATATTACCAATGTATACGGCAGAACTAAATATTTTATTGAGGAAATGCTGAAGGACCTTAGCGCAGCAGAAAAGGTATTATTCTATGTAGTTACCTAATCATAACTAAAGAACACGAACATATTGGTATGTTACGACTACGACTGTTATACCGGATGGGGGAGGTCAGAGGCATGTGCAGAACTGCCGATGTTTTTATTTTGCCCTTCGCTTGAATCCAACACGGTAAGGAGCAAATCTAACACCGCCTCTCGTATACATTTTTGATTTGATATCGCCGTTTCAGAAATTAACACACAAAGTTATTTTTTGTGTCTGCCAGATTTGTACGCTCGACCTCTTAGGCGTAATTCCGGGTAGTGAATCACTAGGCTACGACGGTCTTAATCATAATTCATCACTTAATAAATTATAAAATAAATACATATTGTTATGCTAACGAGAGTTTGTACCGACCGGCTACAAAAATACTAACTTCGACCTTCTAGCGATGCCCTAAGTCTAAAGTCGTGTCCGTCATACGTTACGTTACGTCCGACTGATATGAGACAGTTAAGGAGAGTCACCATCCATTTCATTAAAATCTTACAGGGGTATGGAATGTGGTGAAGCTCTAAAATTCACCAGTATTATATAATAAATGAAAACAAATAAAGAAAAAGTAGAATGCCAATTTTGAAATAGTTTTTGATAATCAAGATTTATATGAAAACAGAGACTTCCTTGGTTCTCTGTACCTAAACCATAATGAGCCTAGTACAAAGAGTATGTCGAGTAAAATAGGTATCTGTTGCCCTAATTCTCTCATAAGTATTCATAATTTAGTCAGCATCGTATGGCCACTATGAATGTGTCAATAACCAGTTGGTTTGACCTACTATTTTGAGGTTCAAGGTTGTTGAAGGCGCATTGAACGCGGTTAGAGTATACGAATATATGTATGTCATATGGTTACGTACCTTCAATCTCGCGCAAAAACCGGTATAATCACGAAGGGTATATACAACTTGATAAAATCGATTCAAAAATATTATATTACATTTTAATTACATTAATGAAAGTTCATCATATTTTTTATGTAACTGGTGTGGAAAACATACTGACAGCCTATATACATGAAGAGTGCATCTCTCTCGCCACGGACATCAGTTTATTAAGTAATGCCCGTGGCAAGTAATAGTAAGGACGAGCAGTACTAGCTACCTACTAGGCCTCATGCGTTGCCATTCCGGAGATGCCTCCATATTTTGTCATTTCGATGGATTCAATATTTTTTCCCTCCAATTGTAACACTTCTTACAACGTAGGTACCTTGCATCTGGCTGAATTGGTGGAGATAAATGTAGGGACCCAAACAAAAGATTTCGTGTAAAGTATTTGCTCTGGCATAAACAAATTCAAATTCAAATTATAAATCATTTATTCATGTACATTTGAGCCGCTTATGAACGTAATTTTTTTTATATTATAATTTTTCCCTACCATCCAGTTCAGTATATAGATCCAATTGAGAAGAACTGGCAAGAAATTCAATTGAACAATTTATACATTCTGTAACATACGAGTAAATCGATTTAATCCCTTAACAACATTGAATTGTAATGTGAATTTAATTTGATTTAAAGAACACATCTTATTAAAACTTCTAGTAATACTCACTCGGGCTGTAAAATTCTAAAATTACGATTTTGCCAAAAGGTTTGACGCTTAGCTATGAACCTAATATAACGGTATAACGTACAAATAAAAATGTTTTAGTATATATCATTACTTTTGCAGAAATGGAACATAATATCACTACGCTACTTCAACCCTGTGGGTGCTCACCCGTCTGGATTAATTGGCGAGGACCCCACCAAGGAGTTCACGAACCTAATGCCCTTTATGGCACAGGTAGCGCTTGGGAAGAAGCCTGTACTCACTGTCTTTGGCAATGATTACAATACCCCAGACGGTACCGGTGAGTATATATTAGAAGAACAATATGTATCTATAGATAGATGTAACAGGTTGGAATGTGCAATTATACATTATTACATGGACTCACTGGTTAGTAATATGTAATGTACTTAATTAAAGAAACTTAACATTTATATTTGTGAATATATATATATATATATATATATATATATATATGCAGAACAGTATTGGAATTCTGATGTCAGAAACCTTTTCATTATCTTAATTTTTAACTAAAACTTTTTCCTTTATGTTACTAATAACAATATGTTTTCGCATATATTGATACTAATAGCAATATAAAAAATTAAAAACTGTATTACCTATTTATTTTTCTGCAGGTATAAGAGACTACATCCACGTAATGGATTTAGCGAGTGGTCATGTGGCAGCATTGAATTTAATTAGCGAGAACCATGTTGGACTCAAGGTATATTAACATATTATATGTAATTTCACTAACAGAAGTTCATTACACAATGGCTTTTTTTTATCCTCCAGGTATGCTCTGGAGTCATATAGATTTATACTGTTCTTTTAAAACGTACCTAATCGAGTCTAAACCCAATAAATCGATAACAATGCTGGTTATATCTTTCTATAAGGGATTTTTTATTTGAAATATGTGAGACATATAAATAACTTAAATGCGCTTCTAACCGGCCAATGAGAGACGATAATTAGGAATATATAACAGTATAGAAATCATTCTAATTCGTGTACCTTACTTATCTTTGTGCATAGGTGTACAACTTAGGTACCGGGAAAGGAGTATCTGTGAAAGAGCTAGTGGACGTGTTCGAGAGAGTAACGGGGACCAAAATCCCGCTGAAATATGTTGAGAGGCGGCTGGGCGACATAACTGCAATGTGGGCAGATGCGACGCTGGCTAAAGAACAACTTGGCTGGTCCACCAAATATACAATTGAAGATATGTGTAAGTATTAACATTCATGAAGCCTGTATCATTAAATTAATACGTGAAGCAAAAATTTTTTTACCCCATTTTACGAATATTGACGGAGGAGTATAAAATTTCGTATTTTTAGTTTATTTAAATAGAAAAAGAATGCTTTATGCTAATATTTAAATTATGACATCTTATTCCTCCAGAATGACACCGCATAAGTATCACATACAGTCATACCACGATGTTAATCCGTGGTGCTGTTCTATATAGGCGACGTTACCACTTAAGATTCTTCAGCTTGCAGCTTCTTTGCAATTACATTAAAATACACCTATCACGTAAATTTTTTATAAGTAATAGTAGTAGTACTTACCTATAAAAAAAATACGCGATTGTTTTTATTTATTAGTTTATTACTAGCTGTTCCCGCAACTTCGTCCGCGTGGAATTTAACTTTATTTTTCTGAAATAATAGAATTTTTCTAAAACTACAATAGCCTAAGTTACTCCTTATTACATCAGCAACCTGCCAAAAAAGTCCTGTCAAAATCGGTCCAGCCATTTTAAAGATTAGCCGGAACAAACAGACAGACAGACAGACAAAAATTGTTTTTTTGATGCATGTACTGTATTTATATTCATATGCATGCAGTATAAAATGGTTATTTCAATATTACAAACAGACACTCTAATTTTATTTATATGTATAGAGTATAGATGTATAGATATGTAATAATAATAATATCTTAGGACAATTCTCGGAACGTCGTAATAGTATTTCAATAGTAACCGGCTGATTATATTGCAGGCAGTGACTTCTGGAAATGGCAGACCATGAACCCTGACGGTTATCCCAAGAATATAAAATCCAACGTAATCTCAAACGGCAAGAGTTAACAATCCTTTAATAATGTGTTATTTTAATACTTAAGGAAATATTAAATTAGTATATTATTTATACGAATTTCTTTTAGTATATTTTTAGGAAATAAAAATATTTTTATCCATTTATTTTATTTTTCCTATACATACATAAAATACGCACACTTTAAAAAAATGGTCCTAATAAACTTATTGTTAGTAAATCTGAAAAATGATTTAAAGAAATAAAATTAAAGATATAAGAATATTATAAAAATACAGATTAAATAAAAAAAGAAGGTAATAAAATATTAAATCATGTAACATAATTAAATATTTATTGTCAACTAACCACTTCATACAAAGATGTGTGTTGTAATTTTAAAGGCTCATAGCCTACACTGCATGTGTTTGGCAGAAGATATCTGGCAAATAATTCCAGTATTTCAGGATTTTTCTCATTAATATACTCTTTCAGTAATTCTGAAAATAAAAAATATCCTTCAGCATAGCCTACTAATACTAGAATATCAATTATAGTGATGTGACTCCGTCCAAAGTCGTGAGAATATGGATGTCCTCTTACAACAATATAAGTGTGCCTATATGTAAGTTTGTTGCCAATTCACAACTCAGATCTCATAATCATGACATGAAGATAATATTTAAAATATAATCTGTAATGGATTAGATATTGGATGAAAGGTTCATATAGACGAAGTAGCTGGTATCAGCTAGTTGGTACATATAACTCTATATTTAAGATGTAAAGTAAGTAATTTAAGATGTATGTAGTTACATATCCATGAAATTATATTGTAATAAATTATTACCTACTAATGGAGGTTTATGCGAATGTAAGGCACTTGGCACACTTAAAAATAAATGTTCATCAGGTACATGAGTCACATCACCAACTTTTCCAATAATCAGCCTTTCATATGGCTGTTTCTTAGATCCCGTGCTGAAGGGACATACAGGTTTCAACTGAATGTCCACTTTTAACCAATACCATGTTGCCACATACTCTACACCCCAGTTGGGAAATATCATATTTTTTACTGCTGCAATATTAGATGGTGAATTTGTACACCAAACTGCAACTAAACAGTTTGTTGCTAGTAAGGTCTTTAAAGGTATTGACGCTATATCTTCATTGTACATCATAGAATAGCTGTAAAATAAAATGTCTTTCTTAGTAAAAGATTGATATTATTGTTATGTTGTTCTTAATTCTTGAATATGGAACTAAATAAGAATCATTATAGGTGCAGATATTATTATAAAAATCAACATATACCAAGTAAGCTAAAATAACAAAACAAATTGTCAATGGCTATAGAATTTTTATAATTACAAGCTTATAAACATTTAGGGAACATTAAATACCTACCTTAACTTATTATTAGACCCTTTTAATCTCCTTATGTACTTGTTCCACCATGGCGGATCTGCTATAACTATATTATACTTATTGCCCTCTAATTTAAGACACTGTTCCAAGACACATCCACAATAGAATCTAAAACAATCAAAATATAAATTGTATAATATAATTGAATTCTATTAACAGTTGGTATAAATTTCCTAGGTTCACTAGGTTCAGTTACTGAGACTGACTTATGACTTTACAAATATACTGTAACTAATTGATCCACTCAACTTCATCTGTATCACATGTACTTGATATTTACTATTATATTTCACACAATTTGCATAATATCTTTTCAAATAATAGTGTACATATTGTTCTGATCTATAAGCTATATTACTAAAAAGTTTCATCTAAATCTGAAATTTATACAACTTACCTACAGTTATATGGAATTAAAAAATCATCATTACCAATTTTGTGTTTAACAGATGTATTTGAGTTGTTACCACCATTAGTTCCTACATGGTCGAATATGGTTCGTTCCAATAATTCTTTTGAAAAATCTCGGATATTGTCAACATTTGAAACATTATTTTTGTGATGTATTTTCTCCTTTAAGTTAGACTCTATTTCCAACAAAACAGCTTCATACTTTAACCTTACCTTTGTGGCCTGTAAAAATAAAATGTGGGCTAATTAAGCTTCAACTTTCATTAAAACATTCCACATGGAAATATTCGGAAAAATTTACATCAATATCCAAGCACTGTACTGATAAATTTCTTAAAATTACCCAAACTCTTTATATCTTCCAGTTCATCAAACATCAATTCTAATATTCTAAGCAATATTAATATACTTACAATTTTTTTTTTATTTTAATATATATTTTATTTTTAATATATAAAAAAAAATTATGAAAATAATATTAATGGAAATTTAACATACTTACATTATCTTTACAAAAGCAATTTTTAAAGTTTCAGGGAAAAATATAAATTTTTTAAGAACAACAAACCTCTTCATGAGGGTCATCAGAACTCTTCCCTTTCAACCTTTTTCTATTAAGTGTATGTCCATTACTCAAGATATGAAACAATTTTGCTGACAACACATATGAAAGTATTTGGCCATTTGTATTAATATTTTTATATATATTAGAAATAAATCCATAATGATCTAGAAAACTACAATTGTTTTTCTTGTGCAAAATACTCATATCAACAATTTTGAGGTATTATTCGTATTACTATTGTGAGACGAAAATAAAGTGTACACTACAGTAAATTCACTTTTAGTGTGAAGAGATGTAAAATCAGCAAAATATAAAGTAAGAACATGTAATTTTGGGAATATGAAACATGTAAATTAAATTAATAATTAAAAACCGGGAAACAATCGATACTTCTTCTATCTGTAATTCATATGTCACGAATTTTATAGCATTAGAATACAAATTAATATAGAACTATAATATCAAGTAATATTTTTAAAATAGAGAAGATTAAAAATTTTCATAATATTCAAATTCAAATACAACATAATCTTGAAAAAAAGTGACAGTACATGCAGTCAAGCAATGACATTACATTGACATTCCACCTGTATAGTCATATATTAGCTTGAATGATTAAATATTCAATGATTGAGTACAATAATAATAACTGGCCAATTGACACAGCGCCATCTAGTTCCAAGCAAGCATGTGTACCAAACAGCTGACAGAGGTACTTGTATTGTTTTTTATTTAATATATGTAAATAGGAAAAGAATAGAATACAGCCAAACAAAAACAAACAACCATATGTATGACAATACAAATATTTTTACCATACGAGGCCTTGAATCCCGGACCATCAGAAGTATAGGGATGTGCTAAACCACTAGACCACCAAGACCGTGAGTAAATAAAAAATATTATTGTCAGTCAATTGATTGATTGTCTCATTGTCAGTTTGTTAGTCACTCAATAAACAAAAAGCAATTTAAAATTTCAAATCACAGCAAACAAAAGTTATTATTTTATTTAATGCACATAATCCGCCAATTGAACAAAAAAAATATATTTATAAATAAGTTTGTATTTATTGACTGAAATAATTGTTTTATATTTTTTATATAAATGCTGCTAAATTATTCTATTAATACGTAGTAAATTAATGAAAGCCATAAAATAAGTGTCCACTAATTAATGCAAAATATTTTGTCATGGCTTTACACCTTGGTAAGTTTAAATCGTCTATAGAAGAACTTGTGTGTATGATTACATTTTATTATCATTTCTTTACAACATACTTTTGTTTATTTTGTTACTAGTACTGGGTCCTTTAGATAGGTAAGTAGGTATTGATGGATATTTTATAAAATATCCATATAATTTCATAAAACCATTACTCCCATCAGGTTCTTTTGTTGATGTTGAGGAATGAAAGCAATAGTACACCCACCTGCACCTCTGGTAATACTGTAATAGCATGAATGGAAGCTGAATAGGTTGTATAAAGTCAGGTCAATTTAGCAACTGTGACAATTAATCGGATCTAAATTAACTTTGAATATAATTCATATCTAGTAATAGGGCCACTAGTTGCCATTACTAAGAATCTCCTGCTTCTGTCTATACTCTGTATTGGACATTACACTATTATTATTTACTGCTTGGTTCGGTATAAATACAGCAATAATATAATATTAGATATTCTAAGTAAAATAATTATATAAGTATTCACAATAGAAAATTTGTTGTTTTTATTTAATATAAGTTTTATATATAGATATATTATTTATTAGATGTGCCTGCGGTTTCACTCATGTGAAGTTTAGAGCCTGTGTTATTCTTATGTATAGATTATATTATTATAAACTTTCTTTAAGATCCATTCAGTAGTTTTTGTGTAAAATAGTAACAAACATCTATCCATACATCCATACAAATTTCCACATTTATAATATTAGTAAGATTCCATATGTATTGTCCAATTTTTTACTATAATTAATTTGAAACAAAAAATTATATTGAAACAATTATAATTATTTTAATAATTATCATTTAATGAATTGTACATTACTCTGTTTAAAGTTTATTACATTTGAATAAAATTATGTACTTAAATATTTACAACTTGTATTTATATTTCCATGTAACAGTGATGTATTTAATATTACTGTGACTGCAGGCTGTAAAAGTATTAACAATTTATTCTAAATACATTAATTATAAATAATGACATATAATAAATCTAAATCTATCTACTGATACTTAAATTTAAAATTTATTGGAAAATTATCCTGTTTTCTAGAACTGCCATGAATAGCAGCTAATATGATAATCTTATATCAATAATTAGTCAGTTAACAACACAAACAATGATAATATTAGGGGAATAAAAACAATGACACATACTGTTATTATTATACTACAGATAATACAATAACAAAACATGAAATAATTTTACTCTCCCCATTTGTTATAGATAAAATTTCCTGCATTAAAGAAGGCTATGCTGAATAGAAGTAGAATATCAGTAATATTTAGACTAAAAATAGAGCAGGTTCCCAATTTACCATATTATGTTTATGTGTACCATATTATATTTATGTGTACATATCCTATATCTTTCAATTAGTATTAGTTTTTACTATTAACAGAAATTATACATGTATTGGTCTTGTTTGGTTTTTTATAGACAAATTGCCAGTATATTTTGTTCCAAACAAGAATAAAAAATTCAATTGGTTAGATGATGATAAACACATGATAATGATAAAAATAGTGTGACTAAAAAAATATTACTAAATATAATGTTTGTTAGTTTTCATTGCTGGGTTATTATTATTATTATATTGATTTTTAATAATAGATATCTTGTTTCATTTTCATAAGTTTGAAAATTCTCCATCATATACATGATGCATTCAATCATAATCAGATCAGTAAAGATCTGCCTAAGGTTTCCTTAATACCTGCCTTTGTTACATGTTAACATTGTATATCTGATTTGTAAATTTTTAGCTAACATACTTTCCACATTGTATTTTTACACACATGTAGTTTTTATTTTTAATAATTAGTGGTGCAGTGTTAGTTCTTATCAGAAGCAGTCATGTGACTTCTATTCTGTATTTTATGGTTAAGTAAGTTTTCAAGTAAGTGTGGATGAACAACAGCCAGATATACTCCAAAAATTATAAGTTTTTCATTTATTTTCATAATTATGTATTGTAGTATTTCATTAACATTTGTTAATACAATTCAAAGAGAAATGAATGGTATTTATATCAATGTTCATAACATGTTTCAAGCATGCTACTAAGCCACTTGCCTAAATTAATTTTGCATGAAAGTAATTCACTTTGAGTGGTGTAGGGGCAATCTGTATTTGCTATATATGTAATATTTAACATAGGGGCTTCCAAGAGTTGTTAATAATGTAAAAAATATTGTTTTGTTTTATACTTTTTTTATTGAATGTTTGGAAGGACAATTAAGAAAATAATTATTATTTTCTGTTAAGAATTGAATTTATTGTTTCATTGCATTATTGCACTAATGATACATATCTATATCATTTTATTGTGCATAGACCATTGACTTACTAATGTTTCGCATTATTTACTATATGTCTTGTGTACTCTGAAAACATTTCATGATATTAATAGAATGCTCTTTGTAGTAACAATACTTATCAGGATGTTTTGTTACCAATGTGACTCAATACAAGTTTTGTATCTTTAGATAAATATTCCATTTGTCTACATATCAGATAAAAATTTAACATACTGTCTCTTTTGTTTATAATCTGATATTTTGAATATATAATGATATACATACTCTTACAAACCGGTTCCTATTTTGCACAGTTTGAATAATATATTAAATAATCTATATACTGATACAATATAAATATAAAGATCATAAAAAAAATTGTGTAAATAAAACCTACCCACTGCGTAATCAGAGAAAAAGAAGCGATCCCCGAATTTTTATAGTTATATAATTATAAGTTAAAAAAAAATCAAGTATGTAATTTAAATAAGAATCATCTCGATCACGTCAGCTTTTAAACAAAAAAAGCGGCTCGTATTCGGTCCATTAGTTTAGGACCTACGATGCCAGAGACAGATACGAGTACATAGATATGACACTCTTTTTGCGAGGTTAAAATAAGAAATAAAAATTTTACTGAAAATAAAATTAATATGTAGGTATTTATTGTATTGCTAATCGATTAATTAGATCAATTTTCTTTTTTTGGTGTTTGACTTTGTACATTTATAAAAAAAATATTTCGCCTACTGCGCACTATTACAATTTGAACCTATTTTTTTTTAATTTTTAAAATTTGTATTACTGAATTCAATTCAAACTCTTAAAACTGTGTCATTATATACATATTGACAGACTGTACAACACAGTTTCATTGAGTAAACGGCAAAAGTTGCACAAAGTAATAGACAGCTACGAATATTGATTAGGGGTTGACGTTGTGCCTGTGTGCGCGGCACCCTTCACATCACAGTGGCAGTGTGCGCGGTGCGCGCGCTGTGTGAGTGCGTGCGTTTTGCTGCCCACTGCCCATGTGCTAGCGAACTTACGGCCGGGTATACTGTGCCGTACAAACCAATTATTAACACTAATGATAATTTTACAAAAGATTCAATACCTCCACGAGAAAACCACGCAAAAACGAGCCACGACGGTATGTGGAAGTAAATCATCGCTGCGTCGAAACGTCCCATCAGGATCGTGAACAGCACCGTAAAAATCAATAAATCTCATTGTGAAATTAAGAAATTGCATTTTACATTTGTACTACGAGTGCCTCCTATGTCTACCATCGCGTCCGAAGAACCGTATACCAATAGTGTATTCCTGTTTCAGTGATACAGAAAGATTAAACATTCTCGATGTTTAATCACAAGTTACCGACTGACTTTCCAATGCAAACCCTCCGTAAGAAAACCAGCCCTTGCAAATGTAAGTTGGAAACGTGTTTAGTTCCAATTAAGCTTTCTCACTTTCAATACTACTTTATTAATTTTGATAATACGGTAATGCGGTGTTTAGATAGCGCTATAAGTGTAAAATTGAACCACATTATCGCATTTGAGCTTTGTTATATTTTGCGATTTCTGTTGTAAAATGCATGAATCAGCTGAAAGTTCGCCCTACAAGTATAAAATATCAAGTGAGCACTGTACTTTATCATTTCACCAAGCTAGTCCACGTCATACTTAGTGACCCCTCGTATTTTGGACAGAGGGTGTGTTGTGGGCCCGTCGCGAATGCAGCGGTGGTGCAGCGGGGGGAGTAGCTTGCTATTTGTCGGTTTGTACGGGGAATTATGCAGGTGTGTCATTTCCAGCATCTCTTGCGGCAGTTCGGTGAGTAGACTTCCATTTTCATACATTTCATCCCTGTATGTTGTACTGCATTTACGTAACATCGCGTTGCATGCCATGTGACTGGCTTTATTATGCTGTATGCTCGGCTTAGCTTTAAGTAATTAGAATATATAAAAAAATAAATTATTCTGATGTCTGTGTTATTATCATATCTAATATTATAACAATAATATATTTTGTCAATCTTCTAAACATTCAACATCAAAATTTCATGATATAATTAGGCTTTGAAAACCTAAGTGTTCTATCAGGTTCCTATCACTCCAGCCCTATCACGCTCGGCTGATAAAAAGAAATCCTCGAATTGAAAACTCCGTTCTTAATGAGTTGAGAAGTTAATCTATTTTCTATATTATTTAATAATGTTTGACACCTGAATTGTTTAGACAAATAATTATTATTTAGGTTAGCAAGCCCATAGCTCAAAGTAGCAAAATATAGATGACCAATAATTACGAATAAGATTTACTTATTTTACTAACTGCGATACTAATTGCAACAAATGTTCATGTTCTTTCCATTAATTATTTTCTTTTAGAAGAAACATTAATGTCTGTCCATCCCAAAATCATACAAGTCATCTGTTATTACCTACTGTTAACCGTATAGTTCACCTTATTTCAACTAATAGAATAGCGCCGTAGTCTAAACAAATCACTATTCTACAAATCTCCTGAGACTTCTATTTTCGTATCTGAGAGTCCTGTTTAAAAGATATCATTTTCTATTGAAGATGTTCATTCGTACTGATATTATCATCACATCTATACCAATATTATAAAGTTTATCAATTTCTATGTTTAGGCTAATCTCCTATACAACTGGACTGGATTTATTATATAGTATAGGGTCTTTAACATCACACTACGAACAGTAGGAGCGGAGCTGCCTTAAAAACTATGCAATACGGGGAAATTGCACAACTAGATAACTACTAATTACCCTCCCCTGTATCACGGGTGCTCATAACTGCGAGTTTTGTATATGCTTATATAATATATAGTCTATATCAGTCTGGAATAAAATACTTTTGAGTCAATGAATTTTTCAAATAGGTGCAATGGGTCCAGAATTTGCTTCCCTTATAAAATCCGCCCCTATCTATAATATTAGTGTGGATTCCGGTGGACGAGCATTTTAAAAGCGTTGTGCATTGAGATGGAAATTCCTGCGTATTTGATCGATCGGTTCTCTATAATTTTACTCTCCTATCTGTAGCTTACAAAGTCAACTACTTTGTTGAAATAGGTGAAGCTGAAGTACCCACACAGTCGATTGAGTCTGCCTCGAACTTTTTAATAAATTATCGTAACATGTATAAATAATTACGGATTCAAATGCTTAAAATATAGGTACTGTCTTATACTTATAATACAAAAAGCCACTTAATTTTAGATTTTTTGAGTACACCTGTCGTTTGTTATTGTTTTTTTATTTGCCATAAGGTGGGCAAAACTTTCTAGACTTCAGCAAAATACATATGTTTCGTCATAATATGACAGGTACTTAGAGACCATAGAGTCCCGCCTCCCGAGATTCTAAATTTAAAAACAGGAAATTCAATTAAACGGGCAATGATGCACCGTAAACAGGGACCGAAATAGGACAACACAACAGTGCTCACATTTATTTTGCACTTTGTCCGGTTATCTTGTTTCTTGTGATAAAATAAATAAATTCATGACGCCCAAAAAGTCCGAGTTAAAAAGTCTCCTGCGCGAAGGTACGTACAGTTATGCTTGCATTTGAGTCATTTTGCGTTTTTGCCAAATTGTAGTTTTTATAATATTATTTACACGCCTGATAATGTTAGATTTTATTTAGTTGCCTTGTGAAATATTTATAGTTAATTGTGAGTGTATTAAATGAACAATTAAAATTGTGGGTTGATTTTACTCTCCGATCCGGTAGCATATTGTGTACTTACACAAAAGTTAGAACATAAAAGTACTGCTGTCTTTTATTTTCTAACTTTTGTGTAAGTGTATTCTATAATGTTGTACTGCAATATTGGTATTAATTACCCATTTGCGAATCGTGTCCCGCAATCTCCGGAAAATAATTCAGAATGTACCTACTATTAAATTTATATCCTCTTGTTTTCATATATTTTAATTTAAAGAACATCAGTCGACACGACGAACACAAGTACCAAAATAAGGTCAATCTTTGAAAAATAAATTTTGCAACTCATGTATATATGCGAAAGTATCTGCGTAGTAACTATTGTTTTTATAAAACAATATGTTATTTTTTGTTGGATAAATTCTCAATTTATTTTTCTAAATTTATTCTTAAATACTATTGAAAATGGTTAAGTCACCCCTCTGTAATAAAATGACATTATCCTACTTACCTATTTATAGTAAAAGACATTAAAAAAATATTAAATTGAAAAATTATTGATTGTATACAGACAAGAACGAGCCGGGCCGATTTCTTGGCGAAGGTGTGTCATTTCGCGCCAAATTGATTGGTGTTTTGGAGGTACCAGAAGCGCGCGGAGACAGGATGTGCCAGGAGGCGCTAGCGGATCTAAAAATGGCGATCAGGGCAGCTGGCGAGCACAAACAACGCATACAGGTCCACGTCGCCATCGATGGGTTACGACTGCGTGATGATAAAACTGGTGTAAGTTTATTTACCTTGGGCTCTATAGCGTAGTCTAGTAGCGTACCACAACGGTTTCCTTCCGATGGTCACGGGTCGACTCATGTACTATGTGAACATTTGTTTTCATGCCCATGATTGTTTATTTTTATCGGTTGTTTATTAACCATTGTACAATCACTGCTTAGTTTTGGATTAGATAATGATGTGTTAATATTGTTATAATTTAAGAAATATTAACATGAAAATATTTTTTAAATTGATGCATGACTCATTTTCTTGACTCATTTCAATTACCATCAGATATAGATACCAATTCTACCGATATAGATTATGAAAGCTAAGCTCTAAATATATACTAAAAATAAACTCCGTAAATACAGTCAACCCTCCTATAACGCGGTTCTCATTTCCATATAACGCGGAGCTGAAATTGCGACATTATATACAGCGCGGTTTCCGTTCAACAACGTCCCATCAGTTCTTTCCGTGCACCCAATGAATGATTTTAACTGGATATGTTTATATCAGCGTGGTTCACGGGTGGGGCTCCTCATGCGCTATCTTCCACTTCTATTAACTAAATAGTTTCGCATCGACAGCGTGCCATGCGTGTGTGTGTCTAACGAAACTGTAACATGAAAGATATATATGTGATCTTTTGACTACATTGTCGCGTGAACTATAGAAAAACTACGTTCTATTCTTAGAAAACCAATGTGAAGATCAACCAAGCGAGGAAGACATTTTGCCCATTAAAAGAAGGCGAGTTAGGCGACTCATATCTGACAGTGAGGATGAGTGTTGAAAGATTACATCATTTTACAAAAGTCTTTCTTTTGTTTTTGTTGGAAAACAGTTTTTTAGTTTAGTTTTTATTTCATTTTTTTCATATATTTTTATTGAATTGAAGAGTTCATACTCTTCAATTCAATAAAAATAATTTATAATTTATCTTGTCTTTTGTATTTATTGGTCTCCATATAACGCGGTACGAATGATGTGATTTGTACTTATTCTGAGTCTCTTATAGCGCGGTTTCCATACAACGCGGTAGACGGTTTCCATAGAACGCGCTACGAATTAGCCTGGTTTGTATGGTTGGATCCGAGTTTCTTATAGCGCGGTTTCCATACAACGCGGTACGCACTCACCGCGTTATAGGAGGGTTGACTGTACTCCTATTATAATAAGTTTGCCATATTATATACACATAATATTGTTATCAATAATTTGTTGTAATACTGGATACTATTTCTGAAGTAATAAAACTGATAATGGACACGATAAATTCCTTTTTAGAAACGTATATTCAGAAAGATATTATTATAAAGCTTCAAGAATATGAAGCTCAAGTTTTAAATACAATACTCCTTTAGACTTTTAAGTTGTAGAACTATTGTATTTAGGTATATGTATATAGGTTAGCAACTATTATTCAAAAGTAGCGAAAGTAGTAAGTGAGAAATGGCGGGAAATGTGGTTGTAGTTTTTAGTATAAAATAAATTAGTAACGTAACAGATCTCAGATAATACATACCTACATCAGGAAATGCAATGAACCCTTCCGGTTGTAAACAGTTGGCTAGACTAACTTGGTAAGAACTCTCACCTGATAAGGTCAAGAAATTTTGTATAACTAGTAGGTATAGCTGTTAATGAAATATACCTATTTAACAATTATAATAATAGTAAATATATGAAGGAAATAAAGGAAACTTTTCGTTGTTTATAATTTACTAGCCTTGCCGCGCAACTTCGTCTAGGTCTCTTTTTTTTTACAGCATGTTTCATTATTGTTAGTTATAGTATTATGGTATATAGCCTATACTTACTGGCTAAATGTGCTATTGAACATTAAAATAGTCTTTAAAACAGGATCATTAGTACCGGAGGTAATCCCATCCCAAACATTCATATTCACAAATCTCTTACAATATTAATTTAGATAAGTGATACGATGACAATAATGTTATTGGCAATGTTAATGGCATGAATTGCGTTAGTGTGTGATGAATGGGTTAAGAAACATTGTTGTTGTTGGGTTAAGAAACAACACAGTTGATGGCCTCAGTGATCTAAGTGTTTAGCACGCCGCTTTACATCTAATTGTCGCGGGTTTGATTACTCGCATGGTACAAATATTTCTATTCATTATTATGATGACTATTATAGCATTGATTAGATATTGTCTACGTATATTAAGTAATATATGTACGTATTTATACCAATTCTTGTAAACATAACACTAGCTCTTATTACATTAAGACTAGATAACGCTGTATTGATTGTCCTGAGATATTATTATTATTAACTATAAGGTGCCCCACAGGATTCCCTGTACCATCATCCGGTTCACAAGATATCGTTCATCGCACAAGACATGACTGACTCGCGTGCGTTTGGATACATTTTCGGTTCCCCAGACACGGGCCATCGGTTCTTCGGTATCAAGACTGATAAAGCAGCTAGTCAAGTAAGTAGTATTTATCATTATTGTTCACAGATTATGTGAAAATAGAAGCAAATAGGGGGAGAGTAAGACCAAGGCACAGTTACATCAAGCAAAATAAAGACAAAATTTGATTCGTGTCGGTGTTAGCATTTAAAGAGGATGATGGAAGATTGTCAGAATAAGCATTTAAGAGTGTGTGAATGTTTTAGTTGGTGTTTTAATTTTTTATTCTAATACATATTAGGGTTCTATTATGAAAAACATATGTATTTCTCTATGAATAGCTTCTTTATTCCTATTTCAAATTGAACAAAGTAAAACTAATTGTAAATATGGGTATAAATATGTATATATACATACACTCGTTTATTTGTATCCTACTTTTGCTATAATTGAAATGAGGATACCATTTAAATAGCGATGAAACCTGAAACCTTTCAAATACAATCCATTCCATTAAAGTATTAATTGCACGACAGCGACGGCCGCAATACATTTATTCAACACGTTTATCAATCTAATGGTTATTTTAAAACTACACAAGAAATGGGCGATGTATTGGTAAGGCTAAGTAATTAGAATAATCTTAATTAATATTATAAACGTGTAAGTTTCTGAGTATGGATCGATGTTTGTTACTCTTGCACGCAAAAACTACTGAACGGATTCGATGAAACTTTACAGTAATATAGCTTATACATCAGAATAACACATAGGCTATTATTTTAAAAGATATTATATAAATTGGGGGAAATATAAAGATAAATGTCATGTAAGTGTGATGCAGACGAAGTTACGCGGGTCAGGTAGTAGTAAAATATTTTAAAATCACAATAATAATGATTGGGTTAATTTTTAGATCAAGCAATTTTAGTAAAATCATTGTTAAAAAATTTCTTTCACCTTATTTTCTCAATCAGTTCAGTTTACCTATTCATCGTGATAAATATGTACGCATTTATTCGGATGCCACTTTCATAAGTACCACTAGTAGATATGAATAACTTATTGTAAAAACATCCTAGTGAAGACTAGATAATATCGGATTCACGTTTCATAATAAAACCGCTTCTGGCTTCATGTGCGGTTCGTGACCGATTATGTTGATTTATAACTTTACGATCGCGATGTCTTGTATTATACAGCACCGGGTTGGAATGAGGGAAATGAACACGACATTTGACTTGGAAAACTATAATAAAGTCTACGTTAATCATACAGTCGAGAAAGTAAGATGGAAAGATACTTTTTACAGTTTCCACCAAAGAACATCACTTACATAACAAAAAAATTATCAGTATACTAGATTAATGTACAAATAGATTAGATTATCGGTAAAAGCGATTTCTTACTCAGATTTAAGATGAGTTAAGCATATCGTGGTTAAAGATATAAAAAACCGTCAATATCCACATTATTTAAAAAAGCATAAATCAATGAATGAGTACAGAGCAAAAACAAATAAACGGTAGCAGCTAGTTTTTATACGTGGGCGGATGATCAAATTAAAATCTATAGAGAATAGACAACAAAATTAGTCTAACAGCAGATCTTGCTGTATATTCTATTTGTTAACTATATATATATAATACAAAAATGTAGTATTTGACTTAAAAAAATCCAAGTGATAACAGCCAATAGCTCTTACAAAAATCAGATTGTGATAATGTAAACAAACAAAGTGAAGGCTCGAACTGATATTTAATTAATTTGTTTGTTGCACAATATATTACCATGATATTAAAATAATGTTTTATTCAAATTGCAGGTAGTAATAGCAATGAGGGACTTATTCCAAGTAGTGTTTGAATTGAAGAAGAAGGAAGTAGAAATGGCCAAGCAACAGTTGGAGGGCAAGACAGTCACCAGCACTCTAGCGAGACATACGACGAGTATAGTGGAAACTAAAGCCAAGGTATTGTTTTATCTTCATAGAACCGGTAGGATAATAATTCCATTTTACACAAAATCTTCTTCTTATTTTAAGACTTCATGACGCTGTGTATGTTATTTGTTACAAACAAATATGATGATCAGTAAAAAGCTACGTATTTAGATGCCAAGTGTAACTGTAAAAAAGATAGTTTATTTATCATCATCATATTTTTTCATCTACGATGAATTCGTAATATGCCAGTATTGTATCATAATTTACAATTGAGATCTATTGTGTGAATGTCGGCGCGCGTCAAAATATTAAACACTTTTTGTCAACATTGGCGATTGGTGAATATTATTAGCCGTCATTGCTGTAGTTGACGTGCTAATTGCAAGGGCTCAGTTTTTTATTAATAACTATTGTTATAACATTTTAAACTAATATGGGAAGAATTCTAGAAGAATGTCCAGATTGTTTACAACCCATCATAGTTCCAAAGATTGTAAGTTAAAATTTGGATAACACCAAAAAATTAAAACACCAATAATAATCCAAAGGATAACTATAGGCTCGCTCCCTACCCATGTAAACTTCAATTATACCCAGCGAAATATGAGCATGTCAAGTGTTGTGTTCACCACAACTTCGATATTTGTCAATGCCTCTGACTACCCTATCTAGGACTACAGTCGTAAAGAAATTTTATATAGATACATATACCACGTAAGTTCTTACTAATTTAAAATATAACTGTTAAAGAAAAGCTAAATTAATATTTATAAGGTGTTGTGAAACAGTTTGCATTTTAAACCTTGAATGCATATTTTATACTTGACCTTATAAACGATGAGTTTAAACTCCGCTTTAACAAAGTCAACCTTGCATGACATTGAAGCAATCTTGAACGAATGCAAAAAATGTATCAGTAAACAATAAACTTTACAACTTTTTAACAAACTGTGCTGAATTGACTGATGTAATACATACCAATAAAATATTTAAATAATAAATAATGTAACATACACTATGATTGTTTATTTGTTGGTTATCTATATAGGTTAAATATATATTAATAATGTCTATATTTAAGTTACAAATATGCTTAATAGAGAGAAAATATATTTATTTGTTAACACACACATACTCAACAAAATACACCTGTCATTGTCTTTTAATAATAATAGGCATTTTGTCGACTCTTAACGTTATATTGTAGTGACACACGTCTTAAACGTGTTTTAATAAGTATGTCTTTCGGATCGTTTAATATTTGTAGTTTACTACGACATAATCTGGTAAACATATCCATTTGTTGTCGGCTAAGGTTTTTTTGCTATAATAGAATTTTGCATGCCGACGCTAACGGTGTACGCTGACAGGGGATCCGTCGATAATCATAGGATGACCATGAAGTATGGTCAATTAGCCCATCGTGACTAATCTACCTGGAAGATTGCCATGATAAAATGGAAGTCGACCTAACATAGTCTTTACGCGAATTAGTCCCATTACTAACAACCCCCACCCTTTCGAAATAATTGCTAACAAATAGTATTTCTCTTTAGAGTATAACGACGATCGGCGAAAATAATTCATCAACGTCTAAAAGCACTGAGACTGGTGCAGAAGGCGGCGTGGCGGAACTAGTTGACTTAGAACAGGAACTGAGTTCATTAAGAAGAGGACTCACGCAAGTGGAAGGACTGACACCGTCCACGGACCCTTTTGGCGACTCATTTATAATGCCATCGTCTCAGGTTTATAATAATAATGAATTTTTATTCTTAGTGACCCACATATTTTTCATAGAAGTTATTCTTAATCTAAACTTGAATATATAACATCTACCCAGTACTTAATGAAAAACTATTAACTATTTATTATACATGGCAGTGAAAATACTGGGTATAAAAAATACTTAATGTACCATGTTATGTGATGTCTGTGTTACTGTTCATGTCTATACTGTGGTAGGTTGGCAGCTTACTTGTTATTCCAGTTCCATGTTTATAAAGGAGTTTCATGCCACTACTTTTTCTCATTATATATAACTCAAAGGTAACTGACGTAGTGATCTATCAACGCACAGCCCAAATCACTGGACGGATCGGCCTGAAATTTGGCATGCAGGTAGATGTTATGACGTAGGTATAGACTAAGAAAGGATTTTGATAAATTCCATCCCTAAGGGGATAAATTAACGCGAGCGATGCCGCGAGCAACAGTTGGTTCTATAGTATAAATTAAATTTAGTACCGCCTTTCTATAATAAATCACAGTGCCTTATAATATATAAAGTTACAAGTTTTATAAATGTTGTGAAACAGTTACTTAGGTCACATCATTAGCTGTGAACTGAGTAACTGTGACCATTATTAATTGATATCAATTTTTGTAAAGATTACTTTAGTACTTACTTTTTTTTTATAAGAACAACCTTTGGCTATTCTGATGTAGTTCACTTTTTTACAAGAGCTATTATATATGGTGCCGTTTGGAATAAGACCAACCAAATTTTGGAACATGTATTTTATCGTGAACACTAATAATGTCAACAGAAGGGCCTGTTGCCTCCGCCGCCTTCGGGCAGTTCGAGCCGCGGGCGCAGCACCCCCGCCGCCCGCGCCGCGCTCAGCCCCGGCAAGGGCTCCGCGCCGCCGGCCGCCTCGGCCTCCGCCCCCGCCGCCGCCCCTTCAGCTTCCACGCCCCTGCCTTTCGACTTGGCAGCCGTCGCCGGCGACTTCGAACCGTCCAGCATCGTAGACAACCTCACTGACACACCGGTTTGTTTTCTTCCCTTCGTGTTATGTACCGCTTCAGGATCTCTTTACGGGAGGAGCTGCGATGCCCCGCGGCGCTCGTTGTACCGGCTGACAAGTAGGTGCAAATGTTAGATATTTTTACTGGTAAATATTAATATTTTGATTATTAATAATGGCGCTCAGGGTCGCGACTCCTCCAGTGTTAGTCAACCCTATTTCTAGTCCCCGCTTTGTTTCCGATAATCGTTTCTGATAAACTTAAGTTAAATGAGTTAGAATTTTGTAACCGAGTATGGAGATAGGTGTGTCCGATATACATATGTCATACTCCTTACCTCACCACATCACTGGGAATTAAACCGCGCGAAAATGAAATATATACGTAATTAAATATGAGAGAAATTCACATAATGATAATGCGATATTGATACATGATTGGTTGTGCGTCGTATTATTTTAAGGTTCTAACATTTTGTTAATGTATGTATATGTCTATGGATGGCGCTGGTGTGACGATATAGCTCATATAGACAGATGGCAATCGAATCTATCAATAGTGCATCGAAACGAGACAGCAACGTCCTACGTATCGGTCTTTCTCGAGCTTGCATAGCGATAGATTCGTGAGTGACTTTTTACAAGTAAATGTCATGTTTATTTAATCGTTTGCATTAAAGTTTATCAATATATATTTTCGAATTATCAAACTAACACCATCCATTGACGCGTAATAAAAATATGTATGTTTGTTTTGTAAGACAATATAATCTCTTAAGTAATGTATACACACGTATAATGGTATTAATAGTCCTTGGCCGAGGCTGTCTTGAACTCGTAGAATCCGACACAAGCATGGCTCACTGTCCCCGCGCTGTCGCTTCTCTTTTCTTGCAAAAACATTGTGTAAAATGTACTTAAAATGCACGCTCAAATCACTGATATACTGTGGAGCCTGTAGTTTGTTTGTGACGTCGCTGTTTGTGTCACAATTCTATCTTAGAATTGTGATAACACTACCATAAGACTAAATAACTAAGTGCAGACATGACACTGGCGGCGCACTGCTTGATGGCGCAATATTCTTCATGTACGTAAATGAAACATACTTAAGGTCTATTTTACAAATGATCCTAAATCATTTATACAAGACGCAGTATGTATTTGCAAGAATAGGTAATCACTTGTAACTAACTAATATTAATTGACGATTTGTCTTGATTTTGCATTCAAGCCTATGTCAATACTGTTCATAAAATATATAAATGTAATGTATATATTTTTAAATATAATTAGTACATACATGTAATTTGCGCCAGCAAGAAAAACTACATGATCAGCTTTCGCATGTCCGGTCCACCCCAACAGAGATCATAGAGATGTGTTGTCTACCTACTGTACTAGAGAGCTTCAGTAGAGATATTGTGTATGGTGTCATGTCTGCGTACGGAGCGCGCTACTGTTTAGTCTCATGGTGCGTACTGTTCCAGGTGAGCCAGCCCGGCCCGTCCACGACGACGCTCAGTTACGACGTATTCACCGAACTAGATCCCCTCGGCACCGGCCGGAGTAAACCTTACGTTGACAAAAAACTCTTCTTTCAGGAGCTCAAAAATCCGCCAAAGAAAGTGCTCAAAGACCTCGTTCCGACGACTCAGTCGCTCCTTACTGACATATTGCCGGTCACGACCGAGGCTAAGTCCGATTACGGGCCAGCGACCACAATGACGTCACTGTCCCGCCACTCCGGTGGCACCGTGGCGATCGCGAAGCCGCAGCCCGCCATGTTCACAGGGAACTTTTTCACGGCGGATCCCTTCGCGGAGACGGACCCGTTCGATAACACTGATCCGTTTTCGGACTCGTTCAAGGATGACCCTTTTACGAGTATGCAGGAATTCCCGAAGTCGATGAGGGCGGACGATGCGAGGAGGCCGAGTAGAGACGTGACACATGACAAGTCTGAGAGTATCGAGAGCGGCAAGAACGTGTTCAATGGACCTTTACAAGTGACGCTGCCACCGGAACCGGTGCCGAAATCGCCCAGGCTGCAGAGACAGGTTTGACACTCTTTAATTTTTCTTTCAAACATTATTTCATATACTTCTCATCGTATCTACATATGTTCTCTTTGTCTAGGGCCTTTACGACTGAAAGGTATCACTACTTGTGATGATGTTTAATCTTGTCAGCAGTAAAATAAAGTACTGTGAACATAGTGGTTTCATGACCTGCCAGATGGATGCCTCAGATGCCATGCCAGATGGAAGACTTCATAGCGTCGCATTTCAGATGGATAAGAACACATTAGTTTATTATTAATCTTACCATGATGAAATTATCGCTGACTAAGTCGCAAGCAATTAGTATCTTAATATATAAATTATTCAGTACGTGTCTCAGTCATCTAACTCACGATTTGGATGAAATTTTGTGTATATTTCAATGGATTCCTGTATGTTTTAAAAACACATTTGGATCCAATAGGTGGTGTGGCATTCCGGACAATATATCGTATAAACCGGTAGTCTAATATAAATATGCATTCTTATAGGGCTTAGAATCGAACTCGCTATCGATGACTAGTCGAACGAGAGCGATAGGCGGTTCGCCCCCGCCTCCGCTGCCGCCCAAGAAGCCGGCGGACGTGTGCGCGGTGCGACCTCCGCCGCGACCGCCGCATGACGAACCGCCTTCCGCTCCCTCGCCGCTCTCGCTCGCTTCCGCGTCCGTTTCCACCTCCGCCGGACCACCGTTACCGCGGCCTGCCAGGAAGAAGGAACCCTTGGTGAGCTACTACCACTTTCCGTTTCAGTATATTCGCAGCTACAGAATACACTGGGCGGGAAAACCACAATCAGTCAGTAAATTTCATTTGACCGCATTCAGAACCGAGCAGTCGATAAAGTTTTCGTGACAAACTCGATTCATTGGGTATACGGCAAGAGATTGATTTCTGTGCATTTTCTACCGCATATATCACGGACAATGTTTTGGAGAATTATTTGGATTAATACTAAATACTGACTTTCATCATCTAATTACATTGAGCTACCCTTATTGGGCGGTATCCATCCTGCCCGGACCGCTCCCACGGCTGGGGGCTTGAGAGTCTAACCGATTTCCGACACCGTTAACCAAGTTGAAGTAATTAGCCCAACTGGACCTTAGGATTAGTGACTTAAATCAACAAATATGACTTGCATAAGAGGCCGAAAAATCTTATATCTATTTTTCATACCCATACAGACCCCATAAATATTAGAGGTGGACGACCCTTAAAACTTAGTTTTAATGGTCGTCCACTTATAATATTTATTTTATGGATTTTTTTTATTTGTATTTTTATGTGCCGTTAAAAATACATACAACTCTTTAAAGATTTAATCTTCACCCTTCTATCACGAACCTCTATTTTCTAATAGCGAATTTAATTTATATACCAAAACAACGTTCACGGGGTCAGCTAGTGTATGCATTTTTTTCGAATTATGAAAATGCGTGGTCACTGTATACAGGCGGACCGCAGCATGAAGCCGCGGCTGTCGTCCGCGTCGGCGGCCACCAACAGCAGCGAGGAGGAGTACCTGACGCCGGCGCCGCCGCCGCTGCCGGCCGCGCGCCGCTTCGACATCACGCTCAGCCAGCTGCTCACCTGCACCATGGACGAGCTCGCGCACAGGTACTGATACCGAGTCGGTCTAAAGATACTTCAAAAAATAACTATTATTTATATTTCAACAGGAAAAGCGCGTTTTAGGTGCAGATCAGTAACAGACTGCCTCTTTCCATTCCTTGAGTCTTAGCCGATACCGCGAGTAACTCGAAAGAAATCTATGAAAAGAGTATTGTCTTATTAATACAATATATTGATGTGGAAAGCTAACACGGTTATTTCGGACCCGTTGTAAGTACTGTTATTGTGAAACTGTAACAGTACGCACCTCCTACTCCTTATACATTCTGTATATAATGCAATGAAGTGTATAAATAAATAATAAATTTTACCCACTAAAAATCACACGATGTACCTACGAGTGCCATTGCCGTAGTCGCGAAGTGGCGTAAGCATTCTACCGCGACTCCGGTACTACCGGTGTTGGCCCTCCCTGTAAATGATGTAGGATATGCCCCGCCTCGTTAGGGCGATCTATTTCACCCTTTTCGGGTGTAGGCAACCATATTATTAATATGATTGTCATAAGCCCAGATCAATCTAATATTATCACTATCATTGCCCTCCCACACAGTGTCAATTCGTCTACTACTAAATAGCTTAATGGATCTTAATCTTAAGCGTGTAAGCAGATTGTATCTTAAGGATGATCTATACATAGGTTAGGTTATCTTTTATTTTAAAAAGCTACTTAATTTTGTTAGTTTGATACAAATAAGTTTGTTTGCTTGCGACTTTCGTTGCTTTTAAGACGATAATGAGAACATTTTTTTCCAGATTACGGGTACCAGCGACTACTCTTTCTTGCATGACTCTACCTCAATTAACAGAATACCTCCGTTCATATTTGGCATCCGATAACGAGAGAGCAGTAAGTTAATTAAAAATATTTATATCTTTTTGTCTTATTGTCTTTCTTTTCTTTATTATTTTTATTCTCAATTTTGTTCATTGCAATTTACAGCACATCAACATAGACTCTTCGATGCGAACGGACAAAGACAAAACTATACTACCATCGTCAACTGTGACGATACCGGATAAACCCGTCCCCTCCGCACCATCTATATCTGAATTCCGATCACAGTTTGAAGATAATTTTGCTCCAACGGAATCTAATGATAGTTTCGTAGCAAACTTTGACGACTTTGATAAAAAGGCCAACCCATCATATGATCGATATGCAGCGTTCAGAGAAATACAAGAACAGGAACTAAAATCGAAGTCAATATTAGATCCTGTAGATATAGGTGAAACAGATTCAAAACAAGACTCGGACGAAAAAGAAGAACTCATGGCCATAAATGACCTAATGCGAGCGAAAGAGGATATGAAAGTAGATGCAAAAGAAATGTCGAGAAGTCCACTAAGAACGCTAGACGAGCTGACACTGGATACCTTTAATATGTTTCGAAGTTCAGTCAGTCCGAAGCCTATGAATATCGACATTAAAATAGAAGATATAAAGACAGTGATGAAGAATTTGCATTTAGATAAATCCAGAAGGAGTGTGTCACCACGGGATAATGGTAACATTGAAATAAAACAGGATGATGCCAGTGATAGATACGCGGCATTACGCGAGATTACTATAACAGAGCCACCTCAGGATGAGTTTGAATCGTTACCCCCGGAAGCGCCAAAGGAACGTAAAAAGTCTGATGAGAAATCGGACGGTTTCGATAACTCCGATTTCTTCGATTGTATTGATAATAGTTCGCTATCGTTCTCGCATGTCGAGGACGCATTTAGGAAGAGTCCAATAGTGAAAGAGAAAGAAGAAGAACGAAAATTGGAGGAAAAGAAAGAAGTGCAGATAGAATTAGCGCCAGTAAGAGAATTACAACCACCCCCAGCACGGTTATCTACAGAGTCTATCAGTGACGTCGCTAGTGGCTCTTCCCCTGACACTAAAGGTAAAATTAATTTTATTGTTCTAATTTTATTTTGTATTATACACAGGCTATTATACCACCTGAAAGTCAGGTATGTTGATGAAATACAACAACAAACATATGGAAATCTAATGTTAATTTTTAACTTTATATACATATTGTGTAATTAGTACTATTATTTCTTAATATCCACTTTGTTTCCTGGTCAATTTTTCAGTTTATAAGTATTCATTATCAGATGTATAGTATATCTGATATTGAAATATCTTTTTAATATCTTTAATATCTTTTCATAAATTTGAAAATAAATTAGATACAATTAGGATTTTCTTATTTTGAGAAGCCACTTTCGTGTTTTCTAGTAATGGCAATTAGTGACTATATAGAAGTAGAGTGCCCTATATTATCAGTAGATGCAGATGGCTATACGGTTACAGAGAAGTGCGTGAGTGCGCGCGGCGTGTGTGCGGGCGGCGGCGGGGGCGCGGGGGCGGCGGCGGGCGCGGGCGGGGCGGGCGGCGGCGGCGGAGGGGGAGGGGGCGCGGGGGGCGGCGCGCGGTGGTCGTCGCTGGGCGCGGCCGCGTCGCCGTGGTCGTCCGACTCGCGCGACTCGGAGCCCCGCCCGCGGCGACGCAAGCTGCACACGCCGCCGGACAAGCGCGCGCACAGAGGTACTACACCCCCACACGTACACACCTACGCGGTAGTACCGCGTATTCATTTCTCAACGTAGACGTCAGATATAATAAGGGACCGTGGTGTAGTCCCCGACTACTGATAGAAGATATTATATACATTGTGTTTTATTATTACAGTAGAATTCTCATATAACGACTTCGACGTTGTGTACAGTGCAAACGTCGTCGTCGTCCCGCGACGTGTCGCCGTGGGAGGAGGAGCGGTCGCCGGCGTCCCCCGCGCCGCCCGCGCACCCCGCGCTCCCCGCACTCCCCGCACACCCCGCACACCCCGCGCTGCCCGCCCAGCGCGGACACCGCGCGCCTGCACACCACCGCGACCGAGACCGCGACTCCAGGTACACCAAAATTTTTTTAAGTCAACACTTCTATATACAGGATTTGTTGGGATTTTTCGGAAAAGCGTTACCGTCGCATGGAGGGCTGGTGGCGGCGGAGAAAGGACATCGGCTCGGAATTCTCAATCTGATTAAGGGCAGTGATCAACTCCTCGAATGTCAAATTACAATTGCCCAAATACCCAATTCTCTATATAAGTTACTGCTTATTTGCTTTAACGCCGGCTTCCCAATGACCCTCTAAATGAGGAGAATACAGTATTCTAAATATAAATGGGCATAAATGAGAAGGAATGACAATGAAATTTAGCAATGAAGTGTCATTATTAGAGAAAAATGTGCCGTGTCTTATTTAATTCTGAATGAAAATTATTCGAAAGATCTATAACAGATGCCATACCTTGCCAGTAAAGTGCATGTTGGACTCGGCCATTATGTTCTGAACAATATTGTTGCCAATTTCATTTTCTTTATATGATAATTTAATTTATATGATTTTATAATTTATTGATGTAACGAAATTTAAACAATCTTTAGCATTAATTGATTGATATGGCAAACAAATTGACGTGTTAATATTCTCATATTTTTTTGATTCGTAACATTTACATCTTTCTACAGACACAATTCCTCCGGCTCCAGAGAATGCCTAGACTCGGGGAGCGGCCGCGAAAAAGAGAAAATAAGGGACAAACGCGACCGCGAACTGAGCAGAGACGGACGAGACGCGGGACGCGACCGCGACCGCCGCGACTCGGGCAGCGACCGCCGCCGCGACCGCCGCTCGCGGGACCGCGACGACTCCTGGGACAGGGACCGCGCCTACCGGGACAGGGACTACAGGGACGCGCGCAGCCGCGACCGCTCCAAGGACTACCGGGACAAGGACCGCGACAGGCACAGGAAGGCCAGGCTCTCCTATGACGAGGACGAAGAGGAGTGAGTACAGATTGTTTGAGAACTCTATTACTTATTTGTAAACTTCGCCGCTCCGCGACTGCGACCACTCCTGGGACAGGGACGCGCGTAGTCTCGACCGGTCTAAGCGGTCCTTAGACCGCGACAGACACAGAAAAGCCTGGCTTTCCTATGACGACGACGAAGAGTGAATACGGCTTGTTTGGGAGCTCTATTACTTATTTTTTAACTCCGCCACGACGGGAGCAGGGTCAGGGACCACGGCTAGTGTAACCTAGTCGAAACTTCGACAGTGGTAAATACCTTAAATAAAAGTATTTACATAAAACTATTCGAATACGAATTTATATTTAAAGTTTTATGAGAACACTCATTATGATCCTGCCATGTTATTAAATCGCGTAGAACTTTCTCGTATTTTTGTAAAGTCAGGCCCTGATTTTTTTTTAATTAACTAATATTTAGTACAGCCTTGACAATATTCTTGCAAAAATAAAATTGCTTAGTAAATACAGCAGCGTTTTGTATACATTTAAAGTACGATTATTAATTCCAGTCAGTAAAATGACAAGTGCAACTGTCACTGATACAAAAAAGGGTGACCCGCTACAATAGTGATGTTCGGCAATCAATAGACTTAGACATTTAGTCATGCTTTATTTTATTAGGTATCAGACCCTTTTTTTTAAATTTTTAATATTTAATACATATCGTATTAAATAATACGATTTTAGAATATGTACCTTACCAGCATATTAAAATTTCTCACTATAACATTATTATAAAAGCTGGGAAAAAATGTAAAAAGAGATTCAGAGAAATTAATACTAGAATTTTTATTTATATAAAGGCAAATTGATATTAAATAAAAAAAATGTAATCTCGACTACCTTTTAATTGTATAAACTCGTTTCTACCACATCACTATTTATTTGGGACTAAAAACCTGCAACACTGGAAATGTCATTTTACTGACTGGAATAAATAATCTTACTTTAGTTTATATTTAAACAATTCAAATAATATTAAACAACAAGCAAATAAAAACGAGATAGTGCGGTAACAAAATAAATTTAAGTCCTTATTAAATGCATGCTGATGAAACAATTATCAATTCTAAGTAGTTAGATAATAATTTGTATGTTAAATTGGACACAATCCTTATTTTGCAGAATTATAGTGGGTACGTAATAAACTAAGCATACGGCAGTACCAAAGAAAGAAAACTACCCCCCGTGCTAGTTTTTATTAAAAACTGTGTTACGGCAAGGTAATGAGTCCAGCTCGGTTCATACTAATGATACATTTAAATATAGTTATGATTAGTGAACTCTTAGCTGTATATCTAGATTTAGAAACATGAAATTTTACACGGAGGTTTTACTTGAAGGAATAACCCTATTTATTTATAAGGTAAACTAAACAGTTTTCTGTGATTTTTTATTTTAGTTTTATGTCACTTTATTTTAGACTAACACTTTCTGGAAAAACAGATATAAAACCCAATTACTTCGACAGACGTTGGTAAGTTCGCAACAAATGAATATCCAATAAATCTAACATTGCAAATGTTAGATTCATATATTGAAATGAGAAATGCGGACAAGTCAAATGTTGTTTTTATAACACTGTCAACTTGGCAATACGTTTATTTTATATCAATAATCTATTCTAAATAATAATAATAATGATATATTTCAGCTATAGTGATGGATGCGGTTCAGGGAGATCGTCGCCGCGTGACAGGTGGCCCGACCAACGCTGGAGACGAGATGGTTAGTGGTTTGAATAATTCGGCAGCCATCATAGTGATCTATTCCTTTACTACACTGAATTACGCTCAAAAGGTCGCGAGTTCAAACCTGTCCGACGCCATAAAATAAAACATTGTGTGTCAATTTATATTTCTGAATAATTCTCCGGTGAACTAAACACCAATATTTTTTGGTATTATTACTATTAAATAAAAGCAATATTATTATCTCTGATCGCCGTACCAATGTATAATTAGCACTTGTGTGGTATACTGGTGGTACTGTATATTAGTTAAGTTTTCCTAAAATATAAGGCTATTCTTATATGAAACCAATAAATTAATCCGTAAGGTGGTATTTTTGCCCCTGCCACAAAAATATGGTGGGCATTAAAATGTGGCGTTCAGCACAACATCGACAATTAAAAACGACTTTCCCGTCTGAGATAGTAGTCGTGATCTATGTTTAGTTTGGCAGCCATTTCCAGCACTATTAAAATTAAGATAGGATAATATTGATATTTCGTACTATCATTATCATATTTAATACTGTTAAGTACTAAATAATCGTTGTGGTATAACTTAATATACTACAGTATAAATGCTGAGTGGGAATCACATTCAGCGTTACCAGTATGTTTCAGCTTTTAATTTAGGTATGTAGTCAGTATTACTATAAATACGAATACTAATGTAATGCTGAATAAATATCTTTATTATATATTTACAGAAAGAAATTATGGTTCATTGGGCTGGCGAGAAACGAGGCGTAGGGCTGAAATAAGGCAGAGTGAAGATCCCAGTGATAGAAGGTATTTTTCAGTTTTAATTATAATACAATTGCAATGATAAACAAAATTACTCACCTGATAATGTGGCAACTGTCACCTATATACACGAACAGCACGCATCAAAGACGTCGTGTCATAATGTGACACTTGTGGTACTAATGTATTGTCATTCTGGTGACCTACAGTGTTGTGCCTTGGTATGCAGTAAATTTTACTACTATATCTCATGTTTTAACTGAATTAACAAGCTGCTTTGCTGCTGTAATAGATAAAATAGATAACAGTGTCACTCTACACACTCTTTTAAGTTAAAAGTTATTTTTGTGAGAAGTACTCTTCTAAGAGTCGAAAATGTCAATATAGGAAAATCATGTTTATATGCAGACATGTTACATATTGGTGGAAACAAGGCGTTTAATTATCTTAATCTATAGATAGATTGTGTCACAAGAACTGATAGACTACTCTTAACTTTTATCTAAAAAAATGCAAACAAAGTGGGTAACATTTAATTATAATACAGATATGGCTCAACACTTGGTTGGCCCGGGCGTAGAACGGCAGCAAGTTCAAGGCGCGAAGTGCGCGAAGTTCGCGAAGCACGTGAAGAGAGAGAAGCAAGGGAGGCGCGAGAAGCACGGGAAGTGCGGGAAGCGAGGCGGAGGGCGCGCCGGGAGGAAAGGCCGCGGAGGGACTATAGGTTCTCCAATGACTTCTCCCCCAGGGACCATCCCTCGCCCTTCGATAACGACTTCCAGGACACGCCCACGTCTGCTACTAAGAAAAGGGGGCCGTACTCCACATTAGAAGGAACAAGGTTTGTGTTGTTGTTGTTGTTAATCTAACGATCTAATAGGATAGGTAATAGATAAAATAGTAATGATTTCTCATATTAGACTGAAGTATTATCTTTACATAGTATAAAATAAAATTTATCCACTCCCCGTCAAAATAATGTATTTTATTATAATTTATTAAATTATAATTTATTTATTTTTAAGGATTACCTACCAACATAAGATACAGCAATAAAAATTTTTAATAAAAATAATTAATCTATTATAGAATTATTGTAACTAATGTAGCGTTTTGTGGCTCGACAGTGCCTTAGTGGTTTAAATATAATAATATAAACATTTCCGCCAATTTTTTAGAGGAAAAATTGGTAACCTTGGTAAATATTGTTTCATGATAGGGTTCATGTTATGTTCTGATAGATGATAATGGTTAAGTATAATCCAATTGGAACAATTCATCAATCCTAATGACTAAAAATCTAAGATAAAAATTCGGAATTATACACGTTGCAGGTTCGCGTTCGACCCCGAGGAGATCGGCGCTTCCCCGCAGTCGGCCGGTAGTTCCCGTGCCCGGGACGGCGACTCACCGGCCACACGATTCCGGTTCGACTCCGATTCTATATCACCTCGCTCGATGTTCGAGGACGATTTCACGGCCGCCTCCACGCCCCGAGGCAGAACTGCATCTATAGCTGAGGAAGACGAAAGCGACGTCCCGCCTCTCAGATCGAAGCCCCAATCGGCCCATAGAGACATAAAAAAGTCAGAATCGGTAAATATATTCACGCGAGAAAGTGACCCGTTCGAGGGAGACGCGTTCTTCGCATGCACTGGGTCAGACCGCGCGGCGAGGCGAGACAACTGGCCCGGTGACTTCCAAGGTTTCGACAACGCGTGAGCCCTGCGCTCTGTCCGGTTTGTTACTCTGTGACCGGAACAGACTCGCCATTATTGATTACTAAACATAATCACACCTTTGCGGGTCACGTTGGCACGTTTTAGTAGACGGGTATGGACTTTTCTGGTCAGTGTAGATAGATACATTAGTAATTTATTATTATGGAATATACCCATAATGTATGACCGCATATAAGTAAGTATTGAAAATGAGAAGAGGTCACATAGATTTCATTTTAAATTATTTTTCAATTGTTTTATATGTTTATTCTGAGTTATACAAAAAAATTTAAAATATTTGAATTGATTCTACATAGTATTTCATTTTGTGGAAATGAAGTGTGATCATGCAACTACTGCATTGCATGACAGTCTAGACACAACGGAAATGGCGCGTCTTGCTATTAAATATATTAAATTAATTACATTTTCATGGATCTCAGTAACGGAAATATGCAATTATTAAAATTGAAATTCTAAATATGTATTATCCACTGTGGGTACAAAAATTACGATAGAGTCGCCATTATAATAAGCCTTTCTTTGATGATTGAATTTTAATTTTAAACAATGTTCCGTTACTAGTTTTAGTTACATAAATCAATATATATTATAATAATTTATGATTCTGTATGCTAGTGTAAACTGTAATAACAATATATGTACTTGCAAAGTGTGAAAAATGTATTATCAATCCATATCATTGAAGGCAGAATTTTTAAATCGAATACAATTAAATTACACATCAAATTTAAAATTTCAGTTCTATATATTTTTTTTAATAAATTTAAACCCACACAGTACCCGTGACATATGGTAAGTGGTAGTTATAAGTGACGTGCCGCTATTTATTAACTAGTCGAGTAAGGCTGTACACACTTGACCATTGTCACCCTACTAGTATTATGTATACGTATGTTAAGACATATATTGATTTGGATAAAACCAGTCCAAGTTTATATAGGCCTTGAGTCGCAACCTGTGATATGTATAAGCAACGCCCTATTATTATATTTTGTTAAACGCTTCTGTATTGTGTATTGTGATATTGAATCACTGTTATCGTCAAAGTCCGAACCATACCTCCTTTATTCGACTTTTTTCTAAATTAGACATTTAAAAACAAGTTGGGCAATATTAGAGTAATAATTTAAAAATTATATAAAGTCAATCAATACCAAAATATTTAATACTCCGTTTAAATATTACGTATTATATACTAGCCATTTGTCCCGTTGTCTGGTCAATTATCTCGATAAAAGACACTTAATAGTTTTTTAGTATGAATAAAATAAGCATATAAATGTTTTGCTTTTTGTAAGACAGAGATGGACTTATTTGGAGACTATTCCATCCCCTTTTTTTAACCGTAAACAATTATAATTATAACAGTCACCTAAACCGCGTGCGGATTACACACCCTTCGCAGTGTTTAATACTAATTTTAAAGTAATGCCCTAGAACAAACCTACATATGTGTATGTGACGCTGATTCTAACCAAATAACTTATATGATTAACTATTAAAAACAATATATAAAATAGTCAAGTATAGCTATAAATATATACCTTTTGCTCTTTATAAACATGATTTCTAAAAATAATATTATTAATGAAATGTGTTGCAAATATTAAGTTTAGTTTCATTATTTTATTGTGTGTATATGTTAGTCATTTATTAAAATACTTTATTCTTTGACGATAACACCAGTGGATAATTAATAAGTAATAATTATTATGATCACTTGTATTATATTTACACGTAATTCACGTCATAATTTCATACATTCGTACATAGATAGTACATAATTAATTATTACAATAATTTTTCAGTTGACCTTTGAATGTCTCTAGAGAGATTTCGTGTTTCTGGTGTTAGATATAAAGAGCCCAAATCTGTACCGTCGTTATTATAAATACGACTGATGAAATTTAATTAGAATTTTGATAAAACTAATTTTATTGAAATCTTATAATAAAATATTAGTTTTGAGTTTTACTAATAATTGTAATCAATCAATAAAATATGTTTATGTAAAAGGAGTGTGTTTACTTCTATTAAATATATTACCGTAAATTAACAGATTATAGATGATGTTTATTAAAACCCTAGATTATTATAAGAGACACCACATGTATTTATTAAATTATTATATTATATATATTGAACAATTTGAAAAATGGGATGAAATTACATATATTTTTTGCTAAATATTAATCAATATGTTTTTCATCTACTTAATTTAAATAATACTTAACCAGGTTTTTCTAAAATGATTATTTTCTTATCCCTTTCGCAAATTGATCAATTAAACAAATAAATTAAGTTTAATGAGTGTGCGCTCAACATATAATGTAAAAAGGGCACAAAACTGTATAGCGTTGTTTTAAATTGAATTTGTAAATATTTTGCTACGAAACCGTAATTTTTGATATTGCTGTGTAAATATTATCAAATAATTGTTTTTAAATATATGCAAGTATATTAATATCGTAAATTGTATTGGTTCCTTGATAAAATGGAGTATTTGAATATTGTAGCGGAAATCTTGTATTATAACACTAACGGAAATATTACACAATGGACATGTATTTTAAAACAATGTTAATAATTAGGGTATCACACATTTAAGCAATTTTTATAAATTAATAGATTTTTGTAGATAATTACATTCTATTTTAAATTAATTGTTATTTATTTAATTAAAATAATACAGCATGTTGTAATTTCATACAAGTTTCTCAAGTCCCTATGCTCACAATGTGGTCTGATATAAGTTAACAAAGTCTTCGCGTAACTTTAGAAATTGTAAAATACGTGAATTGATTATTTTGTATATCAAATTTGAATTTACATTCAGATCTGAGCATTACACATTTCTATAAATATAAATATTGCATTACTCCAAATCAATTATATGTAGCAAAGAAATGTCCAATATTTGTATTGCATTTTAATATATTAAGGGTACATATTTTTCTTATTTATGTTGATATAACTAATTTATGGCATGCTTTATAATACTCAAGTGGATTGTTCTTTATGTGATAATGTCAATTAGATTCTTTAATAAACAATTATTTTGTTATATACATACACAGTAGTATTCTTAAGTAAATCTTCAAAGGTTTACAACTAAATCAGTATTTAAAATCACAAAGTTGATACCTTGGTAATGTTATTATCATGTAATTTTCTTTTTTACTTTTCTTTATTTAACATAATAAAAGATTTATGTATTTCACCTAAATTTTGATGATTTTATAATTTATGAAGTATGAATATATTTGCTGTGATATTTTATTTATTGTCAGTTTTTATAATTCTTAATTTAAAAGCAGATTTACAACTTCGTTAAATGAATATAAATATTGAGTATTAAATATGCGTATTATTTTTCCTTTGGATGAAAAATGTTAACATAGTGGGTTGCTCTGATTTAAATATGCTCAATTTATCAGAGACTCACTCTCTCTCTCCTTGCTATGTGTATCACATGGTGATGGTGTCAATTTTATGTTCTGTGACAAACATGTAAAATATTATTAGAATTACAATAATTTTATTTCAAAATTTACATGTATTTTATTTATACATCAATTTAGTAATTTTTATTAATAAGTGTATAAATTATTACACTTATTACTAATAATACACTCTGTATTGAAATCTTCCTTCTGCCTTGTTGCTATATTGTGTATTATATTTTACTCACTTCAAAAACTTGCCTCTTTTTGTACTATAAATTACAAGTAAATGTTCACATCCACATGTATATTTTACACATTATGTTCCTCATGTCTTTATACATAAGGTCTTCAAAGAGTGATTGGTATTGTATAGCTGTATATAATAATTATCTTCATTTACTACTATATAGTTATCAGTATTGATTAATACCATACTAGGTATGTTAGTCACACAAAACTCTACCACTTGACACGAAATAATCATGAATGTCATTAAAATCGTTTTTCATGACTAGCTTAACTTCCTCATATGTAAGGCACTTGTTTTTAATTATATGTAACTTTTTTCTTAATTCTACTAATTCTTTATCTCTGTGTCTGAGGGATTGTTGTAGTATTTTAATTTTTTGTTGCATCATTTTTTCATTAGGGCTAGTCAAAGAAGCCTGTATACCAATATGATGTAATTTTTTTTCTTTAAAGCTACCTGATAAATTGCATTGTGAGTATTCTTCTATCTCATCAGCATCATCTGAATGACTTGGCAAATGAGACTTGGTTTTACATGATTCACTAGTAATTGGCTGTAAAAAAATTATAATTTACTTACTCCAAATAACTTGCAAACAACTACTTTTTTTGAACAGACAGGGGCTGCGAGAATAGCATTGCCTAGTGGCCCCAATGGGCCTTGTATGTATATCATTGAATACAGTATATATATAAATAGTACTTAGTATAAATTTAATATTAATTAAAAAAAAATAAAAACAGATCTAAAATTATTATATTTAAATGTCATCTTCTGTAATTGGTGCTATGCAGTGTAAGTCTTGTGCCTACACTAATGATTAGTGTAGGCACAATCTAATATATCATTGAGTTACCAATTCATAACTTTAAAACACATACATGTTTTAATATGTTTTTACTTTGTTAAATTTCCTCTAAGGTTGTTATCAGATAATTATATTATTAAGTCATTTATAAGCATATTTACGAAGAAATAATAATAATACATACCAAACCTGAAGGTACAGTATCATTTTTTAATGTAGCTAAAATCTTTGGTTTAAAAACTTCTAAGTGTTGGTTACAAATCACAGCGCTACGTGAAGTTATCGGTTCTCCTAGGGCTTCGCACCATTTGGCGCGTATTTTTTCATTTTTTGGAATCCTGTAAATTTAATATGGCTAATAAAGACTATTTCATATGGTTGTTCTGCACAGGTATGTTTTTCTGTGTACAATACTCTTGTCTGTACATTATTATAATTTTGAGAAATAGAAAAAAGAATATACCTACTTATGGAACCAAACACCACAGTTTGAAGCACTTTCAATTTTACATCCCCTTACACAGCAAATTTTTACCATTTTCGATATTTTAGTTGACGAAGACCTATAATAAAATACCACTAAAATATGATTACTATAAAAAATGATACTTTAATGTGAATATTACTTAATATTTATAAAAATCCATAAATATTCAAGAAAACATTTTGTTTCGTTTGTAAAAACTTATTAAACTTATAAAAAATTATTTAAAATAAAACATTTGTTTTGGTCGTTGTTTTGTCATAAACACTACATCACAGAACACCAATATCCTAACGGACACTACATAGATTATACTGTTTTTCATATTTTTCCTATATGCAGACAAAGGTTTCGAGACTATACAGTTATATTTGATTTGAATTGACAGATATTGCACCAGCATTTGCATAGTTTTATAGTTATATTGGAAGTGGTTGACTATATTCCAAATCCATATAAGTATTACAATAAAAATTTCTACTCTATGACTTCGTGTGTCATCATTGCTATCAAAAAATAAAATTCTTTGTTATTTTTGTGAAACGAAAGAATCTATTATCAACAACAGAGACTACAATACGTATATAGTAAGCATAATCTGTGAGTGAGATACCTATTGTGAAAAACTTTTTTTTCACAGCTGTTTGTTGTTTTACTAGTTCAAATGTAGTTAAATTAGTTTTAGCTAATTAATTTCAGCAAAAGTAGCAGTAAATTATTTATGCAGGACATGCTACAAAATATTAATATTGTTTTTGAAAATGAAACAAAGGTAAGCGAATAGTCATTTGTAACACGTAAAATACTTTGATGTTGCTTACGCGTGTGTGTAACAATAAGTTTTTCCAGGACACGAATAATGCCGAGTGGTGACGATTTAATTAATTACAATATATTGAATAATAAAAAGGACGATACTGACGGCACTAGCGATATTATGTTACATAGAATAAGAGCCCAGGACCACTTCATCGAGGCCCAAGTACAGGAAGGCGATACATTACAAGCTCTCGCCCTAAGGTTTCGTTGTTCTGTAAGTCCATAAATAATTTTTTGAAATGTGTGTCATGTAGATGATTTAATGTGAGGTGAATACTAGTTAATTAGTAATACCTAATATTTTTATGATAATGATATGATGTGCAACACGCACACAATATGGTATATAAAACTTACTTCAATATTGTCAAATGTACAGAATTTCAAAATATTTAAATAAGTAATTATCATAATAAATAACAAAGGCTGATTGTTTTTGTACCCTGAATTAAAAAGTATTAGAATGTATTTTTATTAAAATTAATAATTTATAAATTAAGTAATAGCAGTCTCATCTTAAAATTCAGGATTTGTGATTGAGAATGTTGCAATATCTTATGTTAATATTATAGAATTTAATTTAATTTATATGTTAACAGATTTCAGAATTAAAAAGGATAAATCAGATACATAAAGATAATGAAATATATGCAAGACGGACTATTAAAGTACCTGTTACACCATACTCAGTTCTAACAGAAATGATACCAACACACCTTCCTGAACTTCAGTCTTCCAGTTCCAACAATGTGCCTACAAATCATATTTTAAAAGAGTTACTAGAAAATAACCATACAAGTAGTTTGTCACAGCAGAAGAATTCACAAATTGAGAATGTGAGTCCTAGGGAAAACGGCGATCACACCATAGACTGCAATAGTATTGTTTTGAATAGTACCTTGGCGCCTTCTGTGGCAACATACACAGATATGGAGGGAAATGAAACAGTATCTGAAGATACCCAATTATTACCAAATAAACAAAAGGAGCCAGTAGAGGCAGTAGTAGTTAAGGAATTGACGTCACATGGTGCTGATTTTGGACTGAAATGGTTTCACTTGGTGGGCTTTATGCTTATTTTAGGTGTTGTAGTACCTCTTGTATATATTATGTTCTATTTAGATAAACATGAGCACACAGAGGAATCATTCCATTCAAACCGATGACTGCAAAGCTCGATTCTGTCACAAGACTGTATTGTGATGGAATTTTTAATATGGACCTTTATACTGTTTATATCAAATAAAATTGAATCAAATTCTTTTTGGCTTTTATTTGACAGGATTGGTAGTCAAGCGGTTTAAACCATCACCTTACTTCAAATGGTTGTGGGTAAAATTCCTTGCACAATACTAACTTTGTATTCCTGAGTATGTTTGTTTGTATTGCTCTAGGAGGCTACATAATATACAATAAAGTATGTAACTATTTTAAAAAATATATATTATTGAATTGAATCATTCAGGTATATTCCTGGTTTAAAACCTAATTTAAGCTTCAATACGTGTACACCGTTATTGCATGTGGTGTATCACGATTCCTTTATCATCCGTAAAAATAGACCAAGCAAAGATATCAAACACCCTTGGTGGATACACATACACATTTATAATTCTAGACAACATTTTGATTATTTATGAAACTACAAATTGTAATGACAGGATATAAATTTAACCTAAAAATCAAACGCTGTTTAATTATAATTTACAGCACTAAAGATAAATATTGATCACCAAAGCGGCAAAAAATTAACTAGGTCTAATAGTAAAACAAAGGACATGGTGGTAAATTTATTAGCAATTTATCAAGATTTTTTTCAAGAAATTAACTGCTTGTTGATCTGTTAGGCTTGATATTGAACCACTAATTCTCATTACTAACAATCCCTTTCTCACACATGTGCATAATTTTTACTCTAAAGGGAAAGAGCAACTTTGTCTCTTTAGAAATAGTAGTATGATACAGACAGAGCACCACAAGTCTGTTTAAAATTATATTCACATTGTTTAAAAATAACTTGTATTTTTCGGTATAACATTACGTCCATCTTCATTATCCACTTTACTATCTTCAAGGTAGTTGAATGTGGAATTCGATTTATTAAAATAAAAAGCAACTTCGTAAAATAAACTATTTATTTCAATTCTATCATCTATTTACTTAAAAATAATCGATGTTACAAATAATCAGTAATTTATTGACACAATCTTAGTTATATATCTTTTTTTTTTAATCATAAATGCATTCTTATACTAGTATAAAAAAATCTGATCAGAAATCAATCTGACTTTCTAGAGATTATAGAATACAAATTATTACAAGTTTCACAAATTAAACATTTTACTTTTTCAAAAAATATTTCAATTTATTCCTTAAAAAATAAGATACATTATTACAGGTAGTGAATAAATTATGGAATTAAAACACACTATTAATTATTACCCATGTATATATGCAATTCATTCTGCTAAGTAACCTCACTTGCATTTATAGTTAAATGTACAGGAATTAATATTTCAGGTGCTGCTTAAAAAGCTTAATGTAGATTTATCTCATTTCTAATTCGTTACCGGAATCAGAAGTTTCCGCGGCCGAGATTCGGATTGCTCTCGTGTACACTGTGAACAGATGTAGATATATTAGTAATTTATTACAAAAACTTATATGTAAAAAGTAATATATTACACAGCATACAATGAAATGGTACATAAGTTAGTGACAGGCAGCGAAGGAAGAGTTATCTTGATCTGAAGTGTTTGCTGGTGCTTTGTAGGCAGATTAGTGATTCCTTGTTAATTAACCAAAACAACAAAATCACTAGTCTTCCATACAATGCGCCGCCACCGATGCCCGTTAGTTGTAGACACCTAGAAATGTTATTTACAAAATGTGATGTTAGCAAGAATAGACACACAGTTTACATAGTTAAAGTTAGTTGAGTGACATACAAATACAAAACACTGTTATAATAATATAATCAATACATTATTTTTTATGCAGACAGATATTATTATTATGAATTCAGTGAGAAGTAATGACTACTGTTATGGGTACTAAACAGAAATAAGAATCAGGATAGAAATATTGAATTCAATATATAAATTACTAATGTATTTACTATAATCATATAAATTTGATTGTAATGTAATTGAACATAGATGTTTTAGGAAGAGCCCATATAATGTAATAGTGGCGTTTACTACAACGAATATTAAATAAATCTACACCACTATGAAATGAGAACAATCTACAAACAATCACGTCGAGTTTTACCTGAATAACAATAACATCGACTCCACAGTGAAAGGGGATTCGACAATGTTACTATATCTTAGTTTTGTTTGGTGCCAAGTCAGGGAACTCTTCAAACATTCTATTATCGAAACAACATTGTGTTAGTAATGATAACGAAATACTCAATGTGGATCCTTAACCAATTGAAATGTTATCTGAACATAACAATACATTTATGGCAACATTAGCGAATATTATAAAATGGCTATGACAATGAATTACATGCACATATAAATATAATAAAATATATCATTTGAGGATCACGAATAAATTTCTAATTTCTTTAAATTCTATATTTTTTTACGTAATTGGCACGATAAACAACCTGACGGCCCACCTGATGATAAGTGGTAACTGTCGCCTATATGCATGAACATTTCTAGAGGAATGAGATTTTATACCTCCGCGTCCTGTAATTTAACTGTCTTAATTCACCCTTGAACCGTAACACATCTTTCAAAGCAAGCTACATGGCGTCTAAAACCATAGTGTGCTGAAATAGCCACGACTTCGTACAAAGTCTACCTCAGTGATTACCAATCATCTCCATTCATATACACATGTTAGCACCAACCTTTGTTGTAAAAGGTATTGAGCCATCTGTATGCGCTGCGGGGTGCCCGTAATTGTGATGATGCGGTCGTTGGATCCTTGCACCGGCTCGGCGATCTCGATTCCAGCGCCGCTCTCCGCGCGTATTTTCCTAATCCGCGAGCCAGCCTTGCCTATTATCGCACCCGCCAACTATAATAAAAGATTATAAAAGCCACATGTCATTTTTGAGTATATTGTTTATATACTTGCAGCTTTAGGAGAATCATTTTAGCTATAATAGCTGTAAAAAGCTGGCTTCCTATACATAAGTACAGAAAAGAAAAATAATTCGTACAAACTATTTACAGTAAGCAATCCGATTTTTTTATTAGACTTATTCCTTAATATAAAATACAATAAATTTAATATTTGTTAAGATAATCAAATTCAAGCTAAACGTAAAGCAATTACGAAATATTTACATTTATGTACCACATATTATTGATTTAAATGTTGTTTTGTAGTATAAAAAGACATCAGAAAAAAAATAGACAAAGATCAAAAGAATATACCTTAACAAAAGTTATATAATACATTTTATAAAGAGATCCATGTACAATATTACGTTTATGTTTTATTTTAAATATAAGTAACACTTACATCTTTTGGAATGGTGACTTGCGTCGATGTTTCTTGTTGGTTACCGCCGTTGCTGTTGAAGTTATTACCGCCTCCGCCACCTCGACCGCCGCTAAAATTGCCACCAAAGTTGCTGCCGCCGAAATTGCCGCGCGGCGGCCCGCCGAAGTTGCCGCCACGTGGTGGAGGCCCTCCAAAGTCATTGAAACTATTGCCCCGTGGGCCCGGTGGGCCCGGTGGTCCTGGGGGCCCTCCGCGCGACATGGGCCCGCGTGGGCCGGGCCCCCTGCCGCCGGGGCCCATGGGCGGCGGCGGACGGTTTCCGCGGGGCCCTGGACCGCCACGTGATCCCCGTCCACTGCCGCCACTGCCTTGTCCGCCACCGAATCCACCATATTCATCAGCATAAAAGTCATCATAGTTGTGCGGGTCGTAATTCTCAACTGCTCCCTTGATTGGTACCTGGAATATGTAAAGCCCAACTTATGTAGTTACTATATACATGCATTTATTTTGAAATATAAAGTAAAAAAAGATATAGTATTATATACTGTAGAGGTAATCTCTGAATCTACTGAACCAAAAAAATCTAAAAACCTTTAGAAAATTCTTATACTATTAGAAAGCCACGTTATTTGTAGCTTGCCTATATATAAGACATAAGTATATGGTAATAATAACTATAATTTGGAAGAATACTGAAATGAAACAGTTAACAACTGTAAAACGCACTTATTAAACGATGTGTATTTGTATACATTATGTAGCAAGTATTTTAAAATGTAATTGCGTAATTCCTCTGTCGAGGACATATAACAATGTCGACTGATTATCAGAAACATTTAACTTATAATTTCACTATTTTTGAAGCCCTACCCTTTCTGGTCACAGTTGTCTCATCACTGTTGTTGGTCACAGCTGGTGAAATTTCTGAGATTCTCTCTTCTATGACCTCTATTGCAATTTTACAATAGTAAATCAATTGTAAACTCGTCAACAAAAACACAAACTTTACGTTTATACAGATGGTATTGGAAATATTTTTAAGTTAAGTTTGTAGATAACAATTTACGATTATCGTTGCGTTAACACATGTCGAATAATAACAGAATAAGAATGAATGGGAAGTACGGTTAAAAACATTAAGGGCCTATTCATAAATTACGTTATATCAATATTAATCCATGTATAAATGAGAACTGAGTAAGAAATCGAATGCAAATTCCACAGTACCTGTCGTATCAGCTCGAGGACTTCACGTACCCCGGCGGCGGCCACGTCAGCTTTGCCCACCAGCTGCACCACCCGCTCGGTGCTTTGAGGCGCTGGGTTCGAGAATATCTTCAGGAAGGCACCAGTTTTCTGTAATAAATTTTTACACTTATATGCCGATACTTACATTCTTCGCTGTTCAACGGCTTCATAGTTATGTAGTAGGTTCGATTTCGATAGGATATGGACGAAAAACAAAACTATATTGTAGATTATATCAGGTATTATACTGACGTACGACGACGTACTGATACGTTATTAGCAGTAGAATATACACCTTAATTTTTTCCATAATACTCAGTTTTTTTTAGAAAGAAGAAAGAAGAAGAAGTCCAATGACTGCGAACAGGGATGAATGGAAGCGAAAAACATATTACGCCGACCCCAAATAAATGGGATAAGGAAGAAGCAGATGATGACTCAGTTTTTTTATATGTAACTAAAAATTTATTCAGTTTTTTAATTTTAATAAATTTTAATTGAAAATATTTTTATTTTAATGTGCAATGAAACAAAAACTACTAATTCGGTATCTCTGATATGAAGAGAGAACTGCAACTACAGAAGATTGGTAAAGGACTTTTAATACAAAATAAAAAAGAGAGAAAGCCTAATAAGAAAATTCATTTGAGATGCGAGTTATTTTTCGTCTTTCAGATCCCGTTCAACAATTCAAGCATTTTTGAATTGTTTATATACTTTTTTTGTTATAAACAAAAAAAGTATTCACTGCAAAAAACGGCACTAGATGTGCCTTGGTCTCGCATTTAACACATTTAGATAAAGTTCGAAAAAAAAAAACAACTAATAAAAAGTAGCTAAAATGTGAAATAGATTTTTTAATGTACTTATAACGTGATTTCTTTATTCATCTAGGTGATAAATTTGAATACAGCAGTGTATATATTTTAATCATATACCAAGTACAACGGAAGACACGGAATCGATATTACGAATTTACTGTAACCTGAGGGCTATTCAATAAAAAAAACTATCAAGTGACCTAAATTGCAAATAAAGTCAGAAGTGCAATAGCACCAAGTATTACATAATATAAATACAAACTGTTAATGTAAACGCTGGCTTAGTTCTGTTAGCTGATAAGAAATGAATTATATTACCGTCGCTGGTGGAGACCTTCATGGTGTAGGCCGCAGGGTATCCTGAGCGTGGTGTTCTGAGTACTCTACCGTCACCAATAGGGCGTTTATCGGTGACGTTTGACAGCGCGGTGGTGCGCATGCGTGGAGAAATCGACCGGCGCACGTGGTGCCGCCGCCGCCGCGCCGACACGTACAAACAACATCGAGGCGACAACGCGGACACTGACTCGACGATAACATATTGCTACGGGGACACCTCGCCACAAAAGCCACTGAGCGACATGACCCAATGGCGACTCAATTCAGACACTTTGCAATTATCCAATACTAGTTCCAGAACTACACGTATGCAGAGCGCGAACGCAAAGTACGAGTGAGAGACCCTTACGCGGCGGTGGTCGATGACGGAGTGAGGCGACCTACGATAAAACTGTAGAGCAGGCGGACCAACCCGCTACATTACCTGCCCTCTGCACTTGTGGGGCTCCGCTTTCGACTGTGCGACTAGCTTAATCTACGGGACCGCTACGAAAATCGTACGTAGCATGCCGCAATATTGCAAAATGTGCCTATTCTCCCTATATTAAAGCCCAGAGGGTTCATTTTCGTTCCTGTCTAGGTAAATTGGCCTTTGTTGTCAATACAATGTCGACCGGTATTCAATACAAACCTGAAGTACAATTCATGCCAATTATTTTTATGCCCCGAATACCTGCGATTCAATCGACATTAAATATTATGGTCGGTCCGTCTTTCAGCTACACGATTATAATATTATGTACTAGTTTATTATACCTGCTGTTGTGGTTCGCATGAATGTTTGCGATTTTTCAGTCCCGATAGGATACCGAGCTAAAAGATAAGTAGGTAAGTACTAAATCACTTTACTGGTTGCTAAATATTGTATATGTAACGTTATTCAATTGTATTATTATATTCAGCATATGTTATTCAATTGTGACAATATGTTGCAAACTAATAGGTAACTATTATTTCGTCTATCTATCAGTTATCAATACAAATAGGTAAATCGACACAGAAACACATAATAGTCATGATTCAACAAAACAGACAAGAGAAATGGACAATCATTCCTATTTTTGAAAACGTTATGACATGACATGTACTGTCTGGCATAAATAGAATATTTATAGTAAAAATAGCAATTATTTTTCTGTAAGGTCCATTAGGACCTTACTAAAAATGACATCTCTACCATAGGACCATTAGGTCCTATGGTAGAGATGATACATTGTAGAGTATGACTATCGTTTCTAGCTGTCTGAAAGAAACTTGCGAGTAAATAATCGATAAATTGATTTATAATATAGAGAAGACGAGTATTCGCGGAAAATAGAACAAATCATTATATCCCAGCAAAGTCGTTCCACATCTTATTCGCACAGGCCAAAATATTCGTGTTTGTTGAAAAAAACAGATTTTTTATAAGTGAGGTTTTAATAAGATTGCTGATTGATATTTGATGATGATTTCTGCGAGGGCAACAGACAGATCGGCAGTGTGATACCACGAAGCCGTACAGCGAGTGGCGGTTCGATCGGAAACGGAAGCGGCTCGCGTGCCCATAATTGTGGTGTCACCGCGGCCCTACACCCCCCATCCACCACACTGCCGCTAATTACACTATACGGACGACATATGCGCACCTTGAATTACACGCACTCGTCCAATACAAGCCCTATACGAATGATTCGTTACCTGTACATATATGTGCTACCACTAAATATTATAATACATACGTTCGATGGTGGTATAAAAATCAATACATCGCATACGACAATAGGCGAAGTGATTGTATTCTACTTACGTATGGGCGTATGTATAAATAAAAGAGACAAAGTATGAGTTGTAAACGAATAAATAATTTAGATAGATATTCATTCCTTATATCTATCTACATTTTAGACGTTATAAATTTATATATAACTTCGTTATCTTGTAGAGTTTTCTTTAGATCACATAAATACTAGTATTATAAAGAGAGTAAGAGAGAACGGAGTCTGTTATGGGGAACGTAAACTGCGGAACCGAAAATTGAAACTCTTTCATTGTTTGAAAGGTACATTATTCTTCCAATTTAAAATAGGATATATGTATATTATGTTAAGATTAGTTAATATACATGAAACTTAAAGTTATGAGCTCCCGGGTGAAGCCGGGGCGGAATACGAGTGTGGTAATAAAATTGAACTGTGTGATAAAATCTTAAGACACATAATTGGCGATCAATAGAAAATCTAAGTAAAATCTTTAAATAGTTGTATATAATGCATGGGTTCCATTTTCAGAAAGTTTTTTGTTTCTCCATTTGTGACAGAGGAAGGAGGTCCACAAAAAGTTCCCTCGTCACGTGCGCGTAGCTCCGGTAATTTGAACCTAGCTGCGGCGCCGTTCACTTCCGACGGATGAAACCCTACCACCACGTGACGAATAACAATACGCTCTTTTTACACTGTTCCTCTGGAGAACTTATTTTACGTAAATGATCAAGTTCTCTTCAAACAGTCTAAAATAAAGAACTTAGTATTTTAACGATTTTATTAAAAGATTATTAATAATTAAATGATGACACCTAAATGTTATTGTTGTGTACACTGAATTGTATTATCACCGATTGTTCAAATGTAATTGATAAGTATGTATAACAGATATATTGATTGAATTAGCATATATGTATATCTCTGTTATGTGTACTGACTGTATTATTATCTATCGTTTAGATGTAGATATTATTGTTGAGTAAGTAACATTGTACCTGAACAATTCTATAAATCGACACAATTCTATATTGTTAAGAGTTTAGAAATAAAACGAAAGGTAGACTGTTGTATTAAAAATAGTGTGCTTCAACAACAAGCGGTGATCTGCCTTCATGCCATCTTAACTCCCTCTCTCACTACGTTCTACTGTTAAAGTCTTAAGGATTAAATTGGAACGATTGTATCGGTGCACGCAGCGCAACTGCAGTCTTGATACCTGGCCCATAGCAGGTGCAGGGAGCAGCGTCGAGACGGTAATCAAAGGGCGACGGAGCCATATGTTCGAAATTTCTATTTATATAAGAAAGAAGCCCTCGCATCGAGCGAGCATTGTGCAAGTAGGTAGGCTGGGTGAAGCCCAGGTGCGCGCGCGCTTTTTGTGCGGCCTTCCGGCGGCTGCGCGCGCACCTGCCGCCCGTCGCCAGCTGCCGCCCGCGCCGAGCACGCGCCGCCCGACCAACAAACACCTCGCATCTAATATTTGTCTTCCTATGTCCTTACACGTCTCTACACTAACGCCTGCGACGACACGACACTCGGTAGCAAAAATCAGCTAAACTTAAACAATGTAACCCAAAATCGATCTTTTTCAGAAAACACAGCTTTGTTAGACTATCGCAAGACAATGGTTGAACGAATGAATTGCTATAGTACAGCACTACCTACATATTGCTATGTCTTCGTCTACACTGACGCCAGTGACGTCACGACACCAAATCCTAACTATTATGAGTTAGAAGTAAAAAGCAGCTAAACTTAAACGATATAAGTCAAAATCGATCACTTTCAGTATACATGTCTGATTGTTAGACCATTGCTAGACAACGGTGGAATGAATGACTTTCTGTATTCGAGTACTACATACATATATCAATAATAAAGTTAATGTTTTTTTCGGAATTACATTTGTGTAGAGTTTTACTCCTCCATTGTATGTTGTCACAAATATACATAGTACGATACGTCTTTGTTATTTTTTTAATATTATGTCTACAAAAAATCTTCTAGATATGGTCCTTAATCTTATGTTTTCCGTATTATTATTCTCTAACATGAGTTAAAGCTATAGGAGTATTCCGAATAGTTATGGGCATACTTTGTTTGCGACACATGACAAAAACACGCATGAAAGGTTTATGATATACATTGAAAGTTTTTGTGTATTACTTTTGGTGAATTTGATGCGCTCATTGTGTTTCTGTCCATGCCAAGTAACGGCTATTGACTCGACAGAACAGTTTAGGCAACGTCTGCATAACATCAAACAATATAGCTGAGAAAACAGCTGATCCAAGATAAAAAAAGGAATAAATATTTGAAGCAAATCATTTCAGGTAGACAACGATCGATAGCGAAATTCCAAATTTAAGCCAGTTCATTATTTTATACAGCATATTTTTGTTATAACATATTTTATATAGTATTGATTTGAGCCCATTATTACATAGACAGCTATAATAAACAATCACAATCATTATTTAATTGTCCAGTCTGTTACGGAACATTTTTGTTGCATTACTTTCTTGGGGTGTTCGTTCTGTGTAATCATAGAAGGACAGCTGCAACAATTACAACTAAGGTCGTTTCAAAATTCATTACGTATTTTTCATTCGACTTATTGTGCGTTTAAAATAAGATCTTAGTATAAGTGCTATGTCTAATTATGAAAATTCATATTTCAATTGTAGGTAATAAAATATGTAATCTAGCTCTGTTTGTTAACTAACGAAGCAGGTTTTTTCTCGTACTAAAATTACAGTCATAACATATACCATACTTTCTTTCTTTGATATTACTATAGGTATGACTCTACATATTAATAAAGTTGTTGCTATTAAAATTACAATATACTCTATATACTACACTGGACTCTGAAATAACTCAAGTTACGACACGTATCATAATAGCTAAGTTAGTAGCTGCCGCATCGAATTTTAAAACTTCTCCGGCAAAGTCCGGGAGAGTACTAATTGATTTAAGCGGGATGCACTCTATAGTAATGCGAGCTTAACTTGTTTGTGCAAATAGGCGGCAATCGCGAAATATACCATATAACTAGTTGGATAGACGTAGACTTTTACAAAGTCGTCTTTGTACCTGTCCCTCACCCCTAATTTATTTTATAATCCCTGCTTCGTGTACTCTTTTAGTCGATGGGTAGGAGACGGCAAGGAAATAACAGGTTACAGAGGCATAACATCTCAGCTCATCGGAATGACAATGCTGAGGTAGTTACGGAAACCACATAATGTCGTGATATTCGAGGTGTTGTTCATAAATATCAGCGACGGTTACCACCTACCATTAGATGAGCAGTCAGCTTGTATGCCATGCCAATTACATAAAAAATAATTAAGCATAGTTCCACAGAAGTAGTAAGATACCTTTACGGCTACAAAAAACAAATAGGTGAATTGCTTAAAATATCCGTTCGATAAAAGTAAGAGATCCGATGTGGCAGCTGCTTTCACATCTGCGCTTAGTCCCCGTATAACGCGCGGCAACACGTGGCCCAAACGTTACGTGGCACGTTTAAAAAAAATGCTGACATAACTGTATCTCCTCCGTATGGCAGATGATAGTAAAAGGCTGTATCAGCTGCTTGCTCTCCGTAGCTCTATACGTTATTCTTATATATAAAGCTATCGTGTCACAATGTTAGTTAATATACACTTCCGAAACGGCTTGACCGATTCTTATGAAATTTTATATGCATATTCAGTAGGTCTGAGAATCGACTACTATATTATATAATATATTATCTATCGTACCCCTAACGGGTTGTATGTCCACCCCTAACATTTATTTTTTGGTCAATTTGTTTTTTATTTTTTTATATTCTACCACCAACCCCTTTTTTTTTTTAATAGCGATATTAGTATTTAAATTTATATGGTAAAACAACGTTTGCCGGGACAGCTAGTTTTATACCTACATATTTATTTCTTTGTGCTTATAATCGTAGGTGTATTCAAATCTCTTGTCACAGCATTTGTCCGGAATTTACTGTCCATATCTACTACTCAATCATTAATAAGAAGCCATCCATATATTATACGTCATACGTGAAAAATTGAGGGGAGTAGTTCGGCCTAGTGTGCAAATTCGTAAAAGAGTAGTGGTAACAGAGTTTGTGTAAAAATCATGAAATCTAGAACACCTTGCACATCCCTGCTAGTGGAGGTATTAGATTTTGTGACATTAAATTTCAATTGTAGTATTAAAATATGGACGGATGGAGAACGAGGACATGGAAGGTATAAAATTTTTTAAAATGTGTGTGACGTAACTTATAAATAAGTTCATTTCTATAAGATGGTATATGCTAACAAAATTTTTATAAACTTACCTCTCGCAGTTCCTTGATCTTGGCACCAGCTTTCCCGATGACGCAGCCCGCTCGACTCTGATGTATCAGTAGACGGATGTCGAGGTAGTCATCGTTTCCTTTATTGGGTCCTCCCTAACAAAAAATATTATGTCAGTATACTTACCACGAAAGACGATCTATTTCATACATAATATAGACAAGTTAAAGCTAAAATTAAATATACTTTTGAATAGTGTAGATGACGATCAAGCTTTACTGGTAATTTTTAATTCGTACTAAATTATATTAATTGTATACCATTGTTTATTCTTTGTTTCTTTCATTATGCTTCATTATACTTTATAATTCCCAGGTCTTTAAACAAATTGAATTTACAATAAAATAACTTACATCAGCCAAATTGGGTAGAATTTCTTTTACGATTTCCAAAATCGTGTCTATATCCGAAGCCGTTATCGAGAGTACACTGAAAGATATAACAACACGTTAATACACCAGTGATCATATAAGATATGGATTAAATTCACAACACAATATCGATAAAAACGGTAAAAATCAACGGTCAGGGAGGACTGTTTGCCGGACTGTACTTAAAGCATGATGGCGATGAAGTGATGTCGATAGAACGCGTTCATATCGTTTAGACGGAAGCGTCCAGAGTGGACAAAACTGGAGTGATAGGATACAGTCCTGAGGGAGCGGTTCTCGTAGCGGCTAATGAGTGAGATGTGGCGACACCGAGGTCTAGAACATAAGATCAAGGGTCGTCTAGTGCGACAGAGTGCATCGTCCTGCGAGTGTCGTGATGAGGACGGGTATACGACATACGGGATAAAGCGCCTATCGCCGGGAGTTGATGACAGTTCAAACACGATCCGACTCCTGACTGTTGACGAGTGTAAAGATCACGACTCGGGATGTATAATTGAGAGTAGATGTTGGCGATATAGTTTACCGTTCGGGGCCGGGGCAATCTGGGACTGTTATAGAGGCTTTGTACTGCGTGGCGGGGCGGCGGGCGCGGGGCGGCGGCGTCCAGAGGGCGGGACCGGCAACCAAGACTCGCTGTAGCGGCGCGCCGCGCGGCTCCACTCGCCACCCGCCCTCGCACACTCTCACCACTCACGTATAGCGGGCTACTCTAACAAAACTACAACCAAACTGCCTCCAAGCAGACAATGACCAATCATTGCGCTATAGGAAAATTGGACATAGTCAATTTGGTTGTTTTGTTAGATGCAACTATTTAAAGACTCCATGGACATTTAGTTACGCTTTACACTTACAAGGGTAATTTTTAAGAACGATTGCCGGGCAACATGTATAATGAGGTAATTGATTGAGTTGCTATATATCGTCCGGTTCTCTAGCAACAGCTGATATATTACAATGAATTTTGTGACGTTTTAATTTATTTGCAAATGATGACGTCCAGAATTCATTGTAATGTTGCCCGGTTATGCGCGATTGAAATTCCCCGTGTAAGATGTTGTCCGCGTCGGAGATGGTCGAGAGAAAGTGGCGGAGGTGGAGGCGCGCGGCGCGTCACGCTACAAGACACAGAGGCGTCTCGGGGGCGCTAAAGACCTGCAACTGGCTGCCGGGGGGTTAATCTGTCTATAGCCTACGGACTGGCCGCTGGCATGAGCCTCGGTGGCTAAAACTACCACCGGAACTCACACTGGCTTCTTTCAAAATCTTGATTTAATTCTCTGTCCATTCTACGAGATTGATGATAGTGACCACATAGCAAAATGCAGAGAATTTGGGTTTCATAGTTTTGTATTTCTGTAATGCAATCCGATGGAGGCTCCGCAGTACAATTATTAATTAAACATATATTGGTAGACGTACCTGGAGTGAAAAATGTTAATAAAATACATTAAAATTGTATAATAATATACTAACACTTACTTATTTAATTACTAGGTGTATACTTAACAAATACCAATATGTATAAAACCAATTCATTATCTACCAGTTGATTAAATGTATATTAATTCAATTAATTAATATGTGTTTACAATTACTTAGCTAATAATTAAATTTAATAAATGTATGATTTTAAGATATCTACCAATAATTAGCTAGATACTTATTTAATTATTTAATGAATGTGATGAAGTACTTACTATACTAAGTATTGACCTGTGCGTATTATAAACACTGACCTGATTTCTAAGTTTTGATATATTGGTGCCACCTTTCCCAATGATCGAACCAGCCACCTGTATTTTTATTAAATATTAATATTGAAAATTACAATAGCCGTAGTGTGCATGTACGCGTAATAATAATATGATAGCTAGAGCACTGTTTTTTTTAAATCAAACTAAAAAAAACAATAACGTCATGAATTATGACAACTATGACTTTCTTGCACTGAGAAACGATATCGATTCTCTACAATGTCATCTTCTTGGGTATCTTTGCCTCATCAAGTTCTACAACTAAACAACTCCTTTTGTAAGCTGTGTTAAGCTTAGAAGCATGAGATATGGCCGTAAATTAAAGGGTACAACACGGTACATCTTAGTCCTCTAGAATGGCCATTCAGTCAGGTACAATGCAATGGTATAAATAATATGTTCTATGATGCCAGTGGCAGTGGTAGGTACTGCTCATGAGTATGTGGGAAGAGAACCACTTCAATAGGTACATCTGCTATCACCTTGTTTGTCATTAAATTCCAATTGATTGACACTAGGCTCTCCAATTAAATCAACTAATGCAAAAACGAGATGGTCAAAAATCACGACATTGATGTGGCGTAATATAAGGATGGGCTAATGATGGTACAAATGTTTCTTACCTTGCTGGGTATCAAGAAAGTGACTTCGTCGTCGGTGTGCCGCTGCCTCTTGTGGACGGGGCCATCATCACCGTACGCGTCACGCTTCATACTGCTATTACGAATTTAGCTAATCTAAAGAAATAAAACAAGTATATTAATTTGATATGTGCAAAAAAGGAAAGTTAAGCCCAGGTATAAGTGGCGCCTAATTGGGGTTCGTGGAAGATAAAGAAAATAGAAGAACAGATGTACTTTGCTGTATTGAAGATTCGATTAATAGGTTTAGACTCGGCCTTACTAAATTACCGATACAGATTCTACTGAGTCCCTTAGGGGTCGTCCATAAATTACGTGAGGTGTTTTTTTGAATTTTCTGGAGGTGAGATATCGTGAGATTTTATCAACCCCCTCCCCCATTCCCCAATCTCACGAGAGATTTTTCAAAATGTGGGTTTCTTACGTAAACGCGTTAGATTCTTGTAGTAAAAGAAACAAATTGCTTCGTGCTTTTATTTACGACTAGTTAAGACTAGTAATCAATTATGTTGAGAGTTATAAGTGTAATAAAAATTTTACAATAGAATACTTAAATCGTAACTACTGCAATTAAAAAAAGAATATCTACTCTAATTCAGTCCATGGAGAATCATGCGCGGTCTCAAGAGAGACTATTGGAACCAACATGTCCATATGATTTTCAGTAAAATCATCTGCACCTTCAACATCGTTCTGATCTAGCCACTCTAAGCCGTTGGTGCTTGCGCACAGTAACTCATTAGCTCGTCTTGTGACAATCCGTGGGGGTCACACTTTGCGAAACAAACGCACTTGCTTAGCTGGTGCAATGTGAACTTCTTGCCTGTGCTCTGCAGCTCTTGTGATAGATGCAAAGTAAATATCGCTTGTACTGCAGCATCTTTTCTCTAAATCATCACGTACGCTCTCGTTCATCGAGTCACGCGTTCGGCTGACAGTGGCGCGAAAACAAAGGACGGGTTACACTATACTGTAAATTCAGATTAAATTGAGCTATTTGGTATAAAACAAATATGGTGGTTTGACAGTCAGTAGATGTATAACGTCGAAGTATGAATGAAATTATTTTCTTTCGAAGGAATTAGTGAATGATCTTAGTCGTATTACGATTACGCTTAAGATTAAATCTTAAGCATGTACAATCTGGATTAAATGGACCAAAATAGTTTTTTTTTTGTTTCAGTCAGAAAAAATTGCGTTATATTTGCTGAGACCCCCCTGTCTCCAACGTAAGCTTAGATGAGATTTCACTGAGACTCGACCCCTTCCCCCCCCTTAAACATCTCACGTAATTTATGGACATTTATGGACATGTTCTTATTAGAACATGGCTTCCCCAAAGGCCCACGAATATACAAGTGCAAACAATCCATCCATCATCATCCAATTTAAAAACAGGTCACTAAATAAACGATTACGTTAAGTTATGTAGACGGGATCAATGTTAAAATAATAAGACAGTAACGCGCCATTTTCTTTTAAGCAAAGCTTTAGGTGCCACAGACAGTTTTCTTTATTGAGAGTGTTTTGATGCTAAAGAAATAGTAGCTCGAGTAATCGTAGATATGACCTCTTATCACGCACTCGGAACTGTAAAATCGCTTCGAGAAGCTTTCTTGTGACGGAAGTTTCCGAGTTGCTGGGCGGGCCTGGTTTACTATACTAATTGACTTGGTTCTACACGCATAATGATCTAAGATACTAAGTGCATAGAATACAGTCCTTTTCGTATCAGAAAATGTAAATAAAGTTAACGCGAAAATTATAAATAAAAAAATTCATAGGTCATTTGCAATTTTTATTATTAACTTCAACGGTGCTGCGCATCAATTGAAAATACTTATTCCATAAACTCAACAGTTCACGACTACAAAGTTAATTAATTTATGGAATTTTTGTAGTATTTTATTATGTCGTGATTGCAACGTTGGCGTGCATAGTTGGCGATACTTTGTTAACTGATAAAACTACTTTTGCAGTGAATTCTTGTGCAGTCCATGGACTAAGTACGTACGTTTTTTATGGTAAGTGTATTACATCTTTAAAACTATCACGATTTTTATACTAAAACGACGTCTTCATATAATACAGAGTGATGTTAATAAAAATTAACTTAAAATAAAAATATTCCGGTTCCTATCAAGACAAAGGATTTGGTACATCGTGTCACCGAGCAAAAACTTGGCAAATACGTATTCTTTTGGGAAACTAGTGAAACACATGAAACCTAGTCTATGCTAACACGAGTCGTCTGCCTGGCAGCAGGTGAACGAGGTCAGTGACACCCCCGCAGGTGCACGCCAACGCTCAAGTCGCGAGCAATTTGCGCGAGACACAAAAGGGTACCGCCACCCTGCAACCGTTCCAAAAGCCCAACTTTCTTAATTTCCTGTACTTTCGCTTCAAGTACAAATAAAACCCAATTACCAAGTTCGAGTAATGTATATAGCATTAATAACCGATTAGAATTCACTGAAATTAAAGAGCGAAACACAAGAGGGGTAAGACCGTATACGTCCTTACTGATGTTACTTTATCAACGCCCCAATCGGATTTTTATGAAGTAGTTAATCGAGTAATAAAATAATTCGCAACGATTGATTTCGTCGCGAAAAACTTTATGAACAGAAGAATGAGGTTAAGGGCGTTCTAAGTGTGTAATAAAGTATGACTATAACAATCGGGAATGACTTAGCGCCGCGCCTAGCAGTAGCGGCGCTGTGGCAATAGGTAGGCAGGTGTGGATGTTCCGAGAACAAAGATGCCAGCCTAATATACACGGTCAAACGAAATAATATAACAGTATAGTACCTATTCAATAACGTAATAATAATATAATAATAACGTATATATATTTGATTGATATTAAAATTAAAGTTCCGTTTTATTATGAAAATAAATTAAATTTAAATTATTGTTTCTATACTAATAAAATTTTAATTTCATAAATATCATTACATAAAGAACCCTAACAAAAGATAAGAATAACAAAGGATAACAACAAAACAGAATAACCACGTAACTTCTTTTCATTTTCAGTCATATTTATAATTTAAGCTTAGAAAATGACTGAAAATGAAAAGGTACGCTCGTAAAGAACAAGCGAACAAAGAATAAGGGTTCCTCACAATATGAACAAAAGGTTTTCTAATAATAAAAAAAGAACAAAGAATGGAACACAGTGAAAAATCTAGTTAGCAAATATAACTTTATAAAACTCACCAATTTGTCCGGGCGTTTAGTACGTGCTGGTTTAGACCTAGAACAAGAGACGTAATAACAATTAGATTTTGGTATACCATTATAAAGTACTTATTACACTTTGGTATTGCAACCTACTTTGTAACGTGTATTGGAGATAGTTAGCGCGTGTGAGCCCATATTTGAAGACTTATTGCGACCGCTCATGTGGAGGAACGCGAGAGAACTGGCACCGTTCGGGCTCTGCACGGGCGTTAGTAAGGCACCCCCGAGACTCCGGGGCGCCGGAGGTGCACATGCGTACCACCCGCCGCCCTGTCGATAACACCCTACCTCTCATTGTGCCCCGGAAACGACGACTTAACGAGTCACACCGCTAGACACCCAGCCTCGTGCCTAGACTAACCTACATATCACCTTTAGACAATGATATTCTGATTCCTTATCGCAGTCCAATTTTGGCTCATCATTAATAAACCGATACCTATTTGCAGAAAATAGGCCGCAACTGAAAATTTGGTGGGACGCTACTGTCTATTGTTCATAACCCCATAAATACAAAGGGCATTTCAAACCTGCCTAGCATCTACAGACTCCTCACATTTAAGATCAATGTTACGTCTTGTAGAGGGACGCCTTACACTACGTTACCTATGAGGGATAATCATTCGAGAACTGCAATATTTTCAATTTTGTTATTCAGCAAAACTACGTACAAATCAAAAACAATTAGAATAATTCTATAGTATGAAAAGTTTAATGTGAAGAGATGGTGAACCCCCCTCTCCGTCTACTCGCCCATTTTCGCCCGATGAAGCTGTAAAGGGCAGCTGAAGTAAACAGCATTCAATGAGTACGAAAGAAACAATAACATGAATTTCCACTATTTAGTAGTAGACAATTCACAGTTAAATAATTTTGTTATTTAATATGCGATATTTTTGTTTAGTTAATATGCGATTATACATAGGCAAACATTTACCTACTCCCAGCGACCCGACCTTACCCATAACCCGCGGACTCAGCAGGATTTATCTAATCTCTAATCGCGGCAGAAGTGAACAATTAAATTTATTTAAAATTTCATTATTTTTAAAAATATCGAACTAATTGTAACTACATATCGATTTAAGTCTTTATTGTGAATTCGCGAAGTTTTCTTACTATCTATTTATATACACGATATTCCTAAACATTGTGACGAATTTTGTCACATTTTTTTTTGGTATTTTTTTACAGATATTTGTATATACATATACGTATAATATGAATATAATTTAGTATACAACCTTCGCCGTCACATATACAAGTATCTACAAATGATTTCAGACTGATAATTAGAATACAACTTTCTTTGTCAATATATAGTTTTTCTAATTATTTTTTTCATTATGGTACATTACTTAATTATCAATTATCATTAGTTACATGTTTGGTCCTTTTTTTGCAGTACTTAAGACATCAAAAATATAATGCATTAAGTTGTAATAAAATTATAGATATAAGTATAAGCGTCACTATTAAAGTAATATCATCTAAAATGCCGATAGTGAGAGCAATATAAATAATAAACATCCATACCGATGGCATGCGACGTAGTCGTTAGGTGCCCCTAATGTCCACCTACAACTTCACTTAACAAATTGACAAAATTAATGGATGTCAAATTTATTGTTACAATTCCTTCTTATTAATAATTAGTACTTCATATGAAAACAGAAACATTCATAAAGAAATGTAATTATATGATCACTAATTTAACTATTATACATAGATAATTATTGCCATTTATAATTAGCTGAGTCTGCAAATTCGTATGTTTTGTCTGTATACCAATTGAAATAAATCCAAAACAAATCTTTAAGCGAAGTTTACCGGTTTGCAAAATTTGCGGTTATGAGTAATGTATTGTACATTATTAAAAACCGCAAACAAGTTGATTCTGAGATTAGCGCGCAAACAAACGCACAAACTAACAATATAAATTCTAACAATCATAGTTTTAGGTTGTATTACGTTAACAAAGATAGAAATTTTATATATGTATGTTTATATTCTACATCATAATAACTATAGGTTAGGTAAAACATTTCTAAGTACGAAGTAGTTTTTATCGAGGCTTAAATATAACCTTATGACATGGGTCATTATGAACATTATATCATAATGATTTTGTGGTAAACCATATTATTATAAACGTATATTTATACGAATTTAATTATAGAGATATCTACAGGTACCTATGCCGTATTATGCATATTTTGGTCCACAGCAACATTTAGTTTAGAAATAATCCTGTGAGACTTATAAATATTGTTTTTATTCCAATATGATGCTCAACATCAAATGAGAACTTGTCACAGATGCAGCGAAATCACAAATAAATTTAATTTTGGCGAACCGAATGATAATACATTAAATGACAGTCGTCTACATTGAACAGGACTGCGTTAATAATGTTATCATGTGATATCACTCATAAGTTGCCATTCAAGAGGACTAAGATGTGATGCCTCTAATCGTGTATTTTTCTGTCTCGTGACACTCTATAACTGAAATACAGCTTACAAACCAAACTAGTGAAATAGATCAGACTGAGGTATCCATGAAGACGAATTTTTACAGTCTACCTCAGGTATTTATATGTAGATTGTTTATGCATGTACTTAAACGACATAACTCACGAGGATCTGTAACATCATTACATTAAACAGTTGAACACCATAAAAATAATGGTAACGATCAAACACGCACCTGTCTTTTAGAATAAATTTCTTATTATACAAATGTTCAATGTTGTATTTGTATTATGGATGGATGTACCTATTTATTTGTCGATGGCTAATAGCTAACCCATGAGGTGGTATCGAAGACAAACGTTGCCCCGACGACCAGACAACAAAACAAATGCGCACTATTATTTGTTGAAAGACAAGATTACATAACTGTCAGTCATATTGGCTTTACAGGTCACTATTGTGAATAATCAAAAAGCTTTTAGCTGGCATATTACACCCATGTTTACCTTACAAATTAAATGAACGACAAAACATACAAAATTGTTTGCTCGACCGGCTTGTTAATATATCAAAACAAAACTGTTATAATTGCAAAACTTTAAAATTATATATTACATGTAGTACTTATTCAATTAATGAATACTTTATTTTATTTATCCTTAAATTAACTAAATATACGTTTGCCCGGCAGTGGAACAACATCGGTTAATAATAATTAAAGTACTGTCGTCTACATGCTGAATAAATATAGATGTTTTAAATCTGTATTATTATCAAAGGCAAATTTGTTATGAATAATATTAATTCAGGAAGTACGAGACCAATTTAAGTAATTCTTTCACTGATTGAAAGGAAAGGTACAATATTCTTCAGTGACATATGCCGTATTTTAACATCATTTGTAATTATGAGTACCGAGGGAAAGTCGGGGCAGGTCGCTAATTTATTTATACACCTACCTTATACCTTGCAACAGTGTATCATATTCAGGTAATCATAGACAATGCAAGTCCACGTCATGTCATGAAAATTACATAGCAATAAAAAGTACATAAAAGTAGGTCGCATAGGACATATTAAAGGCCTGCTGTACATATTTTTAGGTACATACTGTGTGAACTATCAGGTGCTGTCATAAAGTATGTGTGACCAGGCGGCTGCAATAACAATCAACCAGCTTTGACCTAATTATTCTTACTTTTCTATCCGTGGTACATTATTTTAAACGGGCAATTGTAGAAACTGTGGGGGTTTGAAACAAAGTCTGTAATTTGCTGTACACTGACTGTTGAAATATTTAAATAGCTATGGGAACTCGTAGAGCGTATACCACCCGCTCGACTGGACGTGGGGTTTTCGGTCGAGTTGAAATTACTATTGTACACAATATGGGCCTGGGAATCGACAGATACTATGCTTATTACAGAGCAAGTAATTATTAGTTCTTATAATTAAACTTCCCTGTAGCAGAAATGAAACCTACATGCTAGGTTTGTAATTTTAATATGAAATGAAGCTCAGTCTTTGTGTGGAGTGCAATTTAATATACAGTAATAACGGTAGCCATAATGTATCGATTTTTAGACTTTATCCTAGAACGATGTATTTTACTTACACATTTCAAGATAACTAATGTGATGTTAAATCATTACTTAAATTCAAGAATAGGGAAGTAAAACATAAATAAATAAAGAAATTTCACTTTCCGAAAATACAATAGTCAATACTCTCTCCAAAACCCACAGATTACTTTTTTTAATTGTTTACATGAAATTATAATAGATCATCATTAAAAGTACTCTTTTTTTTTGCCGTTCGTTTTTATTGAATTACTTTTCGATGACTGAGAATGAATTACACGAGGGGTCTTCGGCGGGCAGAAGATTTAAATTGAGTGTTGTACAGCAAGAAAAATCTGAGTCATGACATGAATAACAAATACATAATTTGATTTTAAAAGTACTGTACATAGCACACAATATGCATTAAATGGGGCGATATTTCTTTGTTTTATGAGTAGATTACGTCGATACCAATGACGGCTAATACGTTACGAGAATACACTAGTATTGTATCACGACAATAAACCACTAATCAATTTGTAATAATTTGGTATTTTAATAGAACAACGAACACAGTTAACATGTTTGTTTAATGAATGCCTATTTCAGCCGCCAAGCAACCTGCTTTGAAAGTTATACTTCAGTTGTAGAGTCAGTAAGCTGTACTCAATTTTTCGCAATCAGCCTCTCATTTGGGCCGTTACACGTGTTGTAGGGACAGATTAGGTAGTGAAATTGCAGGATAACAACCATGATATCTTTAGTCCTCTTGAATAACAATGCTCAAGCGCTATCATAGGTGTCATGATAACGTGACATTCGTGTACATATACGCTACGTTTAACAGGAGGTGGGTCGGTCGGTTTGTCATTTCAATTTCATAAAAGGCACTAGTCAATATATCCCATATATTGCAGATGAGAATAGATGGACCGTATGAAAGATGATATGGTAAGAAAAGGAGTAACTAATGAGGT